AGATTGCCTATTTCAAAAAAATAAAAAAATTTGAAGTAATTCAGCTATTTTTTTATCAGAATATGTTCGCAAATCTTTACTCAAATTTTTCCGTGGAAATTCACTTCGAAAAAAACAGTTTTTTTCAGTGCTTTTTTTGCCTCGTTTAACGATCACTGCATTAAAACGGCCCCGTAAATTTTTTTGGCAAAGACGAATTTTTTTTATTTTATTCTTTTTAATTGAAAGATTTTTTTACTAATAAATGTATATAATCGTTTGAAAAAAACCTGCGTTCGACCGCTTTCTGTGTGATAAACGCCGCTAATTTTATTCTCTATTTTTCAAGTGCATTTTTTTGCGTATTAAACAACTTTTTTTCCAGCACATATGCTGTGGAGAAAAAAATTTAAGTAAGCCTATGGTCTAACTTTTTGAAAAAAACAAAAAAACTCGATTATATTCGCTTATTAACGATATTTTGAATTATGACTTTCGGCACTCCCTAAAAATTTTTTTGGCAAAGACGAATTTTTTTATTTTATTGTTTTAAAATTACCGTTACTTGAATCAAAAATCATTATATAAAAAAAGAAAGAGTGCGTTCGACCTGAAAAACACATGAAAAAAAGCAAAAAAATGACAAAAATTTTTTTAGTTCCATTCACGTTTTTTTGTACGACATTCCGCGAGAACGCATCAAAAAAAGCGTGAAATATTTTTTTAAAACGAAAGAGGAAGCTTTTTCTGTACATGTGTGTCAAATTTTTATTCGCCAGTTCCACATATTTTACAACTACAACAAAATGAAAGTTGAAAAACCAAAAAAGCCACTTTTTTTCTATCGCGAAAAGGGGCGTGGCTTTGCGGTCCCTATGGCACGCTGTTTGGATGCTCTTCATAGGCGAATCGAGAAAGGTTATCGCGAGACCCTCTGAGGGCATATCGCAGGGTCTGAAGCCTATCGATGGTAACCCGAGTATACCTCTGAGGGACTTTGAGCAAAAATGAGATAGACTTGAGGGAGACTCTAAAAGTACCTCCGAGATAGCTCAGATTTAGCTAAAAAGGTATGCTGGAGGTCTCACGATGGACACATTATGGGGCCTTCACGATCCATTTTGAGAGGAATTTTTTTGTGGAAAAAAATCAAGGTGCCCTTCTGATTCGTCTGTGTTTGTACAGACAAAAAAGTACATCATCGAAGCTCTCAAGAACGGTCATAACCCCAGAGTATTTGCAGCAACACTCACTGTTGCTAATATTAATGATTGGGCTATTTTACTATTCTTTCATCCGAAATACGCTATTTTGCTTGAAACTTCGTAAAACGGCAAAAAAATCAGCTTTTTTTCGAGTCTCTGTAAGAGATGAGGTCAACTCAGAGAGCAGTAAACAAAAATAATTTGAAAGGTGTGTACCTTTTTTTCTCAGTACCTTATGGGGTTTAGCAGATAGTATTGCCTGTTTTTTTAAGTACCCTTACTTACTAGGGAACTACTCGGACTCAGGGTACGCGGATCGAGTTCAAACTTTAGTGGTTTATAGACCTAGGTGGGAACACTTGAAAACAAGTGAGAATATCTGCTAAACCCAATAGAGAACTGAGAAAAAAAGTTAGTAGAAAAATGTGAAAAATTAAACCTGAAAAATTTTTCAGAATACTGCTTTTTACCTTATTTAATATTTTAATAAAATCGCCTTGAATGATCCGGCTATGATAAACACTAAAAAACTTTTTTCCAGCCAAAAGAAGGATGAAAGCAAAAATTTGATAGTTTTCAAGCCTAAACTGTTCATTTTCAAAAAGCTTTTTCTCAGAAGCCTATAGGGTTTAGCATATAAACACTCTTGTTCCCAAGTACTTTTACCCGGGTCTATAAGCCACCAAAGTTTTAACTCGATCCTTGAATGCGAGTTCGCGTAGTTCCCTAGTCAGCTCAAAGCCAATTTTCGAGTCCTTATCGTAAGGTCTTATCCGGTTAGAAGAATGGAGTCTTGTTCTTTTTCTGTTATCCCATTGACTCCAAAATTTTCTGAGAAACTTCAATGTGCCTCTTGTAACAGTACACACCAGTTTGCCTACTGACTTTTGGCCGTTCTGCTCAAAAACAAAAACTGATTTCGACCATCTGCGTACCGCAGTCAATTGGGTGCCACTACATTTTCGAGCGGCAGTTCATGTTAATTTTTTTGATTAAATCCCTGTAAAACTTTATAAAAAAATAATTGTGAGTTCCCGGTCTTTATTGACTATTGACAATTGACATATTGACAGCTCCTTCATTTTGTCGCAGTAATAATTCATCACCCTGTAAATTTTCTTCAGAAATATTTTGAGCCTCGTAAGGTCCTTTCGATTTGTATTTCACATATTTCCCTTTATAATATAGTTTGTCCATATTTTTGAGTTTCAAGCAGCAATCTCTGCCCCCAAACAAAGCCTGTGAGTGGCTCGTTCTCTGATTGGTTTGATCTACACATAAGAGGCGGAGTTCGACCGATGACTTGATATTCAAATTCTGAACAAACTATAAACGCCGACTGTGGCTTTCTTCGGAAAATAACATTACAAAATTTAAAAAAACACATTATCGCGTGAAAGGTAAATCAGTCTGACCAGTCTAGTGACCGCCTGGTATTAATATTGAAAAAGATGAATGCTGAAAAATCAGTTATATAAACTTCAAATAATCCGAAAGGACAAGATTTGATAACCGTGCGCATTTTCCTGTTGTTAGAAAGAGAGCGCAATTTCCTGTACAAAATTTGAAAAAAGAGTGCGCATTTTCCTTACGTGCGCACGAGAAAAGAGTGCGCACAGCGCGCACTTTCCAGCATGCCCCTTATTGGGGCCCCTAAACTTTTCTTAGCTTTTATAATAATTGAGGTAAGAAAAGTTTTTAAAAAACACGTCAGTTTATTCCGACCCGAAAAATTATTGAAAAATCAGAAAAACTGTTTATAAAATTTTGCTGATGGCCTTAGTTTTTTTGTAAAGTTTCAAAAATTTTCAATGAAAATGAATATAACAACTTGTGAAAGGAGTGAAGCTATTTACGTTCGAATTTTTATTGAAACGTTCTGAAGTAATATCAAAAATCTGAAATTCAAAAAAATTCAAACATTCTTAGAAATAATAGAGACGAATTCAAGTGATTCGAAAATTATTGTAATTGTTTTCTCTTTACTAGTTAGCTACAAGGACAGCTTCCAAAAAGATTGCGTTGGTCCGCAGAGCGTATAAACCGCTTTGAATCTGGTTAGGATACATAAATTTGATGCTTTCAAACCTTACTCTGTTGATACTTACATAAGACTCGTACATTTGAGATATTGATACTGAGAAGAAATCTTTTCTGAGTTCAGATATGAAACTTAGGTGGAACTCTTGTAAAATTCCTACTATGGTCTTAAGAGAGAGAGAGAAAGAGAGAGTTGTGAATAAAATGGTATATTGAAAAGAGGTCAAGAAAATGGGTTGGCATAACGTCCGTGGGGATTCCAAGTGCTCAGCGAACCGCTCGAGAAACGAATAATTAATAAAGGAGAGCCTGAAATGGAAGAAGCGCGGGTTTCGGCAAATGATGGTCAAACATTGGAAACCGACGTGAAAGCGTTGTGGTCGCAGGAATGCCTCGACGGGCTCTTTCCGCTTGTCGCTTTTGTTTGTCAATCATATCCCAACATGACAATGGCCTTTTTGGCGGCGAGTCGAGCCAGTAGGAAGTGGGGTCACGACGACAAAAATTGCCTTAGTTACAACTGTGTTGCTAAAATTGGAACGAAACGTCTGCTTGACACTTTCGAGTTTCTTTTCCTGCACTCTGCAAGTGGCATTTTGACACGTTTTGTTCTATAAAATGAAGTAGAGAGCAGTTTGAGTTTGAATAAAGAGTTTTTGAGCTCCAGCACTCTTTCTAAAGCGTTTAAAGTCTAATATAAAATCGATCTAACATTCTCCAAAAGACGGTGCCACTTCAGGTAATCACTTCAGGTAAGTTAATAAGAAATGACACTTTTTTGCGAATTTTCGAAGAAAGAATTGAAAGAGGTTGTCAGCTTTTAATTCGAAGAGTCCTCTTTCACCTTTACAAACGACTCCAAGTTCGTTCGAAGGGACTTCAGAGTTTGCGTGCCACGACTTGAAATTTCACCGAACGACATTCCGCTGTTCCGCTGCGTCGCGAAGAGTCTTTGCGAGCCTCGGTCTCGCTTTGAATTGGTTCACATTTCTGATAGATGTTTCACTAGGAACACGTGTTGGTCGAGTTCTTAAATAAAATGAAAAATTAAAGGCGCGCAAAGGCAACAGCGGAATGTCGTTCGGTGAAATTCCAAGTCGTGGTACACAGACTATATAAGCTCATATATACGTCAGCAAATAAGAGATCCCATAAACATAAGCTGCTAATAAATTTTAGAAAAGAACAAAACCAAATCTGACCCATCCTCAGTCGTTTTTCTTCTACTTGGCTTGCAATAAACTTCTTCCGGTGCAGTGTAAATAAGAAAAAAATCGCGAGTTGTTGAGCAACAAAGGCAAAATTCTTTTGCTTTTTTTAAGTCAAAAAAATGATAGCAAAAAAATAGGGGATTTTCCGCGCACTTGACTGCGTAAGCGCGAATTCTCACGATTTTCTTTTTTTCAAACCGAAACTTCAAAAAAATCAACAATTTATGGTAATCTGAGAAAGACGCCATATAAAAATTATAAATTATTCTTGGGAGTGTAAAGCTGCTCTCAAGTGTTCAAATCCAGACCGTAATTTTGAAACTTCAAGCATTTGAAATTAAATCAATCGAAAAGGGGACTTTTCATCTTCGAAAATATATTCCCTCATTCATAAGAAATTCGCCATGACTTTAACATTTGCTTATTGAACAGAAGACACTGAAACTCCGAGTTTTTAAAACTGAAGAAAATGAGATGTTCCGTGTTTTTTTTTTATCGCGAGAAGCGTTCATTTCATACAAACAAATGAAAACAAAAATGTACATATCACAACATGGCGAGTATTTTAGAAAACAAAGGCGGAACAGGTGAAGTGTCCATTTTTGACAGCGCAGAACTCTGAGTCGTGGGTTGCGGTGAATTCAAAAGGTTCAGAAGAGCAAACGACGACCAGATGTCTGCTGAGTTCGTCGGAGAGCAGACGGTGGATCTTTTCTCGTGAAGCCTTAGCGTCTTCGCTCATCGCCTAAATGAGAATTTTCGAAAAATACAATGAGAAAAAGCACGTTTACGCGCGAAATTTTTTCTGCGTCTGTGTCGTTTTTATATAAATTTTGTTTTTGTTTGAGATTCTCACTGACCTTTGTGATAATATTCTTGACAGTAGGGCTGTTGCAGAGAAGATCGCTGCTGGAAGCTTCGAGCTCCCCCGAAACAGTTTCACTGAAAGGTATTATTGATCACATTTGAGTTTCGACGACACCTAGACCTTATATGAGTTCCCTTTTCAACGAGACTAGTTTATTAGATCAGTTTTTTTCTCACCCTGGTTCCGGATTTTTAATCGAAAATTATAAATAGTCTCTTTTGAAAAAATATAAGTGTCCTAAAACTCGATCATCTTTTTATCATTTTTCGTCCTAACGAATCTCTTTGCTTGATGAAAAAGACCTCTGCCGCTATCCAAAAACGAGCTGAATCATGAAAAAATTTGACCGAAAAATAGCATTGATCAATGATCTCCTCGGCAACTTTTGAGACAAGATTCGTAACTATCATGAAAACTAAGTTTAATGACTATAGTCGCAATCCTAGCTTCTTCAAATTAGTCGGATAGTTCTAATCTCATAGTTAATGATAATTTATTAGAAGGGTTTTGAAAAAAAAAATATATGAACCGCTCCGCAAACCTACTCTGAAAGATTTTTTTTTTGAATTTTTTTTACTCATCTTATTCCTGTTAAAAAAAATTGAACCGTTTTCTGCGGATTCCAATGCTATATCCAGGAGGAGGAACGTAAGCTGGCGGTGGTGGCGGCGGCGGAGCTTCGTAGACAGGCGGCGGTACGTAGGCAGGTCCTCCACATGGCGGCGGTGGAGCTGGACAACAGCAGCCTCCAGCTGGACGACCGCCTCCGAGCAAAGGCAGGTCAAAAAGGAAAGGAGCCGTGGAGGCAAACGAGCCGAGCAACACTGCCAACGACAAACAGCGCATGATGGTTTAACGTTTCTTGGCGGCTGCCAACTTTTAAGCAGAGTGACCCGCGACCTTCCGTTGTGACGACACAATGGCCGCATGTGTCATCGGCTTGTTTCCCTCTTTGTGACCCTTTTCGGTGGACGAAGTAATTCACAAAGAAATTCTTGATGTCGAACTCGTTTTAATCGGTTCAAGAGTGTTTGAAACTAACGTCCACGTTGTTTTATTGTTCCTATTCAAAGCACTTGGAAATGGTCAAATATTTTTCTGTCCATGATTACAGTCTCAAGTAGCATGCGAATCGGTGAATGGTTAAAATATCTTTTAGTTCTGAGAATGCAGCAAACAAAAAAGTTGTGATAGCAAACTGATCAAGCACTGTGATAATTGAAAATACGAGAAAAAACCTTTGAGAGTAGCGCTGTTCGGAAAATCCTAGAAAAACTCTAAACTCGATGGAAAATGTGGAACTACTCTTCGAAGGGCTTTCAGAAAACCATAAACTGGTCGACCGGTTTGTTTGAGGAAAACAGGCTTGTGCGTCAGGCTGGGTGGCCTCGCCCGGGCTTTGCGAAGAAAAAGAGTTTTTTGAGCCGGGCTAGTCATTTTTGCTTGGGGCCTCCGAGGCCGGGTCGGGCCATGCTTATAAAATGTCCAAAAAAATTGGGCCGATAGGCTAACGGACCGGCCCTCGCAGGACCGTCAGCCCTCATTTTTCCTCATAGGGTTATTAGAAACTATGATTTAACAAGTAAAAATAAATTTTCGGTGAATATTTTTTTAAATTAAATTCAAGATTTTTTTCAAAGCCCGGCCTGGCCCGACCCCGCGCAAGCTTATTTCAAAAAATTGAGCCGCAAAGCGCTTGGCCTGGCCCTCGCACAAATAGGAAAAAAAAGGCTGCGTAAGTTCGCCCTAACGCAATCAGGGGCGCGAATTTCAAATCGCCAATTTTTCCTTCTTTTTTTCCCCATTTTCGATGGACTTTCAAAAGCGCAAAACTTTGTTGTCTCTGTTATTCAACAACTCGCGATCTTTTTCTCATGTAAACTGCTATGGAGAATCTAGCGCTGGAAGAAGTTTATCTATTTCAAACATTATAGCAAAAAACGACTACGGATGGGTCAGCTTTTTACCTTTTTTTTTTCTTGAATTCATTTTCAGCATTATGCATTTGCGGATCTGTTATATGCTGATGGGTCTATGAAGTTATTGCTAAAGTCGCTTTCGAATGAGATTGGAGTCAAATGCAAAGGGGAAAACGTTATGGAATTTTGGTACGCTGTTCGTGAAGACTATCACTGGTAAACTATCTATCAGTGTAGTCAGATTCATATTGCTTTACTAGGCCGTCGACTTCTACCAAGAAAATGATTATTTTTCTCGATAATGCGCAAGCTGTTGTGAATTTCCCGACGTATGCGATAAGTTATTTTCTGAAGTCTTGCAAAGATGTGAGTTTCTTTGTTGTTGAATGACTAAAGATATGAAATTTATTTATTGTTTAAACTTCCTTTTTTCTAAAAAAAAAAACAGTCCAATATTGCTTAAAGTTTTCATACAAAAGATACCTAGTCCGGCGCGATTGATAAATTGACGGTGCCGGAAAATTAACGAACTCGCAACCATGTCGCTCTGCTCTCGCGCATATTTCCAGACGCGACCTCGCTTTTCTCATTTTCTAAATGCGAGATCGCGGCTCCAAGAAAATGCGGGCTACCACGTTTAACTTCTAGCATTTATATCCACAGATATCCTTAGTATATGATCTTAAGAGGTTTTTGAAAGCTTTCATGCTCACTCGTCAGACTGTTGCTGAGCGCTCACCGGAAGAATAAGCCATAGCCAAAATAAGTAGCCGTGGATATATTTTTTGTAGCTTCCATAAAACTTTCTGTCTGCTTCTTTTGCACATGTGATTATTTGAAAAGTTAAAGGTGTGTGGTCTACAAATACGTTTCGTGACGAGCGCCCCTGCTCCCTGGATTTGTTACCAGGCCAATAGTCCTATCGGATCCTTACCTGTCCGCGAGTTTCACTTTCGACCACCTTGTGCAGGTTTTCAGAGAAAAAAAAAAAGGTATTTGGTAAGTTGACTTTCAGAAGCCTGCATAAATTTGATCCGAGAGTTTGAACCGGACATTAGTGAGAAATTCGTCCGATATTGCATCGACGTCTCTTTCATCCATTCGCGCGCCCCTAACACACTTCTTCGGATTGTAAGCTTTCAACTTTTGGTTTTCTTCAAACTTGTCAAAAATAGTGTCAAGGCAAGTTTTTTCGATAGCAGTAATAAAGTTTGTGAATTTCGAAAGCACTGATTCTAATTATTTATTGATATTTACTACTTTTTGAACACAGGTACGCAATGCTTTCGCTTCCTACGAAGAGTCAGGAAAAGGGGCAGGAGTTCTGGATTTCCATCGCATGGGCTCCTGTTTGACTTCTTCTTCTGTAGGATCAAGTCAAATCGAAAACTAACATCGGACATTTTTTAGCATGAACTTATCGGTGTTGAGACGAAATTCCAATCCAACGAGGATGATTTAATTTCTGAAGCCTTTGAATCAATGCCAATTGCTATGCGGTTAGTTCTGTCCAAAAAGCGCCTCGGGCCCTCTTGATGACTGTTTTCCAGATTTCTACTTGTTGCTTCATTCTGTGCCAGCAACAACGCCTCGAGTTCTGACAAGCGTTTTTTTGTAAAAGTACGTTTTATCACTTTTTTTTTGTTAAAAATAAGTTGCAAGCGAAAATAAACATTATCTGAACAAACAACTGATCTCAATCGAAATTGCAACACGCACCAGATTCCAGTTTTCGAAAAAAAGTTATCCCTAGTTTCCCAAATATTTTTATCAAAGTAAACTGAAAGCTTTTTTGTCTGGTGTTTCTCATGGTCTTGTAATTCAGTTTCATGTCAAAAGACGCCATTATAGATAGCACTCCCAAAAGTCTCCTCTTGGCGGCGCATTCCGCGTGCGTGCGCGCGCCAATTCAAATTTCGTCTCTTGAACTAGATTTACAGGCTTCCAGTATATGGTTCTTTTTGTATAATTTTTCTTGCATAAAAAAACTTCCAATTAATTTTACCCGGGTATCATATCTATGACAACTGGATATACGGGCAGAGTACCTGAAATTTTTGATTGCTACCGAGTAGCCTGGAAATGCTTCCCAGGTTTTTATTATAATTATTTTTAGTCATTTCGGTTTTCTAATTTTTATTCATTCTGTTTTCAGACTTCCTTTGAAATTTGTATAAGCTGTACACGTTGTTCTCCATTTGCTCATGAGAAACGAAGAATGAATTTTCAGCAGCACATTTCCTTATCATGCGAGGAGCTTTGAAAAATCGTATCTCCGCTCAAAAACTTTTCCAAAAAAAAAACTTTTTTCACGGACCTCCGCGGCATTTTTTGAGAACAGATTTGGAAACAGCATGAAAAACTTCATTTAGTGAACTGGGTCTCATTCTGAAATCCAACTGCGACCAGACACCATTCCCTGGTCAGCTAGAGCTAAAATTTATGCTCGACGTCTCACGATGGACATATTATGGAATATTCAAGATTCATTTTGAGAGGTATATTTGTGGGCATATTATGGTACCTTCCCCATTTGCCTGTGCAAGTGAGTGAAGGCGAAAATTTGAATTGGCGCTAAAACAAGAAAAAACTTTCTTAAATAAAGTTAGATTCCCTAAATGAGTCAATATTAAATAAAAGAAAACTGGAAATGAATAAGTAAGAAAAATTATACAAAAAGAACCATATACTGGAAGCCTGTAAATCTAGTCCAAGAGACGAAATTTGAAATGGCTCGCGCACGCACGCGGAATGCGCCAGGAGGAGACTTTTGGGAGTGCTATCTATAATGGCGTCTCATGTCAAACGTGCTTATTTTGTTTAATATATTTCAAAAACGAAAGTATGAAGAATTTTTTTGTACCGCCGCAAGGATTTTTGAGAGTTTGAATTATTTTAGCATCACGGAAAGGAGAAGCGATCGGAGGCTCGAGAAATGAAAAACGACTTGGCACGGCAACTCAAGGCTTTCGAACCCAAGGTTCGACTTTTAGGTCACAGAAAATCATTTTTCTGCAAATTTTTGACTTTTACGAAATCAACGATTCTCGTTCGCACTGTGTATTTATATTTTACAGCTTCAGTATCCAAGTTTTATTTTGACCGTCTTTTTAAAGTGTTCAATCTTTGAAAAGCTCTTAGTTTCCTTGAAGCTGAAGGACAGGGCTGTTTTTTTTTCTTTGCAAATCCTTGTAACGTAAATTCAAAGAGCTAGGCAAAAAAAATCTTAAAGAATCTCTGCAAATAATTTAGGGTAGTAATGTACTTTTATTTGAAAAGAATAAAATTGAAATTGATCAAGAAAAATGTTCATAACAAAGTGCGAATTTCAAAAAATAGGGCTCGGGAAGTTTCTGTAAATATGTCTAAGATATTTTAGAGAAAAAAAAGCACGGAACAAGTGAGGAACATTTTTTCGAACCCTCAGTTTCTTTATTTTGGTTATCGTGTCTGCACTCGTTTAGCGCGACCTCTAGGAGTATATTATCCGTCAACTTTTTTGAAATGATCTACTACATTTTCTTGTATGCTGGGAAACAATTTTTCAGCCAGCCAACTGTCAGCGTGTCTTTTTCATCTACAAAACGTTTTGTTCTCAATTTGCGGAGAACGACTTTGATAAAATCGACTTGAAGTGTGTAGTGAGTGAGTTTTGGGATCATTAATCCTTGCACCATTTTTCAGCTGGCTTCGGTCGCCTCAATGGGTCTCGTGACGATTTCGGGGCCTCTGGAAGCGCCTCGAGTACGGTGTCTCATCTCGGCCGAGTGCGCGTCGAAGATTGCTGGGTTAGTTAGTTTCTTTCCAATTGCAAGGAAAGCTTTTTTCAATAATTCCCGCAAATATCAGCTGTATCTCTCATTTTCTGGAATCGAATTCCAAAAACTTGCGTCGAAAACATTCAAAAATGAAATAGAAAATTCCTATCAAAACAGGTGGAAAGGCTCTTTTTGCAAAATTTGGCAACTTATCTGCTGAAACGGGGAACATCTCAAAATAGCTGGTCCAATTTTTTTCAGCTGCTTACCAGCTAACGGAGTTCTTGGAAAAAGAAAATGCAGAATTACTTATAGCCTTTTTTTCACTTCTGCTTCTCGCTTTTTCGTATTTTCATTATTTTACATATTCTTGATTCAGGAATTTGTTTCTTGGGCAAGTGCATTTCTCTTGAAAATTTGAAAAAAGAGCTTAGAAAAATAAATTTGTTGGAAATTAAAAATTTTGCTTTTTAATTTTAGTGAATTTAAAACAAAATATTTTTAAACGAAATGAGCAGATAGTTGTGATTTTTGATCCAAGTAGGACCGAGAGTACAACCTTCAAATGGTTTCTAGACATACTCGGACCCGTCGGGGTATTTCTAGTGGTCACTTTAGTGGAGTCAGCGCTCTTAAGTAATCCCTAGAAATGTTCAGAAACGTCCGGAGGACGTCTGGTTTTTGATACCGAGGTTCCTGTATATACTTTTTAAAAAAAACATATAGGTCAGTTCAGAGAAACGTTTCTAACAATATCAAAAAACGCCGGGTCCAAGACAAAGGCATAAAAAAGAGTCGTTATAAACAGAATGTCAGGGAAATTATGAGTTTGCCGCTTCGCCTAGTCTCCATAATTTGAAATTATAAACTTTCCATTTCGGATAAGCGTTGTTGGTTGTATGAATTTGCGAAAGTCAAATAATCTTGCAGATCCCTCAAAATTCAACTTCGCGATTATTTGGAATACACGGTGTAAATTTACTGAAGTGGCCACCGCAATTAAAAAATTCTGAATATATTTGAAGTTTTTTCACCTTATAACCACTTTCCTCTTAATACGTACTGTCGGCCGAATTTGTCCCCATATTTTCTGCAAAAAATGAGAAATCTTCAAACTTTGCTCTAACCGTCTAACAGGTGTCTTTTTTGCATCTAATTTGGTTTATTACTACCATTTCTATTCTCGCGCCTCTTTATATGTAAAAATGCGCGTGTGTGTAAATAAATGGAGAAATTGGAATATTTTTCAAACGAAGTTTATTTTTCAAAGGAATTTGCGAAGCGAGGGTAGAGATCATCACAATTCAAAGAGCACCAGTAGGAAAGAAAATGATTCATATAGATTTTGCGAATATCTGAGAAAAGGGCAAGTTTCATATGGAACGTTGATCTACTACTCGCTACAATGTTTTGTTTTACACGGATATGATTCTACCGTTTTTTTTTGCATAAAATTAGCCTTGTGAAGGTTCACGACCGGATGAAATAAGCAAGAAATTTAACGGGTGATGAACTTTAACTAATAAAAAGAAAAACGCTATAAAAATGAATAGAGACCCAATGTGAGATGTTGTTCGGTTGAGGCCAAGAAAAGAAAGAAAAGCTAGCGAGAAAAGATTGACTAGATATGATAATGCAAAATTTGACCCGCCGTGACATGAAAAAAATGAAGGAATTGCGACGATTAACCCCTGATCCGTCTGGCTGCGTGGTGGTGTGCGTGATGTCTCGGAGAAAATATCCGTAGGCAGTCGCGGAAAGTTTCTGTAGAGAAGCATTCTGACCTGAAATATCGTTTTTGAGCGAAGAAGCTTCTTTTCGTGGCTGTTAATCGGGACTCAAAAGATTACCTGCAGTCGGCGCGCATGTTGGGTTTGGAATGAGAGCTCAGCTCGTGGCACATGTCGCAAATCTGGTCCATGACCTCGTGAATCGGCTCGTTCTTGAGAATGTGACACTCCTTGTCGTCTCCGTCTTTCTGTTCCAGGAATATAGAAGCGCTACAGGCGGTGACTGCGAACAGAAGCAATAAGAAGGAATTAAGCGAAGGCATAGGCTAAATCGGTTTAAGCTTTCAAATTGTTCTTCAAAGTGCTGGGAGCTCTGCCTACTGTCGGTGTTGGTTTATATAGGCGTGATGCACGCTGCGCGAAGTATGCGGAGAATTCGAGGTGAAGCACCGCCCATATTCCCGCTCGAAGCTTTTATCTCCAACGGAAACCCTCGTCTGTTTTTCTTTGCTCTCGCTTTCTCTTCTCTTTGATATCCTGGGATTACTGTAGAGAAAGATTGCGCAAAGAGAAACTTTAAAAATAATTAATTAGGCGCTTTTCTGAAAACATGAAGGATTATACTTGAAATGAGGTGATTTCGAACCGACATTCTGGGATGTTTGATGCAAAGAGATTTCGTACGTTTTTAAAAGTAGTTATTTGAGTTTAGGTTTTTTTCTCTTCTGGAAATTTTTTATTTACGAACTTTTCTATAAAAATGTTTTGATTCAAAGGTTAGTCAGTGTGAGAAAAAAAAACAAAACATGTAGAGAAATTATCACTATTTTTCATTTACCGAGTGAACTCCTATGACCATCAAATGGCCTTTGTTCCTGTAAGGTTTGTTTCTAGTCTTTGATCTGTAGTTCCGAAGAGTACACAGACTTCAGTACTTTACTGGTATAGGAATGGAATATTTTCATAAGTTTCAATCGGATATTTAGCCGAATTCATTATCTTTTAGATGCAGATCACTTTATCACACAGTGGAAGGCTGCTCGTGCACTTTTTCGGAAGGACACTGGACATTCATCACGGATTTAATGAAAAACAGGATTTGTACTGCTGACGTCTTCGGCAGCCCTGCAACGCGACATGACGTCTGCGAGGCTTGCAAGACGGAGGTATTACGGTCCGGCTGGCAGCTGATTCTGGCTGCACCTGCTGAACTCAACCCACTCAATTCTGACAACGCACTTTCAGCAGCTTTTTTTTGGAATTATGTCCTACTTTCGCATTCGTCTGCAGAAAAACCGGCCTGAAATCGAGTCTTGCCAAGAATCAGAGCATGTGAATGTGAGCCTTATACCTAGAATGTTGTCGGGAAAGCTTCGTCGATTTCAATGATTCAGGATTTCGTTTTCAGAAACTTCGCGTTCAGAGGATTGACGTGTCTTGGATCAGCCTTTGTGAATGTTCGCAGGAAGTCGTAACGAAAGGAATCTTTTAACCTTCCCGTGTCTTTCAATTATGTTTTATTCTTAGAAAATTCTGTAAAAGTAAAATAAATGCCTTTCTTGTCTCTCACATGAGAATGTACAGAAATGCGGAGAGGTTTTCCTAATAGAACTTGTACATTCAACCTACGGAGGGCCGCTGTTTTCAAGGGTTAAAGAGTTCTGCAGCTCAAAAAGAGCCGCTCAACGAGTTGGCTTGACCTCGGAGATTCGAATTGGATGACGCATAAGCCCATACACACCAGACAACACTCGGAAGACACACACCGCCGCCGGCCACACACAGTCGTTACGCAAATTTTCGGCAAATGCGCATACTCCGAATTCCGATCTTCTCCTTCTCCCGCGTCTCCTTTGACCGGGTGATCTCGCACGATTTGCATACCATCACTTCCGCCGCGACTTTTTCTATCCGAGGGATGCCGTTCATCACATAGTTATCAGAGAGAAGAGATCTCCTGAGAGTCCTGCTTCTCGAAAAGCACCTCACAATATCAGGTGAGCTGGGTAAACAATTCAAAAACGGCTGTATACTCTACTTATTCATTCGAAGGGAAAATTTACGAAGGTAGGGTTGGCATTTAACAAATTCCGTCTTTTTTGTCGAAAACCTTTTTTTTTGTGATATTTTTTGCGAATCTTTCTAGTAGTTTTTTTTTTTGAAAAGTGCTTGATAAGCCGTACTTTGAGCAATCTTTCCCAGAATTTTTAAGAAATCGTCTCTTTTGCATCTAAATTATGATATGCTTTTTCTTGTTTCCGAGTACTCGAGTAGCCCCACGTTTTTCAATGTTTTAATTTGACTCTGCGTGGCTTTTTGCTGAGAAAATTAGTTAATTGAATGTTTTTAACATTATTTTTTTTCAAAGGAAATAAGTCGAACTTTTTTTTCATTCTGTAATTAAGATTACAGTTTAGAAAAAGAAATATATCAGACAGCTGCATAATTCAAACTTCGATCTATGCATAAAAAAAGTTTTCTCCAAAAAAACAAATAAAAAAATAAAAAAATTTTATTTTTTTCCTAATATGCGTGGAAAGTGAGGTCAGCGTAAAACTTGTACGAAGCAAGTGATATTAGAACGAAGAGCGGTAAAAAAAATCTTAATAGCTCACCTTAGACAAAGTTTAATTATCTGAAGGTAGTTTAATTATATCCCATTATAACAAATATCAGAGACATAAATCAAAATTTCTCTTGTACCTGATGTTCTACGAGCGAAATCGACAACTTCTCTGCCTAAGCCACAGCTCCTACCGCCGTTCAAAACAGTTAACTCAATGAAAGTCGATTGCACATGTATTCTTACATTGAAGATGCAATAAACAAAACAAATAAAATCACAATTTGGCGTAGAGAAGTCAAAAAAAAATCCCTGCTGATATTAGTTTTCGTGTTTGAATATTCATACAAAAAGTAGCAAAAAAGGATAACCAATCAACTGTGCATTTTCCAGATTGACATGGCGACGTAGACGAGCCAGAGGAGAACAAAAAAAGCTCCGCTGAAGATCTTCGGTACGACAGGTCCTCCGAGTTCTCCGCGGCCGAACGACGGCAATTTTCTTCGCATCACAAGGAGTCCGAGCATCAGAACCGAGCAGATCATGAAGATCGTCACGCTGTAAATATGGTCAGTTCAAAGAAACGAAAAGATAAAATTTAAAATAAGGAGCATCAAGTATATGGAATCGAATTTTCACCTAAAACCGAGATCGCCAGACTCGACGCGGAAAACTTCTCCCTTCGAAGCCCAATAAACTGAGGCGATTAGCCATGGCAGACCAAGTCCCAGGAAAACGTTGACTGAGTTAGAGCCTGTCACGTTTCCAATCGCGTTGTCAGCCGTGTCTTCCTGAAACTTCAGATTCTAGATGGCCAAAAGGCCTTGCTTACGTTCTGCGCAGCTATCTTCGAGGCAAATGTGTCTGGAAGCGACGTCCCCAGAGCCACCAGAGTTATGGCGGTGACGGCGTCTTTCATTCCGACCATGCAGCCAAAAATCGAAGCTATGTCACCTGAAAAACTTTTTTTTTCTTCGGTTTGAACCCAAATCTCTGAGCTAACCTACAAGAGCTGTCACCAGGCCAATCGCGCCTAGGGCAACGAGGAAGCACGGATAGCCATTCAGAATAGTCGGTGGTGGAAGGAACGCAAACACAAACTGAATGAGACCTCTTTTTTAGTTGGTTGAATGAATTTCCGAACCTTCCATGGGAAAGCCAGAGCGTGAAGCACGCAATCCAAGAAAGAAGCGTTTGCCAAGTCTCCAGAGTTGACAGAAGTCGCGTTGATTATCTATATTTTCCGTTGCAACTCTCGTTTCCATAGAAAACAGACCTGCTGCTTCCAGGTGGCTTGTCCAGGCGTAAACTGACTCAAGTAGTGAGCCATGAGTTTATGAACATTAACCACGTTCTTGAGAACGTTGTCATCAGAAATGATTGTCACTGTCGTCCGTCGCTTGCCACCGAGCGAAACTTCTTCAAAGTTTTTTTTTTTGGAAATTTCCGAAAGAAAAGTGAGTTCCACAAGTACCTGAGTCATCGGTTTTGAGGAGCTCAATGGTAAAAGTTTCGTCTTTTTCATCCATCTTATCATCGATAATTTGGACGTCGACATACTTTTCGTACTCCTGCAACACTCTCGAAATTATCCACGCGTCGTCACTCAGAAACCTGTCCTTCGAAACGGACTACACCATTTGGAACCGCCACATAGTCCAGGCCAGACTCAGCTGTCACGTCGGTTGTCTCGTAATGAACCCTCAGGCTTCCAGAATGCTTCCGACCTCGGCGAGTTACAAAAGTCCGTACGAATTTCGCGTTCTCTTTTACAACCTAAACCCAAAGTATTGATGAGGAAATAAACCAGTCCCACTGACATAGTTTCCTTGGACGAACTCGACGACTGGCTCGCCCATCAGAGAAGCTTTGTCGTCGGGAACTCGGACTCGAGCGACATTGCAAGGACCCAACTTGATCTTGTCGCTAGGAGCATCATCTTCCGCGCTTTCCTCTATGTCCTGTTTTCAGATTATTTGTAAACAAAAAGTTTACGAATTACCTGGAGCCTAAGTTGGACGTAGAAAACGTCGTTGGGCCGCCAATTGGCTCCATCGACCAGCTCGACTGAAATTTCCTTCGTGGACTCGTCAGCGGCGAATTTCAACGTTTCCGACTTGAAGAGGAAATGCAGATCGCGTTTGGCCACGCCATTTACTGTCGTGTAGTTAATAGTAGCTGCCGTGGTTAGCGATCCGCTTCGTACGATCTGCAGAAAGATTTTTTTTGAAAAAATACGGTACTAACTGAAAATTACAGAGAAGAGAAATGATTTCTCAAAAGTCATAAGTGGCTGAAGCAATAACCAACTTTTAAATTGACACGTTTGTCGTGACTGTCGATAGAGTACACTCGAGCAGCAAACTCGATAGTCGACCTTCCTGAAAGGTCCGAAATTCTCTACTAAGTTTCTTTTGCCGACCTCGAGATTTGCTGTCGGTTTGCTCTTGCGCTTTAGCCGTCTCTTCTATTTCTTGTTCTTCGTCACTTTTTCGTGATGACGAAGACAACATTCGACACGCTTGAATACGATAGTACAAACGATCGTGAGGCTGCAAGATGAGTTTTTCGCAAGTTTTTCAATTTTTAAGCATTTTTACCACAGTTCTAGCGACACGATATGCAAGAAGTTTGGCTTGGTCTTCCTGTGATAGAGACGGATATGCTCTCGATACTTCACGAGTCCATTTTCGAACAGTTTCAAATGGTGGCGCCGGGACATTTCCAACAAGAACTCTCTGAAAAAAGAACAACTTTCTTGCGAAGATTTTTCGTCAAAACCGATCCGTCAGGCTGAATGCTGGCGACGCTCGCCCACCGCTTGATGTCCTCGTTGACGTGCTCGACAGAAGGACGTTTCGCCTCGAGGCGAGCTTCAGCATCCATCTCGAGCTCTTCGTGTAGGTCCGCCTTTTTTGGTCGAATCCACATCTGCACGTCGACTGCGTATGCGACGAACACAAGTATGAAAAACAGAGCAAAAGTTACGGCCGCTTCCCAGACGTCGACGACGTTTGGAGTTATCAGCACCAATATCTGACAGAAAAATAATTGTATCTAACAGAAACTTTTCTCGGATGCTCACGATCAGAAGCCAGATGTAAGCAAACGTTCCAAAAGTTGCGGTCACGAGAAACACTCGATAAAGTTCAATTCTCTTCGTGTCTGGCGAATCGACAGCCAGAACACAGATTGCCGATATACACAGCAAGTTGAAGGCGGCAGATCCTTGAAATTGTAAATTGGAATTCTCTAAAAAACAAGACATGCCAACGATCGTGCCAGGACCCAATTCGCCGGCGCGGAAGTTGTTGCCAACAATTTCAATGATTGAGAGTAATATTTCTGGCGCCGAACTCCCGAGAGCCTGGAGTAGACTTATAATCAGTAAAAGGGCGATTTTTCATGATAAAACCATGAGTGTGAGATTTGCGACTGTTGGATTCCAAATCTTCACTTCATCGTACTCTTCGCCGTCATATTTGGCCGCATCCACAAGTCGATCCGTCTTTGTTTTCCGCTTAACTTTCCTTAACATGAAAAATAAACCAACAATTAAGAAAAGTTACCTTGTCGCGCTGGTAATTTGCTCGATTGCGCACATGAATATGTCAGCAACAATCGCAATACCTGAAAGTATGTTCAGTTTCCGACTTCCGTTCCGTTTCTGTAATCAAAAACCGAAAAAAAAACTGCTTTCCTTTTGAGGACTAAAGAAAACCGAGCACCGAAGCAGGCACTCTTTCATGCAAAAATATTGTCTGCGAAACTAAAAATTTTTTGAATAAAATTGTAATATAGTCAATCCCTACATGAAAGGCGAAAGAGGATGAGAAAAGGGCGGGACGCGTAGCGTGCGCGTTCGCGGTTCTTGACACGAGTTCAATTCTACCACCCGTAACTATTTGGAGAGCTTGTTTATCGCTCTGTTGGTTTTTTTTTTCATGTTTGCCTTAGTTACCTAAGAAGCAATAAAGAAGAGCCGCCAGGTAGAGGAGAGCATTCCTCGGAGTGACGGCGGCCGCCGACAGAAGAAGTCCGTCTTTGCAGACGAGCGCCGACGTGTTGTTCATCGTTTTATTTTTCAAACGAAAAATTTTCTGTCCAACTTTTCTCTCTCGGCTACTGGTTTCAATTGTGCGACAAGGCTCAGATGGTCTAAAAATGGTTTCTTTCGATAATAAATGTCTATCCAAACGATTATTCAAAGAAGAGGAAAAGTTTTTTTTTGTTTTTTGGTTAGTAGCTTTCGACTGAATATGCAAAAAGTACGCGGTAATTTGATATTGGATGCGGCATGTTCGCAAAGAAATAAAACTTCTTCATGAGCGAGTTATTTGAAAAAAATTGACTTGATCGAGATTTTAACAAGATCACAGAAATGAAATAAAAAATTACAACGAGGACGACGAGGAGGGCGAATGTTGGATGCAGAAAGAATTGACCGTTGGAAGATAAAATTACAAAAACGAAAACTCTTGAAGAAAAAACTCTCATCAAATAAGGCAGGGAAAGCAAATACCAAGGCTTTTTGAGAAGGAAAATTTGAGAAAACGCTCAATTGGTTTTATATTTTCTAAAAAGAAGGCTAGGTTGACACAGAAGTTGTAGGTCAAAAATAAACGAGTTGGCGGTTTGTGAGGGGAGGAAGCGTTGTTAGTTGTTCTGAAGTTTTTTCTTCAAAGAAGTTCGATTCCGTCATCTTCTTCGGTCTCACTTTAGCTTTTTACTAATGATAAATGTACAGAAAGAAGTCAAAACGCACTGAAAAGTTAGTTGGAGGACGGGCCGATGTCCTTCACGGTGGGGAAAACGATTTTATTTGTTCAGTGACGCTGCCAAGTTACATAAAGTTCTATTCAGAGCGATGGGCTCGGGAAAACGCCGCTTTTTTGGTAGGTATAGAAACAACTGAGCGTCGGCTTGAACAAATAAGCGCGACAAAAAAAGCGAAACTGAAAAATTGATTTAGAAGTTGCAAAAATATGTTTAATCGTTCCCTAGAAACTATAAAATAGAGATGAAAAAAAGAAAAAAAGTAAACAAATAAATGAGAAAGAAACTTGTGAAAAATAAGTTTTAATATTTTTTTCGTCCACTATCAATTTTGCTATTAGAAATTTAATTTACAATTTTGAGAAAAAAATAATAAATTAGGTTCGCGTAATCGTTTCATATCTCAAGGCTCACCTCCGATTGAATTTTTTCGTTACAACTAGGCTCAAAACGGAAAGAGAAAATCCCGTTTAGAAGTTTGCTTGCAGGGCTCATAAGCATTTCTCACTGGAGATCAATAAAACAAACAAAAACAAGGAACGAGAACAGTTCAGGTTGGGCGGTGAGTGTTTGTAAGAAGAAGAAAAAACGGCCTGCAGAATCTAAAGTTGTAATTTTGAGGCGTTGGCAGAAAAGTTATCTTTCTACTTTTGTGAGGCCTAATTCAGACTGGAATTCAAAAATAGTATTCCGGTGAGTCACAGGGTTTAAAGGGCTACTAGCAAGTAACAATAGATGGACAGAGAGGTGTTTTTCTACGTGAAAAATAGAGGACGACGACAGGAAGAGGAAAACCGCAGAGAGCGAGAGACCGTGGGAAAAGAGGAGAGCCCCACGCTCCTTGTTTGGAAGTGACGGTCCGCTGTTTGGCCCCAATACGGCCGCCGAGCACATAATCGCAGTTGGAGGTCAGTCGTGATCACAGTCGTCATGGGCGACGACTGGATTCCTTCCTTTCCCCGAGCGAAAAATTCCATTTCTGGTATTGTTTTCAGCTTTTCGAGAATCCGATCTTTTTTATGAGCCTTTTAAGGCGTCGATCTTATATTTAAAATTATTTAGTAGAATCCCGAGCAAACTATGATACTCGATATATTTTTCTTGAATGAAGTATTTCAGCGCAAATGATTCTTGAAACTGTCTTTTGCGTCCTCCATATATATTTTTTGTAGTAACAAAAAGATCAAAATTATCAAATTAATGAAATTTGTACCCGGGACCAAATTTTATTCTGTAAAAAGCACGCCTTTTTTCCATAGTTTTTTTTTTCAAATTCCACCCCAGAAAATGAATACTAAAAACCTTATTGTGAGAAATGTGTATGAAATTTTCAAAATTAAGTCGTGTTTTAAAATTTTTATTCTTTTGACGCCACATAATCATTAAAAAAAGAAAAAGATTTATTTTTTCGATGTGAAAGACAATTTCATGAAAGACTTATTATTACCTAAAAACCAATAACCCTAATGTTACAAAGGTACACTTTTTATCCTCAAACGAGAGCAACCACAGAGGTTAGACAGACAGAAGCTTCGGTTTGAGAGAAACTGTAGAGTTGTTAGGGATAGCCGCACGTTTCTTGCGCCCACAGCCGCAGCCGCCGAATCCGCCTCCGAAGCCTCCGCACGGCTGCATACAAGGCTGAAACTAATTTTGTGTTGCTATCTCAACAAGGTGGTTGGCGTGAAACATTCACTACCCTTTTCGGCATGTAAATGTGTGAAAGCCAAACAAAAACCTGGTAAACTGGGACTGGAGGAGCGCAAGCGCAAGGTGCTGCTATTGGGGCTGGACAGGCACAAGGCGCCGGAATCGGACAAGGTGGCGGCAAGGCACAGGACGGGGGTGGCGGAGGAAGACATACCGGCGGCGGTGGCGGTGGAGCGCAGCCTCCGCAGCAACCTGCAATTTGCAGAACAAAACATCATGTTTAGTTCAGGTTACTGAAATTCATTTCGTTCAAATTCTTCAATACATTCAATTAATCAAAAAATACTCTTAACTCTTGAGTAGTGTCTTTTTAGTAAGTCTTTTCAAATTTGTTAAGGAGTGGGAGCACCTTTGGAGCTGTTGTGGTTTGACCTTAAATCTGGAAACAAAAATAAGGCAAAATTTTCGCTCTCTCATCACTGAGCCTCGTTACAACTAAAAAAAAGCTTCAGATCTTATTTGGTTGCAAATTTGGTGCAAAATGGAGAGCAATAAAACTTCAAGCAAGAAAAACGTAGAAAGAAAGAAGTTTTTTTTTTCCTCTGGAACAAATTTGTAGCTTATACTTAGTTTTTTGTCCTTTTCTGAACGGATAAATTCGAAAATCGAAACAAAATCACTCTCACTTTGCATGTAAAAATATCTCAATTTGTTCGGAACAGTGTAAAATAAAATCCTGACCTCCGCCCATGTTTCCGAAAAAGAATGCTTGTGATGAAGATGTTGTCGAAAGAAGAACTACAACTGAGAGCAGAAGGGTCGATGGCATCCTTTTTTTGGGATCGAACGAGAACTACCTTCGGCGGAAATGCCAGGATCCTTCTTATAAAGAGTTTCCCGACGGCAAATCACGCCCTCGATATGAAACCGAGTTGAAGAGGGAAAAGTACAGTGAAAGTAAGGAAGGGGCGGTGGCTGGAGACCGAATGGCCGAGGATCCTTGCAGAACGCGCTCCAAGGCGAAATTGCCGGCTTAGCCGCGGCCTGGAGATCCGGCACGAGCGGTTTCGCAGCCGGAAGTCGTCTCTTCGGCTTCTTCGTCCTCCTCGTCGTCCTCGTTGTACTCGCCGTCGTCGCCGAACAACTTCACCACCTTCAAATTTTCCTCGCCCAGCTCCAGGTCATCAAAAGGATTCGTGTAGCCTTTCCTGAAAAACTTTTCAATTATCCTCTGTTTTCCCTTTCCTTATTTTAAAGTTACGACTTTTTTTTAAAGGAAAAACACTAAAAACATAACACAAGTTACTTTTGAACTTCTTTTCATTTTCCGCACAAATTTCTGTTTTCCGAATTTAAAAGCCCCCGTTTGATCTCGTATCACAATCATCAACTTCCAAGACTGCAAATGATTTGCAGCAAATCATACAAAAAAATAGACTTACTTTCCGACGATTTCCTGATGCATGTTCACGTCACAGACATAGACAAAAGCGCGCCAGACGATGGTCAGCATGTAAATCTCAAACCAGACCATCAGTAACTGTAATTTTCGATTAATAAAGTTTCCTTGACTAGAATGCATACCAGGCCGCCGTTGTGCAGGACAGAAGACTTTTCGAGAGTGTTTTTCTCGTTCGCGGACTCCAGAAAGTCGACGAACAACTGCAGTATTAGAGCGAATATGAACAATACGCAGACCGTAAAATATGGAACTAGAAACAAATATCTGAAAATCGTCATTTCAAAAAATCCGCAAGAAGTAAGGACTTGTTGGTCTGTAATCCAGATATGAGCATGATGTTGGAGATGCAGACACCGAAAAAGGCACAAGTTCCAACTATAAAACCACACGAATTGATGTGAGTCTGAGGTTTTTCTGACAGAGAAGGCCTAGAGGATTGGAGCCGTCGACAACGTGCACGACGAGGGCCGTCAGAAGAGCGACAGTCTTCACGATTGCCAGGCCGATCGCCGCATCCTTCACGTGGAACAGCCCGAAGATGGCTCGGTATTCTCTGTTGTTCTCCTGAACCCGTTCAGTTCCTCATAACATTGTGGCCATACATTTTCCCCAATGATCTTTTAAGAAAAAATGCTGATAGAGAGCAGTTTCGGTAAACATGACTCATTCGATATTATTAGTCCGTTCTGAATTGAAAATTTTTCCCATATTTCTTGGTCTAACGTCGTATAAATTCAAATTCTGACATGGCTGCAACCGGAAAGAATTTTATTGTTACTATACTATAGTCTGATTTTGAGCTCATAATTTTTTTCGTCTCAAACTGGCGTGAACATTCCAACTCGACTCAAATTTCGGGAAAAAGAAATGGTAGCAAATTTCTATTCCGGGGATTTTAAGAGCTGTTTGTTGCTTTTTTTTTGTCGTGTCACATTGAGAACAATACTTTTCAGAACCTTTTTGCCATAATCAAATTGTTGAAACAAATTAAATGAAATTCGAAAAAAAAAAATTCGAAAAACTCGCCAAGAATTCGGTTGGGTCGTGAGTCTTGGGCGGATAGACACAGCAGCACCAGTACTGCTGGACGTACTTTTTGAAGGAGAACGAAGACATTCCGGCGCCCAGACGAAGGCGTGAACTGACCGCGACGACGGGGACGACTATTTTGGCCCCGTTGATAAAATCAATCATAGTTCTTGTTTCTGGACCGCGTGATTTTTGGTGTCTACCTTTGTGTTTTTTCAAACTCTCGACGTGATTTCCATTAGGCGAACTTAACATGATTGGTTGTGCCAAATGAACAACTGAAGTTCTGAAGGCGTTTCTGAGTTTTTTTTTCAACTGAGACGTCCCAATTCATGAGATTGTCTTCCGTAGATCAGGACGATTTCTTCTGATTGAAAAAAAAAGAGTGCCACGTTCAGCGCTTGAAACGAGTCAGAGAAATAAGACTGGCATCCCGGTGATCTGGCGGCGCTTCATATGGATTTCGCTAAAAATTAATCTACGGCAGTATTCCGTTGCTTTTCGTCGCTTTCCGACTAATCCCGATTTCCTCAGCTTGCAAATTCTAGAGATTGCTCTTCGCTCTCTTAAATATTCTCCCCTACGCGCAAAAGCTTTGAAAATTCATTGAAAAGATGAAATAAACACATCAAGTTCACTAATCACAACAAGGCCCGGAAACGTCATTCCATCATGACATGACAATGGCAAAGTTTTGAAACGAAGTGAGGGTTCATTTTATCGCTGTTGGAGCCTCAAACTTGACTTTCTTCGGCCCCACAGTTGCGGAGAGCTTCGTCGAGAAAACCTTGAAAACAAAAATAAAGTTAACGAACTTCAAAAAGGGAACAGTGTGTGTTGGCCGAAATGTTCATGGCCGCGAGGACATTTTTCTCTGGTCGCAATGGACCGCAGTATATTTCGTGGAGAGAACGAAGAAAACTTTCTCATATCAAGCCAAGCAATTAAAAGAACAACTGTGGTTTCGAAAGATACTAAAATATAAAGATTAAAATTTATTTCCTCAAATCTTTTTGGTTTTAATCTAGTTATTGATCCTCTGGAAAAAAAAAACAAGAAACTCTCTGTAGAAATTAATTTTTTTCAGAGTTATCAGAAATTCTCTCTCACAAGGTATTATTTTTTTATTTTATTTTTTTCAAATAAAAAAATTATCGAAATTTCAAAAAAATGTAGCTAAATTTAAGATTCTTTTGCGAAAATAACTTCTAAAAAAAGTGTCCTGATTACTTTTTTTCCGATTAGAACAGTCTAAAAATAGCATATGAAGGGATTTCCGTTTTCATAGGCTATTTTTGGGATTATTTCAAAGCAAGAAGCCAAGAAAGGCATTCAATGTCAAAATCTCAAGGATGGCGTCAGTTTCATTACTACTTCATTTTTCTAATGAAAAATGTTTGTATTTTTGAAAAATTCCTTTTTTGTTCCTCAAGCGATAAGAATGGATGAAGCGAACAAATCAAAAAATCTTATCATGTTGTAACATATTCCTAGGATCATACTTTCTCATTCAATTCGAAAGGTTTGTTAGTCATCGATAACCAAAACTTGTATTCGGAAAGAGAAAAAAACGTCACATACTCTGTTAAGGAAGTTCATTCCACAATAAAGGTCATATCTCATTTTGCGGCTAGAGAGCCTTCAAAAAAAAAACATTCCAAGGTAATTCTTCATGGACCAAGAGAAAATCCTGAAATTCTCAACCACCAAAAGTTCTTTTTTCAGAAACGAAAGGCTCAAATATTCAGGATGACCCATTTAATAAAACTACAATGTTTTTTTCTTTGAATTAATTTTCTTCTATAGATAATGGATGAGTTGTGCAGATTACGACTTCCTGGATCCCCATCTAATATATTAAAAAGCGAATGAGCGAGATAACAGAATATTCAAAGTTATGAGCTGAAACGACCTTCATTGTTATACATTCAAGTGCTTCGCGAATTATAAAATTTAAAAAAATCAAAAATTCTTGTTTAAAAGGCCTTGCAAGCTTTAACTCCCCCATTTCGGAACTGAGAAAAAGAACCCGCCTCGTTTCATCTCACGCACAATGGAGCCCATGAACTTCTCCCAGCCGACGACAGCAAGCCGTGGGTCGACCTCGAAAATGAGTTGCGAGAGCTGGACCGACTCGCGGAGACTTAGTTTCGTCGAGGAGCGCGATTCGACGACGGGCTCCGAACGGAGCTCTGACGTCACGCTTTCTACCGTCACCTTTTTGAACGAAAGCCAGTTGTCTGCGCCAAAATTCACTCCTCTGCAAAGCTTCCAATGAAAACGGCGAATATATGCCCAAAAAGGAAAAAAAAAGTCAAGAATGCAAAGAATTCAGATAAAATGTTAAACGCTGTCCTAACCACGTTTTTCTGAACGGAAATCTGAGTTTATCATGATTTTAACATTTCCGTTTTTTTTTTTCTCTTGAGCGAGTGAGCTGATCTCCAACTAATTCTCATAAATATAATTTTCTTTGCCAGGATCTTAACCTGTTGTTTCATGTAAGTTTAACGACCGCAAAACTGCGGCCTTTTGCGATAAAAAGCGACATTTTTTCAGTTGTTCTTGTACAAGGAAATACTGGATTGATGAAAACCTGTAATTGTGATGAAATCAGAAAAAAAACACTTCTCTTTTCACTTTTTCTAACTTTAAAATTTGGTCGCAACTTGATTTTGATGGATTAAAAATAATTTCCCAATGATTTTTTTTGAAAGTTATCCAAAAAGTCCGAAATGGAAAAAGTAAGGTACCGATAATAATGTATCTGTCCTACGCGGTGAGCCATTTGCTGAACTATGACCATAGGGCAAAATCCCAGAGAACTGACAGCCGTGTCCAGGAAATTCTGAATGCGATGAGCCTGCAAGACGTATCCTTCAAAGATGTGATAGAGGCTCGATTTTGGTTGATTGATGGAAGATTCTCAAGCTTTACGCCCTAAGGTGACGCTAAAAACTATATCTGCTTGCCTGGAGTAAGAACTCTTTGCAGGCGTAGAGTTCTTCCATGTTTTCGTTGCTCACATGTATCCCGAAGTAGTCCTTGAACTGTGGTTTCCGGTCAATGAGCTCCCGCAAAATTTGCATCCCGATATCTCTTTGCTTGGCCCTGAACTTATCTTTGAACAGAGAATACAGAGAAGGTTTTACAGTTCTTTTTAACCGAAAATGAGGACCGAAAAGTCGTTATTTTTGTCTTTTCGAGAATAAATATTTTTCCTCAGTACGAACACGCGTTAAAAACTTGAATGAGTTGAAAAAAAGTGATTTTGTAGAGAATTTTCCAAACATCCGACTTGCCGAGTTTCTGTTACAAATGATCACCAAAAATAAAAAGAAACCTGCTCCAGACTTCGCGAACGGCATGCATTTCCTCGTCGGTAAGTTCGTCGACTCCTACGGGAGTTTTGCAGCAGCACGGCAGGATTTTGCGTAGCCAGTGCTGCAGGAAAAGCTGTCGAGATGACTCTTGTGGTCTTCTTCTCCGACAAGACATCAATACAAGCTGATCCGAGAAAGTGAGCGCCGGACTGGAGCGTCGATAAGCTTCCCGCATCACTGGGGAAGCCGGCAAATGATCGGCCGCGCCCACAAATCTCGGGCTTCCTGATAAAGCATCAGAGTTCCCGATTTCAGGGCGATCTCATTGCTCGTGAACTAAATGCCATAATCGTCTCAGAACTTCCGTCGTAGTATAACATTTTAAACGAATAAAAGGAGATATATCTGTAAACTCAGTAAACTTATCTTATTCCTTTCAACGTACTCCGAAAACAATTAGGAGCACGATGTTCAGAAACAAATAAAAACTCCAGATCTTCTTTTTTTTTACCGTTTGAAATTTTCTTACCGTTCGAGTTCGTCTAATGAAAAAATATCAATTCAAATTTAAAACTTGACGTGAACATCAATATTTGGGTGGACTTGCAACACTTGCCGCTATATAGGTATCCGTTTTAATTTAAACCTAAAGCAGTCGAGTATAGTTGACTTTTTCCCCAGAATATAATACTTTTTTCCCGGTTTTCTTTAAAATCAGAAAAATTTATGAGCAATGGAGACATAAAGAAGCAGTTACTCGGCGGCCAGCTGTCCCACGAGCTTCTTGTAGACGTCGACAACTTTGCGGAGACCTTCGTCGTCGACGCCCCAATTGAGAACCATGCGAATTCGAGTTGAGTCAAATGCCATGACCAGGACGCCGTTTGACTTGAAGAACTCCATCACCTCAAGTGAAACGCATATTTTTTTCCATTAAGTTAAATTTCTCGTGAAACTCTCCAACTTCAACCTACCTTATAAACATTGACCTCCTCCAAGCAGTTCAGAAGCACCATGTTTGTGATGTTGGTATCGTCATTGGCGAAAATTTTCTGAAACCATAAGACAGCGTTTCAAGTGAATTTTTCAAAAAAATCTATTTGAATATTATTTAAAAGTGAGTGAGGTTTTTTTTTCCTTTGGAGTTACCTTTTTAATTACACTAACCAGGGAATGGTCTCTGGTCGCAGTGGGACCTCTCAATGAGACCAAGTTTTCTGAATGTAGTTTTTCACGCTGATTCCAAATCTGGTCTCAAAATCTGCCGCGGAGGTCTGTGAAAAAAGTTATGGACCCTCAAAACTCGAAAATTTGAACGTCTCCGATTGAGTTCATTTTTGGAGGGTATATAAGTCTTGTCCCTCTGGTCACGAAAAACCATTGAATTTTTCTCAAAAAAATTTCGGAGTCAAGATATGACCTTTCAAAGCCCCGCCGCGCACAAGAGGATGCGCGCGCGGTGTCCTATTGCGATCCGGCGACCGTCGAAGCAACGGCAGCAAGGGGCAGTGGTAAGACGGCGGACTGGGGATCATGAGGTCATAGGTTCGATGCCCACTCTGTGCAAACTTTTTTTGCAGTTTTTTCTCTTTTTCTATGATTTGGTTTATGGGCTCCTTTTTTGAGTTTTGAGGCGTATAAACATGAAAATTCTTCGTTTTTAGCCTATTCAAACATCTAGAATTATTTTCGTCCGAAAATTTTTTCATGGAATTTTTCGAGATTTTTCATGTGTATGAGCATGGGCTGGAGTGCAAAAAAATTTTCAAAAAAATTTTTTTTTCTAAAACCCGTTTTTTTTTTCTTAAAAAGTTTCATAAGCCAAACTAGTCATAGATACGCTGATATAAACAACAGAAAAATTTTTCTGTGGCTTGTTCAGACCCCAGCGTTCACATACACTGTATGAGGGAAAAAATCCTAATTTTTTCCTACTTTCTGCTGAAGATATCAAAAATTGAAACTTCTATTTTATAAATAACACAATTGGAACCGAATTTCCCGGATAAGTTGCTTTCAATGAAATTTTGAAAGTTCACAGGCCACGATGTTTTTTTCATTACGCAAGGTCAAGACTTTTCGTAAATTATGATGTTTAGGGTGTAAGCACACCGAGACGCACTATCGCATACTCAAAAATGTTTTTCAATTTTAGAATTTGCGATTTCAGGATAATAGCTCCTGAAATATTCGAAATTTGTCAGTTTGAAGAATATGATGTGAAAAAAACATTCACTTACATTAAAAAAACATTTAGGATTGATTTCGAAAGGGGAAAAACTCTAAATTACTGACTACAAAAATAAAAAAACAAAAAAATATTATGTAAATGAATCAGCTCCCATTGAATAAGCATTTATAAATACGAAAAAAATATTGAAATGAGGAAAATTCGAGGAGCAAATGAAAAAAAAACATTTTATATACCTCGAAAACCTAGCTTCAGAAAAACAAGTAATGGATAGAAAGCAGAAATTTTAGAAAAAAAACCTCGTATGGCGAAATTTTTGTTTAAATCCGAAAACCATCAAAAAACTAGAAAAAAATATATAATTTAGATGATGCATATATCAAAAAAATATTAAACTGCATCAGCAAATTCAATTTAGCTCTAATTTACACGAAACCGGTTTCAAACTACGTCAAAGGAACTAGATAATAACTTTTTATTATTAACTGATTAAATTAAAAAAACTATAGTTTCCGAAATAGAGTTACTCTTTTTCATGTCGCGAAACAGATTTCAAAAATTTTTGAAAAAAATTAGGACTTTTTAGAAAAAAATCTTCAACTATTTTGAGAAAAAAGTTAAAGATCTGAAACCGGTTTAGAAAAGTGCGCAATTCAAAACTCCACAAAATGTACCCATAGAGAGGCGGATCACATAAATGCAAGAAATAGAAAAAAAATAAAAAACCAATGAAAAAAGTGAAGAAATTCAATTTTTGCATCAGAAACGATGAGAAGGGCGCAATGATGCGCCACGGATAATATGCCGCTGGGACCCAAAATTTCGCACTTTTTTTCATTGCGCGGAACACCGTGAGGCAGTAAGAGTTTGTCGAGAGTGAACTTTGAAAAAATGAAAATAAAAATCTGGAAAAAATTTTTTCCTCAAGAATTCATCTTTGTTGAGCATTCCCACTTCTTCCATCTTGGGGAAACCACGCAAATAAACTTTTTTCGGCGAAAGGCGATCATACACATGAAAAATCTCGAAAAATTCCATGAAAAAATTTTCGGACGAAAATAATTCTAGATGTTTGAATAGGCTAAAAACGAAGAATTTTCATGTGTATACGCCTCAAAACTCAAAAAAGGAGCCCATAAACCAAATCATAGAAAAAGAGAAAAAACTGCAAAAAAAGTTTGCACAGAGTGGGCATCGAACCTATGACCTCATGATCCCCAGTCCGCCGTCTTACCACTGCTCCTTGCTGCCGTTGCTTCGACGGTCGCCGGATCGCAATAGGACACCGCGCGCGCATCCTCTTGTGCGCGGCGGGGCTTTGAAAGGTCATATCTTGACTCCGAAATTTTTTTGAGAAAAATTCGATGGTTTTTCGTGACCAGAGGGACAAGACTTATATACCCTCTAAAAATGAACTCAATCGGAGACGTTCAAATTTTCGAGTTTTGAGGGTCCATAACTTTTTTCACAGACCTCCGCGGCAGATTTTGAGACCAGATTTGGAATCAGCGTGAAAAACTACATTGAGGAAACTTAGTCTCATCGAGAGGTCCCACTGCGACCAGAGACCATTCCCTGGTAAGAGTTTAGCGCGAATGACAGGAAAATTTATGCCGTGTTCAAAGTAATTTCCGCGAAATGCAAAATACCCGTTAGAGAAAGGAAAAGATCACTAAATTTTGGAGAGTCAGAGATCATTTTGCATTTCGCGGAAATTACTTTGAACACGACATTAATGCGACCATCACCAGGACTTCAGTACGGCCTTCATCTATTTATAAATCAGACCTGCGTTTGGATGACAGAAACTTAGTATAACTAATGCTCAAACATCAAAATTTATTGCATTTTTTTTTTGACTTCGTGGAAAAATTCTCGTTTTGGATTGAAATTTTTCTCTTCTGAAATGAAGCTGATAATCTGAATATTAACCTTTTTCAAAGCAGCAGGAGTGCTTTTATTGATGGCGGAAGCAAGAATTTTGGCCCGCTCGTGGTCCTTGCGAACTGTAGCCTCGGCGTGATCCAAGGCGACCATGGCCGCGGCGGCGAGAATTCCTGCCTGTCTCCAGCCACCGCCCAACGCCTTCAACCACACTACATCTTAGCCTTCAAAGCCTTCAAACCTTTCTACGGAGACGAGCTAGGGCGATTTCTTCACGACTGCCGACGAGAATGGACCCGGAAGGAGCTCCAAGACCTTTGGAGAAGCACATTTGCACTGTGTCCGCATACGAGGCGATCTCAGAAACCTCAACCCATTTAACTTGGGAAAAAGCGTTCTATTAAAGGCGCACCTCGCAGTTCGTAGCAACCGCCGCATTATAAATCCGCGCTCCATCCATATGTATTTTCAATCCTTTGCGAACAGCCAGTTCTTTGAGAGCTCTAAAAAGAGCTTTCGAGATTGACGGCAATTTAGAAGAGCTCACTTGAGATGGTCAATCGGTATCGCTTTACCGCCCATGAAGTTATGAGTGTTCTCTACGCAAATGAGACGCGTCATAGGCATGTGAGCGTCCTCAAAATGCCACGAGGTAAGCGAGAATTCCTTGATTTACCTTGACTCGAATGGAGTCTTCGACGTCTTTCAGATCCAAAGTGCCGTCGGACTTGACGTCGAGGGTAGTCGCACTAACGCCTAAGCAGCCAAGACTGATTTCGACTAGGGAGAATGGGAGAACCGGCGATCTGAGCGTAGTTTCCTTGTTCCCAGCGATGGATGTGATGATGGCGGCCGACGATCAGCTCGTCGCCACGTTGGCAGTGGACCATCACGGCCAGCAGGTTGCCCATCGTGCCGCTCAGCACAAACAGCGCCGCCTCCTTTCCGAACAGCTTCGCGCATCTACCATTTTTTATAATGTATTTAACTCTCTTGACATACTTCACTAGTGCTAGATAAGATGTTTTCAAGCCATCATTCTATTTTCAGATCTTATAGTGGCCAGTATCAGCGTGAAGACTTCAGTTTTCTATAATCTTAAAAATTTGATAATTTTATAAAAATTTAGTTGAAAAAAACTGGATAAGGTCATGAAAGAAGCTTGACAATTATTATGAAAATATGCTGCTAACGCTCACTACATACACTCTTCATGAAGATTATAAGGATTAAACATCGCAAAAAATACACATATGATTGTAACTCAGACTCAGCCGGATAGTTGAAAGAAAAACCGTTGTTCGAGTGCATTTACGGTCGGATCCTCGCCGTAGACGTCGTCGCCGAGCACCGCTTCGGCCATGGCGCGTCGCATTTCCACACTGGGAAGTGTGACCTTAGATCGAAACTTTCTCATGCCAAACTCCTGTTATTACCGTATCCGAGCGCAAGTCGACACATTCTGCCGAGTTCTCGATCCTTTGCGTGTAGCCGGGTTTCTTTAATGTGGAGTCAAAGTTAAAAAAATAAAAGAAAATTTGAAATAATCTTGAACCGATTCAAACAAGGACGGCCTTCCAATTCACACTTAGATTTTTCAATAAGTAGAATATAGCGCCCGAGATTAAAAAAAAGAAGAACAACACTGAAAAAAGCTGAAAATTGTGAACAATTATCTCACAATTTCTCACAAGCGCCAAATTTCTTCGAAATATTGATAGCTTTTCATTTCTTTTCTTCTTCAACAGTTTTCGTGTCCTACAATCCCATTTCTAACTAGAATAAAATTTAGTTACTAGAAACTCTGCTTCAAGCATTTTACAAACAGTTCGTATTGAGATTAAAAAAAGCATCAATTGCGTGATTGATAAATTCCGGAATTTATCCAATTCACGTACTCACATTTTCAGGGACGGCGGACATAGCAGCGAAAGGTCGTTCGAGGCGAGCTCTGAACACGAGCTTCCGATAAGAGAAAAATACGTAATCAGTCGCTTACCGCAGTGATAAGCCACCGAGAATTCTGTTCAAAACTTGTCTTCCAACCATATAAATACGAAGGCTACAAGGTATTACACTGAAAAAAATGTCGCCGATTACACGTGTCGCCTTTTTTGCGATTTTTATCAGCTCCCGCCATCCGTTTGATAAAAATCACCTCACGAAAGATGTCTAGCTGTTATTACATTGTTGATATCGAGACATAACAACTTTTTTTTTTTTGAGTTTGAAAGCACAACATATCTTTTTATAAAAAAATAATAAACTTGACCTGAATTTGGAAAAAAATCAAACCAATTTTCTTTTCCAGACGAATTTTTGAAATTTTTCTGTTTATCTCAGGAGAAAAACAACTAGTCTCTCCCTCTTTTACAAGCTCCTATGCATTAAATTGCAATTGAACTTTGATAGTGAATCTCAAAACCTTTAAAACTTTTTTGTTTAGAAATCACCCATTATGCTTTTGGATCGATAAAATAATTTTGAAAAAATGGATCATGTTTCCTGGGAAAAACCATAAAGACAAGAATTTTTTTTTCTTGTTAAAAGCCTTAACATGAAAGTTTATCTACATGCTACATGTACAAATGATGCAAAAACCAAGACATCGGGACGAAAAACTAGTCGAGTATTTGGCTTGAAAATATCAACGTAACAATAATAAGTTTTTGAGTTACAGTTAGAATTTATGTACATTGCGCGACGCAATAGTGCGCATTAGATGCCGTCGCCGAAATCCTGAAACAGAGAAATGAGGTTTTTTATTGGGTTTGAAACATCGGCGATAAAAAGGAGTTGAACGAACGCTGTGAGACGCGGACTTCTGGCACTGTTCTTCCAGCATCTTGATTTTGTAGTCCTGGTCGGCCAGCATGCGTCTACTCTCTGTTTGGTCCTGGAAAACAGTTTTGGCTACGTTAAAAAAGCAGTGTGAAAGCGCTGAATACTTTATTTACTTACAAAAACCTCCGAAATGGCTTTTTACTTCGAAAATGTTATGAATATACTCATTGTGCTTTCGAAAAACTTAGTAATTTTGCTATAAATTATTTCAAAATTCAAATTTCCTACTATTTTTTAAGTTTTAAATTCACTTCACTGGGGGCTTTTTCACCTAACTAACATTGCTCTACGACTAAAACATATTTTTGACAGAATGTTGGACAATTAACATCAATTTGAAACTTTCTGTCTTTGATTAAAAAGATCCTATTTTTTTTTTCAAAGAATCGTATGAAAAAAAAAATTACAAACCTCGGCCAAGATCTTGGCGATTTCTGAATGATTATTCGCTTCTTCCTTGAACTTTAGCGAATCTTGTCTCTCCACTTCGAGCTGTTTGCGCAGGTTTTTCAGCTGCAAATAGGATGTATAAAAACAAAATAAAAATGATCTGAGACCTCGCTCTCGAGCGCCACAATATGGTTGGTGTGATCCGAGAGCTGGCGCAGCAGCACACTTTCCGTTACGTTTTTATTTCCTGAATACAGAACCAAGCGATATATTTAGGAAAGTCTTTAGAACCATTCCCGATTGAACCAGTCAGCTGGCCCTGAAAATGCTCTCGCAGTTCTTTCTCTCTCACGTACTTGGCCATGATTTCGTCACGGTGAGCTCTAAAGTCACTGCGATTCCAGACAAGTTCGGCTATCAACATACCTGGTTTCGTGAAGATCATTCTTGAGAATTTCGTCCATCGTGGCCATTCTTTCGTGTTTTTCTTGAAGTTCAGCCAGCTGGATGAAAGAATTAAAACCAGAAGAAATATTAGGATGCTCAGAAAGTTTTTGCGGTTTTTGATACTCCCCCTTGCAAGAGATTTTTTGAACTGGACTTTAGACTGGCTTGACAAAGTTATATGTCATTTTGAAGCGCGTGGTTTGTTTTATTTTTTAAATGTAACCGTATCATTCGAAACAGAATTGTGTAAGTTTTATGTAATTTTGAAAAAAGGGTTAAAAACAGCGATTATAGTAGCTTTTTTGTTCTTCTCTCAACTAGACTTATAAGCGTTGAAATCACTCGATGTTTTACTATTTGTTTGACATAGTAACTACTTTCAAACATGCAACGTGATTGCTGCTGGAAAAAACATTGGCCAAGATTATGAGCTCGACAACTGAGAACAGTCATTTTCGAGTTATGTTTCTACTGCGCGGTAACAAAACGTCCTGGTAGCTGCACATTTGCGAAAAACTTTTTGTTGTTGCTTGAGAAGATGTATAGATGTCGCTAGCAAAGTTCCTGACTAGAGAACTTTTTCAGAGACCAGAAAAGCCTACTAAATGTGTTCCTCACAAATCTCCCTTAAACCATAACGCAGTGTTATTCTTTTCGTCTAATTAAAAGGGAAAAGTGACTTATTTTTTTTGATAGAATAGGACTTTTTGAATCACGATAATAAGAAAGTCGTCTACAACAATTTTAAAGCCTATTATTATTGGATAGCCCAAGGCGCCGCTTTGGATAGTTCTTCGAACTCAACCTATCAAATATTGACGATTGAGCTCGTTCTTGGCTTTCTACAGTTGTTATAACTTTTTATAACTATTCTCAACTTTCTACTCTACAACATTAAAGCGACGTTGTTCACTAATCAAAAATTCCACGAATTAGTGTATAAAAAAATTTTGAAAAACATCGAAACTAAAAAAAGTCACGTTTTTGTCCTGTATCGCGCTTTGCGGAAGTTGCCAGTAAAAAAATTAACGAAACAAGAAAAAAATGATTTTTGTTTATTTTTCTCTTTTTTCAACCCCTACCTTGCTAAACAACAGCTCTCCAAACTTTGAAAATACTTGCACGCGTAAAAAATGCTTCGAAACCAAAACCCTCTCAAAAAAGGCTTTGAGAGTTTTAAAGCCCCCAGTAATTCAGGGCTTGATATCATCGACTAAAATTTTTGTGTTTTTTGTTGTCACATGGCCACTCAATAAGATGGTTTTTGTTTTGATCAGAAGTAAGAACTCTAAGCGAAGTTAGGATCATTTGAAGTCAAATAATTAAAACCGCAATAACTTTCTGAACAACCTAATATTCAGAAACACCTTTTCATCGACAGCTTTCTTTTCCAGTGCTAAGGCGTTCATTTCAGACTTCAAGCTTTCGAAGCGTAACTTCTCCTTTTCACTAGCATCCGACGCCAGTGTTGAGGTTGACATGATCTTGAAAATCAACTTTCAATTGTTTGGATGGCCATTCAGACCTGCTCTCTGAGCTTTCCGATGCACACGAGAGAAGCCTGAAGGACAGCTTCGGTGTGATTCTGAAGACTTTCCACGTCGTCGCTGGTGCTCGACAATGCTGAAAAAGACAGGAATGGACGAATGGAACGATTTTTTCAGACTCACAATTCATTTCCAAAGGGTTGACGAAGGAGACGTCCGGGATTACAGATGCTTGCAAAATCGGCGTATCTTTGGGAGCATCCGCCACCAGGCTGCTAGAATGGAGACCATCAAAGAATATACTAGATTTTTCGAGCAGAATTGACTCTTGTATGCATTTTTCAAAGTGATTGCGTGTACTACGATTTTCTCTCATATTTACGTTTCTTCCGACTACCTTCTTTCGAGAGAAATGACAGAACAATCGAAAGAAGCAAATCATCTTTAATTCTAAATCGTTTACTTTTTTCAAATTTTATCACTGAAACCGTTATTAACCGGATTGTAAGACAAGATATTTGCAAACTAACTTTTGCTCGGAGGCATTCTCTCTGGTGAGAGTGTTATTTCTCGAAGCAGAGTGGAGCTCGTTTTCCTTCACAGAACTAATAAAAGCCTCTGAATGGTCGAAAAGAGGAGGATCGATTCTGATGCTTTGTTGGATAGACCACGCCTCTCCGTTTCCTAAATTATCAAATAGAGCAAAAAAAGAAAACCTTCAAATTTGATAACATATTTATACACCAAGAAGCAATAGAGGGTTCTGGAGTACTCTGAGGTTTAAGCTCCTTATTTCTTTCGCCTGAAAAAAGACCTTTTAAGTAAAGAAACCTTTATCTTCTTCGCTATCAATTATTTCGAACTCGTCACAGATGCTATCCATAGTTAAAGTCGCCATCGTTCAGGTACTGAAAAACTCAACGTTTTAGAAAATAAAAACCTTGCTTCATTTAAAATATGTGAAGTGGCGCTTGGTAGACCTTTGGTTGAAACGAAAATCAAAAACAAAAATATTGTGGAATACGATAAAAATTGAATCAAATTCGTTTTTAAACTACTCTTTTGAAACGATATATAAAAATTTACAAAAAGCAACAAAAATTAAAATAAAACAAAATGTGAGAGTAATGAAGCCATGAAAAGAAAAATTCAGGCGGCAGCCACAATGTGACTCGGAACAGAAAAAAATGAACAAAATTTCGATTCGTTTGTCACCGTTCTTGATTTCACTAAACACCTCTCTCGAAAGTTATTGATTAGATGAGTTACGAAATACTCAGTATTGTGAAATTATACTTGATGAACGGATGATCATGACTGTGAACCAAAATCAAGCCTAGGAACCAATAAGAGCCTTTTTACGACAGCGTTTTTATATTTTGAAATTGAACAGACAGCATCCATCAAGAAATTTAGCGATGAAAAGCGCTCTATTAGTTAACTGTCAAATTTTTCTGAGCCCTCAAGAAAAAAAATCAATAATTTATTCGGGATCAAATGTATAAGACCTCAAAAAAAAAATTTTAAAATAGATGCAAAAAAAAAGATGAGTTAAAAGTTTTTTTTAATCGTTAAAAAAAAACTTTTTTTTGATGGCGTGTTTATCGAAGAAACGGAAGATGTTTTAAAACCTAGAAAAGTATTCATGGTCCCAAAGCTGCTTCAAAACTGTACAGATTTTTGTTCCGGAGCAGTTTCGTTGCGTTTCGGAACAACTTTGTTTTGTCCATCGCGATGAACATGACAGAACGGTGAAAATCACGCGGTGAATCAGCACGGATTGAAAATAGTTTGAGGAAAAGTTCTCTCGTTTCAGAAATCGATGAAAAAGAGACGTACTTATGTATACCTGCGATTTCGCAAAAAGAAAAGATAAAAAATGATGCGTCATTTAAAAATAACTTTTGAACAGCTGACTTCGAAAAGGCGCCCCACCGAAAACTAAATAAGTATCTGCTAGAGGGAAATAATTGTGTCGATTTACGCAAGGATTTTTAAATATTCAAATTTTTTGTTTTTAACCTTTTGGAGAAATATCTAGTTTTTTATGAAATTTTTGTTGCATGTCGTGTTTAAAATAATATCCGCGAAATGCAAAATTACCTTTGACTTTCCAAAAATTTAGTTATTTTTTTTTTTCACTGACGGCTATTTCGCATTTCGCGGAATCACTTTGAACACAGCAACAAGAAGCAGTATAAGATTGAATTTTATACTAACTTTGATGGATTATTAGCAAATAAAATGGAGCAGCAGGTTAGTATTATCATATTTTTTTTCTGTTTACACAGGTATTTCAGTCTGGAACTGCAAGATACAACAAGGCCTCTAGTAAAGGCCTCGAGCCGGTTCAAGATGAAAATTTGATGAATTCTCGCCAAGTTTGTTTTTTTCATTTTCCTTTTTTTGAATATCGCGGCGTTCAGAAATATTTGCCGAAAGAATCCGTTGTTTTAGAAACGAAAACACGCTTGAAATTGACTGTGAACAAACTTAATGTGAGTTTTTATTTTTAATGGCGGAAAGCTAACGTTTTTTTTAGGTAACAGCTGAATGGAAGTGGACTGAAGGAGGCGAGGATACCTGTGGAATTTGTCGAATGGAGTTCGAAGCAGCATGTACAAACTGCAAGTTTCCTGGCGACGATTGCCCATTAGTGCGTTACTTAAAATTTTGGTTTTCGCCTGCCGATTGATCCGTTTTTCGAGTTAAAATTGATGGTTTTATATGGAGATCTCAATTTTTTCAGGTGGTTGGATCCTGTAGACATGCTTTCCATATGCATTGTATTGTCAAATGGACAGAAGCAGCTTCGAATCAGCCAAAGCCCCAATGCCCACTTTGTCGACAAGAATGGAAATTTGCCACCTGAAACTCAATCCTTCACGAAGTTGAAAGCAACTCATCTCTTTGTAATACGTGTTGTATGCTCTGCAATATAAAAACCTATTTTGAAGCGAAGTATCAACTATGGAATTTAATTTGTTCTGTAGTCAAGTTATTTTTTCAATTTTAATCATTTTGTTCGCCCACAGGCATTCTGTGGCGGTTGAGTAAAAGAACTGAATGGCGATGCGAGCCTCCAAAGCATAAAAGTTCCACTTCCCTACACAAACTCTCTGTAACTTTGCGTGCGCAAAACGCAGCGACTGCTAAGAACAGAAATTGTGAACGTATGATTTTTCTCTCTTCCGAGCTTTTTTTTTCAATCGTAAGAATGGATAATAAATCGCCGCGAATATGGAACCTGGGATAGAGCGTTCGGAGGGAAATTTCCTTTAGTTTGATCTCTTTTTTTCGTTTCATACGTGTTTTAAATCTCATTTATTTTTCAAATAACGTGTTTGAAGTGAATCTACAGAGTTCAAAAATAATGATCAAAGTCTAAAAAAAGATAACAAAATGTGGAGTATCAGAGATAATCGTGCGTTCGCTGAAATCATTTTGCACTTGGCCAACCAGGATTTGCGAAGGTCGGCCCGTCAGCCTATTGGCCCCGGCCATTTTCTGAGCCCGGTTCGGCCTTAGGAAGGCCTCAAGCAAAAAATTACCCGGCCTAAAAAGCTTACATTTTCTAAAAGTCGTATATCAAGCTTTTTTATGACACAAGTTATGATTTTGCTTATTTTTTTAGAGTTCAACAGAAAATATGATTTAACTACTAAAAATGATTTTTTTTTTCCGTGAAAGTCTTTTTTAATGAGATTTAAAATTTTTTTCAAGGTCTGCCCTGGCCTAAGCCTGCACTGGCTTTTCTCAGAAATGATGAATATATACGACATTCGCGTTCACGAAAACCAGAGAAAAGCTGCTCCAGGGCTAACACCCGCCTGAGTTTCTGTAGGACTTCAAATCTGCCGTTTTGCACGTTTTGTTTTCCGAACTATTTTTGGATGTTTTCTCACTTTACTAAAAATCTTTCCACTTTTAATTTTCTCAAAAATTTGAATTTGTAGTTGAAAATGGTAGTCCACGAGTTTCCGTGGGATGCATCGACTTCAGTGGCAGATTTGACGGAGAAACAATTGGTCCAGCTTTGTAGCATTATTGCGAATGAGTCCAACTCTGTAGTCAATTTTGTTAACACGGCTCTCGAGCAATCTGCAGCGTCAACTTCTTCTCCAGCTACTCCCGGTGCTCAGGGTGAAAAACCTGCACCAATTCTCGGTTTTTTTATTTCCTGAATAAATATGAAGTTCATTTGCCTTATCAGTATGGAGCATCGGTCTTTTGTTCGTCACATTTATCAACATGTGTGCAGTTGTTGGCATCGGCGTAATGCGCTATTTTTCCAAGAACGCCTATAATCAGGTTGGCTTCATTTTATCTTTGATTATTTGCCTTTCATTTGGGCACCATGAGCCTGCTTTGAAGCGATAGCTTCTAACAAGCCTTTTTTTTGACAGAAATAAAATATTTGCGTAGAAAAATTTTAAACAAAACTGAAAATTTTCCGGTTCGCTCCTTTGAGATGTGCCCTGATGTAATGCTGAAAAAAAAAGTCTCAAATTATTGTAGTGAAATATTATTATGTCTAGTTTTTTTTATCTTACAGATTATAACGCTTTTCGTTGGACTTGGTGTGGGTTCCTTATCAGGCTCTAGTCTCTACCATCTGATTCCTCAGGTTTATTTACTCCTACGTTTTGACCTTCCACCGAATGCAGCAAAATGGTAATCAGGTTATTGAGAGAAGAGGAATGGATCAATTCTGTTTTATACTCTACAGCGTAGAGCCTTTTTGGAAGATTTTTTTGAAATCAGTGTAACCTCTGCATAACGAGTTTTGTTTGCTCACCTCAATAAGTTGAACCGTTCATTATTTTTCTGCATACGGCCTTTGTTTCAGTCTTTTCTGGCTGTTTCTCGTATTCAATTGGAAAAGTTAACTGCAGGCACATCCGGGTCTTCTCGAAGATCGGGACAGTAATGGCCAGAAAACTTATGCGTATTTACATATGGCGCACTTCATGATCATCGGCGTCTATGCATTTTTCTTCTGCGACAAGATTATCAAGATCGTCATCGAGTATAGAAAGGCAGTTTTTGAAATTCGTTTTGAAAAAGTTAATTAATATTTCTAAGCTTTTGAACGATCTAGTAGATACCACAAGGGTTTTATTATCAGTCACTCAAGGAATTCAGAGAAATCGCTCACTCAATGAGCACAAAGTACTTTCTGAAAACGGCGGCGCTCCATCGGGTCGCAGCGACGCTGTATTGATCTCCCACAACGAACATGATCACACGGAAGATGTTCTCCGAAGCGTTGTTCAGAAGGTATAATTCGTACACAATAGATTAGAAAGTTTCTTTGAATGAACCCTTGAAAATAGTAACAGCATGTGGCGAAACATCTTTGAGGGCCCTCTAGTGACTACTTCAGTCTCTTGCATATTGTTGTCTCAGCAATCTGAAAATGAAGGAAATAATATATCGGCTTTTAGTTTCAGGGCGTTGTGATCCACGACGACTGTCACGAAACCGAAATGATGGCCGTGGAAAGTCGTTCTGGAAAATCAATGGGCGACCAGGTGCGTATCATTAGAAAGACATATTTTGGTTTCGAGGATTTTCAGAAAGCAAAATTTCTTTCTTTTTGACAGATAAAAAAAAATAAAGATTCTCATTAATTTAGTACTAGGTTGCCGTGGTTTTGTTCTTGAAGTTCTCTCACTATAAACTTTGTTCTAAGTGACAAGCTTTGAGAATAGCACATTATTGAATATTGTATTTCAAGAAAAAGAAACCCCTCTTTATGACCTTTTACGCTTTATAAAAATGAGTTATCTTTAGTTTTCGTACTCTTCATCTTATTTTTCTAGAAAAAAAATATTGCACATTCTGAGAAACGAAAAAATGTGCCGGAAATATTGTAAGATCATAGCAAAATTTGAAAAAAAAAACTCCGCCTGCACTGATTGGTTATTCGAAGAATCAACGGTTCAAAACAGTTGATAATCTTAAATATAATGTGCGACTCCTTCGACTCAAAACAAGGAAGATCATTGTGAGGACTTTCACACATCAATCAATGTTTCATTGGAGTAAATTTTTCAATCAAAATTAGAGAAAAACTTTGTGAAAGGAAATCAAAAGTGTGAAAGAAAGTCCAAAATATTTTTTCTGAAGTTCGTTCCGATCAGGCACATGGGATCTGCGTGCACGACCACTCAATGCAATTTCGAACGGGAGACTCGGCGATCGCCGCCGTCGCCTGGATGATCATCTTCGGAGACGGACTCCACAACTTCATCGACGGAATCTCCATCGGCGCCTCCTTTTCTGATTCGATTCACTCCGGTCTTTCGGTTTCTCTTGCGGTCCTCTGCGAGGAGTTCCCACATGAGCTAGGTCTGTCAGACGATCTTTCTCTTTCCAATTTTTCTGTTTTTCGTTTGTTCTCAATTCATACATTTGAAGGGGATGTCGCCATTTTGGTCGCGTCTGGTATGACTCTCTCTCAAGCCTTGCTCTACAACCTCCTTTCTGCCATCACCTGCTATATCGGTCAGTTTATCGTCTTCTTTTTTTTTCGTCCTGTTACAAAGAGTCGATAAATCTAGTTGATCGTTTTTGTTTGAGGTTTCATCATTGGCGTCGCTATCGGAGAACTCCAGGTGGCCAAGTACGCATTCGCCCTGGCTGGCGGAATGTTTCTCTACATTTCTCTGGCTTGTATGGTTCGTTTTTTTTCTCTCTCTCTCTCATTTTCTTTATCCTTTTGGTGTATCGTATGAATAGGAGAAATTCGAGGAGATTCCATCAACTTTTTTCAGTTTTTTTTTTCTCTTTTTCCTCTCTAACTTCGAAATCCCGTAGTATATCTGATTTTCCAAGAACCTTTGATTTCTGTTCTGTGCGTAAGTGTCTTTAACAGAAAATTTGGGAATTTTTTTAAAATTATCATGGATTGTGTCAATAAATGCTTTCTCTGATACCCAAAACTAAAAAGAAAAAAAACGTCCAAGACACTATTTTTATCAATTATTTTCCTACCCGAGTTAAGTAAGTTGAACTTCATAATCACAGGAATTTTGGGTAAAATCCACATTAAATCAACAAAAAAAAATCTTCTGATTCAGATGCCTGAGATGAGAAAGGCTATGGAGGAGGCGTTGAACGTTTCGATCTGGCACGGCGTCTATGTCCTTTTCGTCCAGTCCGTGGGTCTTTTCTCCGGTCTCACTCTCATGTATGTGATGGGACGTTATGGCGAGTCCCTGGACATAAGCGGCATCTTTTAAAACCTTCGCCACATGTAGTTTCTTCAAGAAATGATTTCCGTCGATTGAAAATATTTCTGAAGCCGTTTGTGAATGCCCCGTAGTTATAGGTAAACTATCGCATCCTTTTTATGATCTTCTGAATATCCGAGTGTTTTTAAGGACTGTTTTTTGTTGGCTGATTTTTTTTCTCATTTTGTTTTCTTTCGAAATCGTATCTCTCTGTCGCGTAATTCCCTCGTCGCATTTAACTTTTTCTCAACTGTTGTTTTTTCATTCGATCATGTTAACCGTATTTAACGACTCTGATTCATTTTTATCAATTTCTTCATTTGTATCGAAAGAAAATGTAATCACGTTGTCAGAAGGCATAATAAATATAGCGAACTACTTTGTCGCGAAATTCAAGTGTAGAAATGTTAAGAAAAGAACCGACGATTGTTCATTTTTCGGAACAAGAGAGTCAATGCTTTTTGGGGTCGTCATAGCAACACAGGACGTACAGGGCGTGAATAACACCGGGGACGAAGAAGAGGATGGTGAGGAGGAGGTTGATGACGAACATGGAGGTACATCCTTGGTCGAAGAGCACGGCAAGCGGCTGAATGGAACGATTGGTGAACTAAAGATAGGCTGCACTTTCTCCGCGCAGGCTTGTCACGAAATTTTGAGATAATGATCTCATTTCTGTGCACGAAATTCGCTGACCAACTCATTTTCATGAGAAATCGTTCGACCTCTACCCAGGGGGATGGCGCACGGTGCATTCTGCTTTTTTGCACTCTGGTGCGTTATTGACGTCTGCACCGTGCGATTTCGGTGTTTTTTCGATGCAAAGGTCACGGGCAAAGTCCAAAAAAAGGACTTTTGGAAAAAAGGCCTTTAAAAGGCAAAAGTTTCTAGACCTTTTTCTGAAAAGGACCTTTTAAGGAGTTCAAAAAAGTAAGGCGGAAAAAAGATGGAAAAAAGGAGATTCCGAGAAACTTTTGACACCTTTTTAAAAACTCAAAAAGGAGCTTTAGCCCCTTCTTTTAAGGCCTTTTTAAGGTCGTTTGGACTTTGCCTGTGGGTATAGGTTTCGTGACAGGCACGCGCTGAATATCCAATATTTGTCAACTTTTTATAATAAGAAGAAACGTTCTTGATAATCCAAAAAAACTGATTGTTATCTTTCAGAAACTAATTTCTAATAAGAATCCTTGAATAACAGGACTTCAGGAAAAGGAAAACTCACGGGGAAGAAAATGGCGAGGATGACAAGCAGGACTTTGCACATGTCTGGGTTTCTAAAGGCGACTGGAAAGTGGCAAACTTTGCTTCAACCTTGTTTCCTTGGAAACTGATAAGTATGAGAACTTTTTTCAAAAATTATTATGTTTGGGTTACAAATGAATCACTGCTGACTTGAGAAATATGTCAAAAAAATCCAAAAAAGTTATAAGCCATAATTTAAATGCTGTTTCAATATTTAAGAAAGTGAACAGTCTCAATGTTGTCCGTGAAGCTCTCATTCGACATATTTTCAAGCAATTACAGAATTTTCGCAGCTGATTCTATATATATGGTCATCACTCGATTCAGGCTTGCTTTTCTTTCGCAATGAAGCGACCATTTGATCCAGAGGTGGAGAATTGGGAAGGCAGCCCTTGGCTTGGCGGCCAAGCCAAGCCAAAAAGCCAAACGATAGAAATGAGCCAATAATTTACGTGATCTTTGGCAACTAGGTCAAGTACGTGGCGATAACGCCCTGAACTAATCATTATCAATTTTGTAAATTTTGAATTGTTTTTTTTTTTTCGCAACTTTGTGTTAACGTTTTTAATCTACTGTAACAGTATTTCAGCAGGGAATTGTCACTGAAACGGGTCAAAAGGCTACCTTTTCAATCTCACTAGAGAACTATTTCGACAAAAAAATTTTGAGATGCTATGAAATTGATGCAAAAGTATTTCTCTTGATTCATTTGGTTTCCAAAAAAGTCAAATGACTGAAAAATTCTATTACGCCAGACCACCTCGTGAAGAGTGGAAGGCTTACAGTTCTCTACCTGGAATTTTCCGGTGGTATGAAAATAAAAGTTTTTTTTTTCACTTCCCGACTTTTTTCCTTTTATTTTTCGGTTCCTAAAACATTTTTTTGTCTACTTTTTTGTGTTTTAATCATGAATCAACTACCTACTTTATATGGGAGGATTCAAAACGAAGAGTTTATTTAGCAAAAAATTTGAAAAGGATTAGTCGGAAAGTTCTCCGTCGGAAAGCTCCCTAGCGATATGAAAAAATCAGAAAAATCGCCGTTCGAGTTTTCGCTGATCTTTTTTTCATACCACCATTTTTTCGTGTTTTTGTGTTTTTGTAAAAAAGTTTCATACATCGCTCAAAACAAGCGCTTCTAGATGCTAGGGCGATATCGCCATACAAACGTCGCGCCACGCTGACTTTTGAAAAAGTCATTTCTGCCTTTTGGGCGTTTATGGCTTGGCAGGCAGGGCGGCCAGAGGGCAGCCATCCTCCACCTCTGATTTGATCGAAAACCCGTCACTTTAACCATTTTTTGATGTGAGAGAAAAATTAACTAACGTGATCATCCTCCTGACTTTTATTTCATTTATCGTTAGGACAAAATGAGCGACGCGAAATCGACTCTCGCTTATGTCAACGGGCTCATACTCCTCACCATCAATGAAGCAGAAAAGGTCGTTCAAACCAAATCTTCGTCAAGTGCAAAAAATCAAGCCCTTTTTTGGGAAAAACTTGGAATTTTTGTATATAGTTCTGGAAAGGGCCTTTCAGACACTTCTGTCGCTTCCCGCTCGTGGCGATCGAGCCGAAGTGGAGACGGCGACGTCAAAACAGCGAAAGACTGACGTCAGCCGAACGACTGCCGACGTCGTCGTTCGCCGGAAAAACTCAGCGATCCGCGATAAATTCGCCGACGAGATAAAGCCTCTGAGTTTGTCGCCAAGGAAGGAGACGGCGACTCAGCAGTTGTCTACCAGAACCCGAAGAGGAGTTCGTTCCACCTCTGCAAATACTTTCATTCAAGAAAATTTTCGATACGACATTATCTCCAATCAAAATGACGGATAGCCCTTTTCAGGTTCAACAAGAGTGCGCAGCGTCCCGTGCAGCCGGGGTGAAGGTCCTCGGAGATAAAGTATGCATTTCGTCCTAGTCTTACTTTCACCTCTTTCTAAGTTTTCAGGTGAAAGTGACGCCGTTGGAATCGTCGCTGGGCGTCGTGATCGAGATGACCGTCGAACTTCACGTGCCGTCGACCGGTGAACTCCGCGTCGTCGCCATCGAAATCGAGTGTCCCAAATTTGTGCCGACGCGGATCCGCGTCGACGGAAAGTGGAAAAACATCGCCTGACATTCTCGCAACTTTTTTTTTCCTTTTTTATTGCCAGATTTCCGAATCCATAAAGCAAAACCAATCAGTTTTCTTCTTTTTTTTACTTCTTGAGACCAACGTATCGAATTTCTCATCTCAAGGTGCTATGAAATCATCAAAAATATTCGAACCATAAGAAGGAGGAAAATATCGTTCACGGAACAATGATCAAGAGACAAAGCACTGGAGCTTGTTCATCTACAAAATGTTTGTATTCTCGAATGACTTTCCTCGCGGAGCGCTTTCACGTGAGTATCACGGCTACGATTCGGATTATTTTAGAACTGAGTTCCTCGGAAATGACGCACTTATGACAGGTTTGTAGTTGGCTCGAGGTTATGACAAGTGAAATAAAAACTAGAGTAATTTCAAAGATCTTTGAACTACAGTCACACGTTTTCGCTTCGAAAATGCCTACTAATTATTGTAATCTTTAATATTTCCTCGGTCTGTAAAATTTCGAAAAAAGGGAAGATTTTTGTTTAATAAGTTCATTGAGCGAACATCCTGGAAGCATAGAAAACGGCAAAAATTTCAAGTTTGAGGGAAGATGAGAGTATGAAAAATCTTCAAAAAGTTGTTCATCCTTTTGAAATTATCACTATATTCTTTACCCAAAGTTGGTAAGTGATGTCTGAATGAAGTTTGAACTCTAAAAACAGGTTTTCGATTTTCAAGATGATGTTTCACATTTTTTTCAGTCCGTTAACCTTTCCCAAAGACATAATTAGCTTTTGTTGGTCCGTTAACCTTTTCCAAAGGCATAATTACAAAAAGAGCTTGCTCTGCAGGAATGTGCACAAAACTTGTCATTATCCATTTCGTTTCATGACTCATCTCACTAGTCAGCGTGAAAGATCGTCTTACAACGTTGAAGACAGAATGAAAGCCTCCCGTTTCCTATTTCAAAGTGTCCAGATCCAATTTAGAGTCAGAAGGAAGGAAAGCTCATTTGACCAGAAACTGAGTCAAACTTCATATGTTTACATTTATAGCAGCTCATTAGGGTGTGAGGCGAATTGCGGTTCTGGAGCTTCCGCAAAAATATAAATAAATTTCTGCAAAATTTGTTTTTATGTCACTTACATGAGCTGCACCGGTTTTTTCAAACTGAACAAAATCGACCCTAATATCTCGCTGCGGGAAGCTTTTTGAGGATGAAAAATTGGAGCTCTAGAATATATTCTCACACAGCCGATACGACATCTGAGCACCGGGAAGAATGATAAGAACCGGCTTACTTTTGATACAGCTTTTTTTTGATAAAAATATTTTTTCTCAGACTAGACTACGTTTTTTTTTGGTTTGGCTCACAAAAATATTGACAAAGTTGGTTTTTCATTAATAAAATTCGAATGGAATAGAGTCCGATTTTTCTTTCTATCTTTGGATTATGTCACCGATGGTTCCTTGTCCGGACGTGTTGTCGACTTTTTCTCAAAGGTCTAATAAGCCTAAAGATTATCGAATGAGTTTACTCAGGGATCAACGTCTTGAAGACGGCATTTTAATCACCTGCTCTATGTTTACGAAATCAAAACGCTGAAATAACGTGACCATGTTTGAGAAGTTTGGAAGTACGAAAACTTCCAGAAGTTCGAGTTTTCAGCTGCTCGTAGTTTTTTTCTCTTCTTCAGCGCATATTCAACTTTTGCACAATTAAAATCCACGACAGAAACTATCAAAACAGTACTCTTACGCATTTTCAATATGGGCCAATTTTCAAGTGTTTCGGTATGCGGAGAATTCCCGCGGCAAGAGTTCGCACTTGACAGCAGCCCTGGCCCTTTATCAATTTCCTGATTATCGCGGCTGCTAATACAAAGATTTATTGCTACAATTCCCTTGATTGGAGACTCTGTACACGAAAAGTTCACCGACGAGTTTTGCGTAACCGTGGGGGCGGAGCATCTGCAAGGTGTTGATTACGGTGCCCTTTTGGAACTAGCCTTTAAAAGCTCAAAAGTGTTACCTTTTTGTAGGGTTTCCGGTTTCTTCTTCCTAAACAGGTGTCAGATTTTTCTTTTGTCTGAATTTTTTTCTCTAAGCAAAAAAATAAAATTACCTATAGGATCGATTACACTAATCACTAATCTAATACTGGGTCTGCAAAACAACCCTGCAACGAACTCCCGAATAATTTTTTTTCTATACATTGGTTTATTCATAAAAGATTCATATAACGATAAATTATTTCTTTCTTTTATCGCCTTTTCTGAGGTATCTACTCACGTCACAGAAATTCTTTCGAAAACTACTGATTTACAGTCTCATATCAGTCATACGTAGGGACCGCAGACGAATTTTCAAAAAAATTTTTTCAGCATTGAGCTTTGTATGGTTTGATAGCTGTTTCGATTCAAAACTCAGAACCGTTTAGTTTTTCGAAAAAGATTGAGGATGAAAAAAGTTATGACGAAAAATGTGGCGCGCCGCGCGCCATTTTTTTAGTACTGAAATTTTGGTATTATCCATTTTTTTGACATTTTTTTCTCGATTTTTTTCTAGAACAAGTTTTGATACTGGTCTATTATGATGTAACAAATCATAATAGAGTGCTAAAATGATGCTCATCAGCTAGTTTGCCGAAAAAGTCGGTATTTTCCAGAAAACAAAAAACTGGCGCTTGCGGGCATTGAACTCGCGACCTCAAAATGAAAAATCGCAGCGCACGCGCTGCGCCAAGCTGTTAGGTCTAGCGAAGGGAGTTTCCATCCCCCATACCCTTGAGCCGCTTGAATAGCACAGATTGCCTATTTCAAAAAAAAAACTTGAAGTAATTAAGCTATTTTTATCAGAATATGTTCGCAAATCTTTACTCAAACTTTTCGTGGAAATTCACTTCGAAAAAACTGTTTTTTTAGTGCTTTTTGCCTCGTTTAACGATCACTGCATTAAAACGGCCCCGTAAATTTTTGGCAAAGACGAATTTTTTATTTTATTCTTTTAATTGAAAGATTTTTTACTAATAAATGTATATAATCGTTTGAAAAACCTGCGTTCGACCGCTTTCTTTGTGATAAACGCCGCTAATTTTATTCTCTAGTTTCAAGAGCATTTTTGCGTATTAAACAACTTTTTCAAGCACATATTCTGTGGAGAAAAATTTACGTAAGCCCATGGTCTAAATTTTGAAAAAAACGAAAACTCGATTATATTCGCTTATTAACGATATTTTGAATTATGACTTTCAGCACTCCCTAAAATTTTTGGCAAAGACGAATTTTTTATTTTATTGTTTTAAAATTACCGTTACTTGAATCAAAATCATTATATAAAAAAAGAAAGAGTGCGTTCGACCTGAAAACACATGAAAAAGCAAAAAACGACAAAATTTTTTAGTTCCATTCACGTTTTTGTACGACATTCCGCGCGAACGCATCAAAAAAGCGTGAAATATTTTTTAAACGAAAGAGGAAGCTTTTCTGTAAATGTGTGCCAAATTTTATTAGCCAGTTCCACATATTTTGCAACTACAGCAAAAGGAAAGTTGAAAACCAAAAAAAAGCCACTTTTTCTATCGCGAAAAGGGGCGTGGCTTTGCGGTCCCTAGTCATACGAGATTGGACAAAGTAATTTTTTTCTTGGAAATTGCTACTTTATTTGTTTAAAAACCTACTCACTTCTTTTTCGCCGATTTGAAACACCTTGGTCGCACGTGGAATGGCTCAAAGCGTTTCGTTTTAAACCTTGTCCAAAATCGACAGGCCATAATGAGCTTTTTAATTGGGAGAGAACCAAGTGTTAATAATATTTATATGTGTTAATCATATTGATATTTTCCCGTTATCATACAAATCCTAGATTCTCAAACGATTTCACAAACACATTCCTTCAAAACCAAAAGGCCTTTCTTGATTTTAAATCCTCAACATAACTTCTTCAAATCTCGTTGAATTTCTCAATAACTTTTTCTTCAACTAGATCTTTCAACCATCTAGTATAATCTCTATCATTTGACGTCGTCGGGAGTTCCCTTACGTAAAATGACGATTCTCCCATTATCATCAAGCAAATCCTCCTATCTCAACTATTTTCCGTTTCCTTGTTGCAGAAGAGAAAATGATGATTCTAGGGAGCTCGGAATGTTGCTTCCACTAGTCTTGAGCCTCCAGTTCGTCGCCGTTCGGCTCAAAAACTTCGGACCCATCACAGATCATTTTGAGACGTGGCTTAACCAGTTAGTTTAGAATAAACTAAAATGTCGATTGAATAGGTTATGTGGAACGCAATATTTTATTAGAATAAAAATGAGACCGATTCATTGGAAAAAAATCTTCTTTTTTTTCTTTTTTTTGTAGGAAGCAAACTTATCGGTTTTGTCTCTCATCAATTTACATAAAACATATTAGATTACTTTATTCAAAACTATTGAAGAAATATATAAAATGAAAAATTGTGGTCATTCCGAAAAGCCATCAGTTTTACATTTATTTTCACTGAACGATATCTGACATCCTAACTTTTAATGCTATAATTTTTGAGAAATGGATACGAGAAGTACAACTTTGGTCGATCTGACATGGGGAACTTTGGCAGTTTCGGAGGAAAAGCTGACGACAACGAGGAGGTCGTTTTCCCTTCGCAACATGAAACCTTCTCCTTCACTTGTTCAGATCATTCACGAGCCCGTTGTTTTCATTCACGGGAATTCAGACGCCGCCCTGACTGCCAACGATTTCTCAACAGGATGGACCAAAACTGTCTCTGTAAGGACAGCCAAACCATATCGAATAGTTTTCTCTGCAAGATTTGAGCTGTCTTTCCACAAAAACTTTTATGCAATCGGCAAGATCATCGTTTGATATACTTTTTGAAATTTTTTAAAAGGTGTTCTGAACTTTCGAGAAAAATTCTCGAATTTTGAGTCTCGATTTTTCAACTTTGCAGTACTTTGTCTCTCAAAATTACTCCATGGCCGAATTGTACGCCACATCGTGGGGAAACACGAACACAACTCAAGCTGTTTTCAGGTTTATGAATTCACTGCCTGAGAATAACCCGCTTCGAATGCTTCAGAGACCACGACTGCGTGACGACACACCGACTACGCATGTTCTTCGAAGCCGTCCTCCAGTACACCGGCGCCACCAGAATCAGCGTCATTTCCCACTCCATGGGCGTTACTTTGGGTCGCAAAATTGTGCAAGGGGGATTCATCACGGCCGACGACGGTTTGTTCATTCAAACATAGTATCTAAAAGTACGCAGCTACACGTTAAAATGTGCTCTAGGTACTTGTAACATTGGAAAGTCGTTGACACCCCGAGTGAACGTCTTCCTTGGAATCGCCGGTGCCAACTTCGGACTCTGCGTCTGCATCCTTCAAGGAGATGGGACGACGTGGCCGACTTGCAACATGAAAGTCATTCAACTGACGAGGTAGAACACGAAACCTGCAGTCTTTCAGAATGGCTTGTGGCCTGGGGACAGTTGTGGCGAGAACCAGCAAGCGGTGTGTGGAATCTCACCTCTTCCGAAGACGTGCAACTCGTTGCAGTACTCGCAGTTCCTGATGGACATCAATGCCAGAGGGGCTCATCTTGAAGGCAAATACATCTTCAGCATGTGGAGCAAAGGTTTTGATTGTTCATCCGTTTTTTTTTCTGGAAAAAACTGGATTGTTCTGTCAAGTTTCCCGCTGTAAGCATCGGTTGCAGATGATGACCTGATCGGATACGGCGACAACGTTTGGGGCCGCTTCACCAGCGAAATCCCCAACTCGGCAGGAAACGTCATCTACAGCAACCGGACGCACATGCAGACCAAAGAGGACTCGGCGGCAGACCAGTTCTTCATCGTCACTCGTCACGCTCTCCCATCCCTCTGATCTCTCTCCCGTACTCTCATTACCGACCCTTTGAAACAAACCTTCATCTTTGAATTATTTATCTAAATTGATAACCGTTGTCTGAAGTGCATCATCCTTATGTACCCTATTCGCTTTGCCTTGATATAATCTAGCCTTTCTGCCCTCTATTGTCGATTTCATTTCTTTATGTGAGAAAAGAGAGCGCAGACGAGCCAGATTGTTTCATGCCGGGGGATGCAAAAATAAGATTGAACAAGATATTTTCAATTCGAAGCACGATATCGCTTTAATGTTTATAACGAACTCAAATTTATTTGGCTACATTTTTTTGTTGTATTGAACTATCATATCATCCAAAAAATCGCTCATTGAAAGAGAATGATTTTCCTTTGCTAAAAATTGGAAACTTTCCAAACTAACTTTTCCAGGTGCGCCTTTTTGTACTTTTTCCTTATCTCAAATCTCAAGAGTTTTTATTTTTTTATTATATTTTCTATTGCTTAGAACTTTTTTTCAAACCCGTGATTTCTCAAGAACAGTCACGAATGAATGGTTTCAATTAAATATAGAGTTGTTCAAATGAGCACCTTTTTATTCCTTTTTGAGAAATCTTTTTATTATTCTGAGAAGCGGATTGATGACCGAAAAGGAAATCAATTGAACGCTTTTCTGGAGTTCTATGAGATTGTTCATGGTTCCGCAAAAGAAAAGTTCAATCTCCCATTAAAGAGTTCTTTAGCTGTACTCTCATGCTGGCCAGGTGCCTCAACGGGTATACCTGTATTAGACCCGTTTTTTGAGGCTCTTTGCGTTTTATTTGTACTAAAACGAACTGTGAAAAAAAATGCGTAAAAATGCCAAAAGATCTTGCAGCTGTTCTTTCACATATTTATTACTTGGGCATCCGCGGAGATCCCGTGTTAGCACGGCTGGTTAATCTCATCAGCGTGAGTGTTTGTATACAATTCATGGACTGTGTGGGATACGGTCGAACAGTGGGAGGTTGAGCAAAAATGAAGTTGGGATTAAATAAATCCGGCTTCATTTTTTCCGTTTGATAAATTCAGTTTGAAATTTTGAAAACTCTCTCACCTTGACCTCAGATCGTCGCTTTAAAAAAAAAGCCTTTGCTCAAGTTGATTTACTGTTTTTTAATTTTTCCGCTTTGTCGATCGATTCGATTGGAAAATTCATTCCATTCTGAAAGATTTTCATCATTTTGATGAATTTCAACTACTTACTGAAATGACTTACTGTTAGCATTTCGCATAATAATGCATAACGAAATCAGAATGGTTGATGAGTGAAAGAACTTCAAAAACATTTTTAAGAATTTTTATTCTCGAAAAACCCTGGTGCGAGTTAGAAAGTAGCGAACTTCTAATGGTGATTATATTGCTTTTTTTCGATATTACTGTCGATGAAGAGGACGGTGAAGGGACTCTAGAGGAGCTTAATTTTTTGCAAAGAAATCGTACTCGTTTGTTCGAAAGTTACAGGGTGTTGCACATACTTTCCATTATCAGTACTTGACAATTATCAAGAGGAAGACGAAGGCGTGCGTCGAACCGTTGTTTGTCGGGTGCTCTTCTCGTTTTGAAACCTTCCCGTTTCATATCACGACGTCATTGGCGACGCCGTTTATCGCACGCTTTATTTGCTCACATTTTTTGAATTGGACTCTTTAGTAATGACTATTTAACTCTATTTTATTATTCATTTGAAAAAAGAATTATTTCTGTATACGGTGGTTTGAAGCTTTTTTTAAACAAATAACTAAATGATTATTTGCTTCATTTTTCTCAGAGAAAATCATTATATTTCATCTTTTCCATTTTATCATGCATTTCGAATCTCGAAATTGTTTGGTCGTCAGAGAAGGCTATATATCACTCTTCTTTCTACAGAAGAATATTTTTTAAGCTCCGATGTTTCTACTTATTTAATTCGAACAACTGCTTTCAGATCCGTAGAAATCTGTTACCTACTGAAATATATCCTTCTGAGAAAGATCCCTGAAGGATTATTCGTTTGTTTGAATAACAACAATAATCATTTCGAAGATCAGTTCCGCACATTCAGAACTTTCGTTCGTCAGGTCAGAACTAAACATAATTCACGCTGACAAGACCAAACGTCCAAAGTTTCAATGACAAAAATCTAAAAAACAAAAAGCCACACGGCGAAGCGTCGAGGTGACGGAGGTGCCGCGCGCGGCTTTGGGGCGCCGGTCCGCCTACGTCTCCTCAGAGACGACGCTATTTCGACGGCGAGCCGCTCGTTCCGCCTGACGGTGAGCAAACCGTCCGAGTGCGTCAGCGACGGCGGCGGCACGTCGACGGAGTCACGGTTCCTAGGAAGGACACCCCATTTTCTCATCCGTTTCTGCTGTCGTTCCATTAGACTCGAAGACCCACGAGTTCTCATTAACTTCAGGAAACGAAATATGTTTCTGCACCTGCTGTTCATCTTCGCTCCCCTCTACACAGACGCTTTGAAATGCTACGAAGGTTTGTGTTTGTTCTTTTCTCACAAGGAAGTTGATTCGACTTTTTTCTTGGGGCTCAAACTGTACCCAGAGACTCTATGAGGAACTTGCCCTATATGGCGGTTGCAAAATTCAATGAGCTATTGAGAAACTCTGAATATTTTCGTCTCATTAGTTAGCCTTTTTTCCAAAATACTTATTAGGAAATTCTATATAATTCTAAGCGAATTCTTCTAATTATGATTTGAGTCGTAACGTATCTCTTCCTGCCATTTTCGGTCACTTGGTCTGAAAAAACTACTAAACTAAATCCAAGCGCTTGTTTTAGAATGAACAGGAAAACCCCTTGGTTTATGACGTGATTTTTTTCGAAACTTGTTTTTTAATCGTTATACCTCTCCTTCCTCAAGAAAAAGCTAATTTGATAAGTCGAACAAAAGCTTGAAGCTTGAAGAACAACAAGAAGAAAAAGAAGAATTACAAGTAAATGTTAGGTTCGCGAGGAGTCGTCAACGGAGAGGACTCGAAAAACTTCGTGGAGAACCAGTGCGACGACAACATGAAGTACTGCTTCGAGTCGTTCAACTCGAACCTGACGGACGTGACGGCGAGCTGTCAGACGATGGGCACCGACACGAAGCTACTCGACGTCTGCAAGGTGAGCCGCTCTCCAGACCTTTTCGAATTTCCCGTTTTGGAGAATTTGAAACTACTGTTCAAACCTTTGAAATTCTAGTTAAGAACCGCTACCAAAAAGGTCAATAAATAAACACATTTTGTCGAAATTAAAACTTTAGGGTTTTTTTTTTTTCATATAAATTGTTTTTTACTTTTTATGGAACGAACTTCAACTGAATTGCGTAATTTTTCTTCTTCGGTAAAGTTGGAAATAAAAAAATTCTGAAATTTTTTTAACCAAAAAAAGACAGCTACTTTAGGACTTCAGGAATAAAAAGAAAAAAACTTTATTTTTTTAAAGATCTGTGTAGTTTATGCTCTTCGACGATTGAGAATTTAAAAAAACAGGATCTGTTGCAGAAAATTTTTATTTTTCTGGATCAGAAAAATAAATAAAGGAATAACTCAGGAGGACCAAAAGTTTTCTTCAGCAAAGTTTCATCAAAACTTCGACCAGGAGCTAAAAAAAATGATATCTTGTAAGCTTTCCTGGATGAATTATAGGCGATCGCATAATTCTGACGGTTAGACCGAAAAGGCAGGGTTTCAAAAGGCCACATTTCAAAACTTCTTCACGTTTCAACGGCGTGAATCTTCGCAATTCAAAACGTTAACGACTATCCAAACTCATTCCCATCATGGAGCCACCGAGAAAATTATGAAAATCACAAAAAGGCCGAAAAGAACTTCCTTGTCAGTTTCTGCTTGCAGCTCGACGGCCTCTGCAAGAACCGCTCCGAGATCGACGTGACCGTCTGTTGCTGCAGCTCCGACCTGTGCAACCTGCAGGTCTCGCTTCGGCCCACCACTGAGACTCCTCCGGCGGTTCTCGACTCCGTCCAGCAGTCCAGGGACAAGCTCCGAGCCAGTCGTCGAGTCAGGAATTGAACAACTTTTTGTATTTGTAAATTCTAACCACATCTTGCCCGATAAAACCAAAATTCTTATCCATTAGCAGGGAATCGATCCGTACTCAGATCGTGATCTGATGTTTCGAACTTAGTAAGAGCGGTCACTGGAGCAGATACGTTATCAGTAACAGCAATAATCACTTTGAGAAGTCTGCCAGCCCCATTCTGTTTGCTCAAATGCCTCACTCGAAATTCCTCCAAGACCCCACCCTTTATTGTAATTTCTACAAAGTACAGCTTATCGAGCCTTTTTCTTTTTGCCGATGGCAGATAATCCTTATTTTCAAACTGTCTTGTATTTTACATCTTCCGAGTCTTTCCAGTTATTTTCTTTCGCACCTTCGTTGCAGTTCATTTTGCGATTCAATCAGTGTTCAAACCTTTTTCAGCGGGTATTCCGAAGATCTAATAAATCAGCTATATCTTGCGAAGTCATGATTTTTTTTTTTCGAGACCTGCCAAAAAGTTTTTTTTCAATGAAAATTGACGACAGGGAGTGAGAAGTTCTGTAGTTCAAGAAAAGGAGCATTTTCGAATTCAGTTACTTTTGAAAATTCCTTTGACTGGAATTATTTTTTTAGGCTTTCAAAATCAAAAAAATAAAATGAGTTAATGACTAAATGCATTTTCGAAAAAAATTGTTCCACGTTGTTTAATCAAAAAGTTTAACTCTGAGTTGATCGTTTTCAGCTTTAAACTTCTCAAATTAAAATATGAAAAATTGAAAGTGGTTTGAAGTTTTTTTGAAGTGTCGAGAAAACATTTTTTAAATGATCGTTTAAAAAAGCTAAGCTCTCTTTCAAGAAAGTTTTCAATGTAAAAGCGTGGGTTTGGTTGAAAAAAATCAAACGAACATGAAAGTTGAAATTATTGGAAAAAAATTTTTCTTTCTAAGTTGTCTTATTCAGTAATAAGAAACAAAAAAAGTGTTATCAGTTTGAGAAAGAAAAATATTCTGACCATTCCAAATACGTCAAAAGATCATCAAGTAACCTCAAGATTTCTAAAAATAGTCGATACAAGCCTTTGCGAAGTATTGTGGAAATTTATGCGCTGAACGATAAAAAGAGGAGCAAACAAAAAGGCAGGATAGTTTCAAGAAGAGCTATGCCGTTGCTCAGCAATACGACTTTTGGCGTTCGCTCAAATTTATAGTGGTCTTTTTCGCATGTCATTTTCTATGCACTTTGAACTTGTGCCAGTTATTTCTGCTGCTCTCCAATTTGTTTCGGAATTTCGAAACTTTCATTCTTCGGGGAAAAATCAGTTCTTGAACAATATATTGGACATGTTTCTTTATGACGTGCCTATGTTTTTTTTTGTATACAAAGATGTTTGAGTCTCTTCTATTTGCACACTGTTTTTCCAATCGTGTAAAGATTCCCATTAAAAAATACCAAGGAAGCTGTGAGCAAAATAACTGTCACTACATCTAATTTTATTTTTGAAAAATTAAATTTAAATTCAATCTTTTATACTTTTTTACTTTGTTACGAAAATTCTTGTTGTAAGTCCTAATTTGAGATTCTTCGGTTATCAAGTTGACAAATCTGAACGTTGAAATGAAATTTTTGATTATATTATTTTTCAGTTCAAAATCAGTTGTGACATCATAATTTTTATCGCACTGGAAGGAAAGTCACGAGTAGCTCTATAACGCCGTTTTTGAGCTTTACTTTCCAAACTTATCACAGAGACAATTGAGATTTTCTCTTAATGTAATAATGGTTGTAGCTGAATTTTTTCCCATTTCGTTGTCAGCTCCCCAATAATAATTTGATGAACGATACCACAGATTACTGTGATCTTCGCGTAGAGCCCTCGAAGAATGGATCCTTAGGTCCGCTTCTTTCGGAAATCACAGAAAAGGAAGGAATGGCTTTCAGCCTGGCCGTGCATGCCCAAACTCAAACTCCGACAAGTCGGCATCGCCCAGCTGGCGCTGGTTCTTTCTCTCTTCACCCTCGTCGTCCTCATCATCGTCACGAACAACCGCCAGCTTCTCTTCACAGTTTCACCTTATTCTTCTTTCCCTGCGCGGTCCAGATTTACAGGGTTCGAGTATGTTTTCAGTATGATTTGTTAAAAATTACTGTTTTACAAGAAGTTTTTGTGAGTGAGTTAGTAAGTTGAGTTGATTTGACAGCTTTTTCAATTTTTCCTTTGCGGGTTAGGAAATGGTTTCAACGCAGGGGACTAGTGACTAGATCACTGAAACCAGTTCTTCTTCTGGATTAAAACTCTGTGATTAGAACCGCGGCGAAATATCAATTTAGTTCATATTAAATAAGGCTATCCAAAGAACCTATTTTTTGAAAATGACTAGGTGGATTTTTTTTTTTGAATTGAAAATTTTTCTCTCTCCCTCTTGATGACTTATGATGAAAAAAAAGAAGTAATCATAAAAGCCAAACCTGGTTTGAAAGTTTTCCTTTAAGCAAAGCTTGCGGAGTATTCGATGAAGATGCAATTAACGATGATGAAGAGTTCAACTACGAGGAAATCCACGCCAAATGGGTGGCGAAAAATGTCAGCCGTGAAGTAGGGCTTCTCCCTGATTCGATATAGCATAAAGTTCTCGATTGACAGAATAAATTCCACCGCCGTCTCCGACTACACGCCGCCTACAGGACTCGACGTCACTACGCCGTCCAGATCACTTCCCTGAATCTTTTCGGGTTTTTTTTCCTTTTGTTTTTCCCTCAACTTATCCATTATTTCCAGTCAACAAGTTTATTGCCGCTATTACGATTGCAAGCGAAATGAACTTGGTAAGCCTCAAAAATCGCTGGTTTTTCCTGAAACGACCGTGTACTGCCCGAAGCGAAGAGGCGCTGTCTACATGTCCCTGTCCAAGACGGAAACCGACAATCCTGAGAATGCAGTTCCACTGATCGACCGAACCATGATCGGTAAGAAAGCTACTTTTTTGAGTTCCTATGTTATTTTTTTCCCTAGAACCACAACATTTTTTGACAGTCTGCATGGCACCTATTTACGGTGATGAGATCAAGTGGATACAAATAGCAGAGTTCATCGAGCACTACAAACTGCAGGTGAACTAATTATTTTTCTCAGAAAAAAAGGAATTTTTTTTCGTGTAGGTTTTTTTTTCATGCCAGACACGAATTTAATTTTGTTTTTTTTAGGGAGCCACCTTCTTCTACGTTTATCTTATCGAAATAGATAACTACAGCCGTGTGATATTGGAAGATTACGAAAGGTAGATAGATACAACTGAAAATAAAACTGTAACTGGTCTGCTAGACGCGGGGAAATCGAAATCGTCAATATGTACGACGGCTATAATAGAACCAACCGATACTGGCACATGGTGCAAATACACGTTGGTTTCTTTTTTGAATGAGGGGAAAAAGGCTTGACAGGACTGTTTGCAACGGAACCGCCATATCTCCAAATGGACCGCATTCGTGGACCTCGACGAAAGGCTTTTCAATTTTGGCATGACCATCCACAGCTTCCTTAAGTCAGGTTTTCCCCATCATAAGTTGAGAAAACTGTTAGATTACTTTACTATTTTCTGAATGACGAATAACCATTCCAAATTTGAGAGCTTCTTTCAAAACAAAATTAGTTTACACAGTCTTAAAATGGACTTTCTCTGCGATCATTCAAGAAGATTTTCAATTCAAAACCGAATGTCGTCCAAAAAGCCTAATTTTTTCCAGCAACGAGGTGAAGAACAACACGATAGCGAGTGTTCAATACCGTCAGCGGTGGATCATGAAGACAGAAGACTCCCCTGCCAAGTTTGTCGACGAGGCAGAGACGATTAGATGGATGCCGACGGTACGATACACCAACACTTCGGCCGTTGGACCCAAGGGTCACACAGCCAAATGTATTGTACGTCCCGAAAAAGTATACTCTCAGTATGACCGCTTTCGAAATAACCTTTTCGTCTAGATTGGAGCTATGTTCATTCATTGGCCCTTCGCGATGTATCCAGGTTATTCGCAATGGCAAATAAAACCAGAAGAAGGCGTCGTTAGGTATTCATCAAACTTTTCATTTGGGTTTTCAATATGTATCAAAAATTATTGGTTTCTTTCCACTTCCCACTTACCGAATTGGTTTCATTTTAAAGCTAAATATTTTCCAGGCATTACCGCGACATAAGGTCTGGCGACTGGGGGAAGAAATGGCTTGGTGGCGTCGCGAAATTTGGAAACTTTTCAGACACTTTTGTGGAAGAAAGTTACCTTCGAAAACTTAATAGGGCCGTCGTTGACCGAGTTTCAGAAGTTTATGGAAAAGTTGAGTAATTTCATTATCCGACATATTTTTCTTTCATATCGATATACGGGTTATTGAATTAATAATTGGTACTCTCAAATCTCTTTCTTCTAATGTGATTGATTCGATTTTTTTTTTCCAAGGCTGAAGACTTACGGTAACCTTGAATAAAAATTTTGATGTGAAAAGATGTTTCCATGAGACATGCATATAAATGCCGTATAATACCCACAAAAATCGTATTTGGGAGACTTTCAATGAAAATTAATAGATCCATCTTCTCTTTTAAATTACAACTAAAAGCTCATTTCTGACAATAGTTTATTTAATAACCTGAAACAGAAATTCAAAAAAAAACCTGGAAACACCAGAAAAGCATCATTTCTTCGAGATACAGTCGATTTTTCTATAATAAACATTCGATCTCACAGTTTGAAATTTTATTGAAGGACTTTTCTGAAAGTGAATTATTGAGCACTCGGGCACTTTTTACAGTAGGTTTATCACAGGACGTCGTCAGGAACAGTGGAACTTTTTCGCGAAAAAGAGCGTAATGAGCCGGTGTCGAAAGAGTGGCTCACGCTTAGGTAGGTACGCGATATTCTAAAAAGCTCCGCTGTTGAAAGAACTAATGACATGGGAGTTTTGAAATCGAGTGAATGTTAACAGATCAAAGATGCCAGACAAAAATGATATAACTTGTTAATCGAAGCTGTTTCCAACTGCGCGGCAGAACTCTGCCAGCGCATTCAACAATGATCGTGCATTTCAAAGAGAAATCACCGCAAGTTAGAGCACATGCACAAAAAACACACGAATGCCGTCCTTGGGAACAATTCGTATAAACAAACTGATAAAAAAAAGTTTACTCCCTGATGTTTTCTCCAAATCAAAACTCACTGTAAGTTAAGCCGCCTCAAGAGCTGAAGGGCAGAAAAAGCGAAAACAAAGCGTTAGTGGACGGCAAATGGTGATTTTGCGTGACTCGTACCTGCGGATGTTGTTCCAGACTTGCCTGGTACCACGGCGCTGCTGCTGCTGAGCTCGGAGAAGCATCTCGTTCTGTCCGTCGATGTCGCTGATCGATGTCCGTGAGTCGCCCACGTCTTCATCATCGTCCTGTCATTTAAACGTCTTCCTCAGTTCTGCACAAAATCGCTGACTTTCACAATGACGTAGTAGGCGGTCAGAAGGGCGGCACAATTGGCGGCCATCGTGATGATCGAAAGAAGTGGCTGCATGTGACCAGAAACCAACGCCAACATAATCACTGAACCCAGATTTGCGTTCCGTAAAATGAACGACACCTACAGGCGCTGTTGTTTTGGAAATGGTTGATAGTGAGCGACAAGGTGGTGATGAACGCTGTCGGCACCTGCACCACTAGGAAGCTGATCGTAACAGTCGTAATGAGGATTCGAGTTTGGTCCCTAGGCGTCCTTCCAAACCGGTTGCTAAGATAATTAAACTATTTCTCCTCAAAAAGATGCTAAATACTGTTTAGTAAGTCCTCCCATGTCGATCTCTGGCTCTCGTATGAATCCTACGTGCAGCAAGGCTAGAAGAAAGCCCGGTATCAAAAACTGCACGACGAAGTCGGCTAACGGCAGAAAAACCTGAGAAGCCTGTTAAAAAAGAGAAAAGTTGTAAAAGAGCGAAACCTTCCAAAACGAACGGTTGACGATGTTAATGAGAGCTCCATCTCGAACCATACACCTTCCTGCCCAGCGAGGAGTCGGCTCCGTATCTATGAAGGAGATGTTCTCAGAGTTCAAACACACATATTCAAAGACTGCAGAGCTCTCATCAACATTTTTTTTTTTCAAAAGGGTTCAATCACGTTAAAACTATAATCAATCAAAGACAAAAAAAGTTGCAAAATTTGTCAATCTCTTACCAAGGAAATCTCTAGAACACAATTAACCAAGCTCTTTTTCCCCAAAAACACCAAAAACTGCGGAACAGCAAGAATTATATCCTGTTTTTCTTCAAAACACTGTTTGCCAAAACCTCACATTTGACATAACATTTTTCACACTTCTTATTGATAACTCTCTTTTAACTTTTCCTATATTTTTGTCGCACTTTTTCTACTTCTTCATATCATTCACTTCGCGCAGATTCGGTGGCAAAAATTGAAATATTTTTTTAAAATTTATTCCAAAGTAATAAAAAATCTGAAGATGTTTTGCCCAACAGCTGTAAATTTTATCTCTGTTTCTTATAAATTCTTCCAAAAAAATTCCTTTCTTTTTCAGTTTTCAAGTCCATTATTATTTTAGATCCGAGTATTCTTGATGTGAAATTTTTTGTGCTCATTATCGACAAAAGAAAATATCAGTTTGTGAACGGATTATTAACTAAATTTCAAAAGAAAACAAGCTAACGAGTAGTAAAATCGATGTTATCGCAGATCTTCTTTCGAATAACCAAAAAAAAAGGCTTTAAGAAATTCCAACCTCAAAACAGAACATTGAAAATTTCCCGTTTTTAATATATCTAAACTCAACCCATCAGATCTCAAAGATACAACTCAAATATGGATGTTAATATCAAGAATTAGTCCAAAGCTAGAACAGCCACGAACCCATACAAAACTGGTAGACGCTGGTGTCGTGCTCGAAGAATCGCAGGATCGCTAGTGCCACACAAACGAAAATAATGATCCAAATCGCTCTCGAAAAACGCTCAACCGTCCGCAGTTTCAAGGTGTTACGGTGGTACTGTGTTAGAAATCTCAAAAAAAAAACCGATAAAGAAAAAAAACATGAGAACTCACCGAGCCGCGGCTAAAAGAACACTGAAAAGAGTCATCATGGTATCTGTCATGTGGGGAATGGCTTCCATCGTGGTTCGGAACAAGTGGCACATAACAACTGATTGGTTCAGAGACCTGTAGTTCTGACATCTTGAAGGAAAGCAAAGCGGGAACTAACCTGGTGCCTTCTCCTATGAAATAGTACCAAACAGTGAAAGGCAACGGAGAGAGGACGCTGGCCCAGCCGCAGAAAGTCAGCAACCAGATCATTTGGTAGAGAGGATTCGGCTGCAACTCTAGAGTCCTCACACGGAGTACGGTAAGATATTTCAAGAATTTCTACGTAAATATGGCAAAAACATCTTGGTTTTTCAACCTTTCCGGCTCATTCGAGTACCATAGAGAGTCCAATTTTTTTAAAGGGTCTGAAAAAAATATTAATGTGAATAATTTCCAAAGTCTTTTTTTAAATGCTCTTTAATTCATTTCCAGAAAAAAATTTTTTTCAATGTTATCTATCGTTTTTCTTCTGAAATTTTTCATGTTTGTTTCAGCCCGTTTTTAGCTTCCTACAAAAAAACCTTTGAACGAAAAAAATTCAAGCGCCTCTAGTAAGGAATTTTAAAAAACCTTTTTGGAAACTTCTCTTTTCTCTCTTGATATTCACTGAAATATCTTTTTTAAGCTTTTCAGTTTGATTTCTCATATAAACATACCACGTTTAGCGTTTTCAATTGTTCGGCACTCAAAATTCTGAAATAACTGGAATGATGAGTAAATGATTGTTAGCTACTTCCGAAGAAGTTTTTTAAAACTAACCAAATTTCGAATTCCAGTTCAGTCATCTTCAAAAATAAAATTTGACAGGCCAATCTACCATTATCCAAATACTTCGAATTTTTCCCTACAAGAATTGAGCCACTCAATGTTGTATAATTTATTCTCTTTAACTCTAGACCCAAGTGAAATAGTTATGGTTCATACTGATCTGCCCATAAATTATTATTGAAAATTCGACATACAAAGCGACGATCTCCTTCGCGCTTCTCACGTTTGCCCATGCCGAGCATGACGGCACACAGCGGCGCCACCAACATCAACAGCAGCATCGGATACGCGAAACCGTAGACGGCCATGTGCGACCAGCTGTTGTTTAGCCGTCCAAACATGAAGCCCACGTTTGCAGCCACCTAAGGATCCAAGTAACTTTCCGTAGGACTTTTTCCAGCGAACTCTCCGCCAATTCTCTCTACAGAACACAACCAAGTCTGTTCATTTTCATTGGTCTGTCGGTCATAATTTTCAAATCTCATTATTTGAAATTTTTGAGGATTTCTATGCTTGCCTGGAAATTGAAATTTGAATATCGTTGGTAAAATAAAATCGTCGGAAAATTTTCAATTTTCATATCAAAACATCATTTCACATCTGGAAAATTGGACAATAGTACTTTTACTTTTGGCCGAAAGCTGGTAACCAGAACGATATCTTGGCTCTAACAAGATATCGAAAAAACAAGATCAAAATTTCGCATTTTCAGATTTTCCGGTAATCACCGGTCAGTGACAAAATTCGCTCAAAGAATGTTCTGATCATTGAAAGCTTCTCGAAAACGATTTTTTGAAGATGAAAAATTGAAAAAAGTCGACTTTTTCAACATTTCGGAACGTGAGACGTTTTTTCGAGGATCCTGCGCCATGACGTCACTTTCAAAAAGTGACCTAGCTCACGTATGGGCTCATTTTATGAAGTATAACAAAAACTAGCGAAAAGAGAAGAAGAGACGAACTTCACATCGTTTGCGTGGAAAGTCATAGAAGAATCCATCGCCGCAGCAGCATTTTGATGCCTGGAAGAAGTTTTACTCAATATTCATCGCTAGATTGTCACAGAGCGAAGAAATTCAGAGGATCACCAAGATTGGAAGTCTTTTCTTTTTGCAGTAACCCTTGTGATAAGCGATAATGGGGCTCACCCGCTGATCTTCATTGGCGCACTGGTCGGAAGGAAGAATGGATATGTTGTGAATCCGAAGGTCTTCTTCGCCGTCCAACGTCGTCAGATGCATCCCACCGGGTGCATGACTCTCACCGTGAAAGGCGCACAAATTCGTGAGTCAGATTCAAGCTGAGGTTTCCTGAAGCTCTTTTTAAACTGAAAAAAAAGATTACCAGCGACAAGTTGGAAAGAAGACGAAATCCGCAAACTAAAACAGCTTTGACGATTGTTTTCACATCTACTTATCTATAGAGCTGAACTTTTCAAAGTCTTTGCATGAAGCTTAGACAGCTGGAGAAAAAGAATGGCTTCGGATGCGCGATAATCCGCTTTAATTTAGCGAATTCGTCTCAAATCAAAACCCCTATATCTTATTGTTGCTCATACGATAACATAAATTGAAATTTTAAAGCTATGAACAAGTAAAAAAGCAGCTTGAAAATTTGGACATTCACCAAAAAATAACACGAGTACGGGAGCCGCTTAGTCGCGAGAATTATGGATTCACGGCTCTGTCATAATTAGTTTCATCGCGATACGAACGAGTTGCGCGGAACTTCAAAGAGTGTGCGAGATTACTCATGGATGAATTTCCCTACTCGATTTGACTTTTCACATAATCATTTGTAGTTTTAGATGATTTCACCATCACGATAACCGAAGTAATCAGAAAAATGAATTTCCGTGTATAGGAATTGAGTGAGTGTGCGCTGAATAAAAAAAAATGAAGAGTCAGCGACAGCTGAGGTGGCTAGCGGCAAATTAAGACAGGAGATTAGTACCGAATAGAAAATCGCTCGGAGGCAGAAGAGCTGCCCGCTTTGTCACGAAACCTTTGCCAGGACGACCAAAAAACAACCAACGAGACTTTTTGTTCACTATTTAGTCTGCCCATACTCACAAAAATTGGAAGTCAGAGGACTGAAAAGCTTCTTCAGAGTAAAAAGTTAGTACGAGCTTTCATAAAGAAAGAACTCAAATTGAGGACAAAAAATGTTCATTGTGATCTCCAAAAGTGTTTTTGCTGAACCTCACCTGTTAAAGGCAAAGAACAAAGTTTTGAAAAGCCCTTTTGAAAAACTCGCACATTGCACTCTATGAGAAAAACGTTGGCAATTTCATTGGAGGCTATGCTCTTTTCAAGGAATCCGAAAAACACATCCAATCCTGGCAAACCGCTTGTCGGAAGGCATTTCTTCTTCTATTTTAGCTTATAACAGATTTGCAAAAAAATTTTCTTTCACTTCGATATTTCTATTTGCGTGATTTCTATCTATGAAAATTTTGATTTTGAAAACTTGCGACCAAAAGGAGAAGCCTAAAATCGCCTGGGCAACCGAATTTTTGAATGATAATCAAAAAAAAAACCAAAAAGTTGAGTTTCTTGGAAAGTTAATAGAACGTAGGGCTTTTGTCATTTTTTATCTTACTCACCAAGGCAAGAAGCATAAATTATTACGATGAAACGGAAATTGGTTTTTTGTGTGCCCTTTCATGGAATTTTCGAATTTTCCTCAGCTTCCTCATCACTCAATCTATATCTTGCTCTTTTGTGTACTCGCAATATTTTCGATTAGAAAGAAGTGTTCGGGTTGATGTGAACATTTCAGAAACAAATAAAGTAAAAAAATTAAATAATAGCATGTATAATGACTTGGTACTACCAACGGGACCACATTATTTCCCAACGCTAGCTGTCACTCCGGGACGTATTAGACAACTATTTTGAACCGTAACCCGCGCCGACGACTAACTCTTCGATTATACCATGATTCAGCAGAGATTTTTTTCATCTTACTCTGAAGACTGAATAAATTGTAATTGTAATTGTAATAATGACAAGGAATACACAAAAGAAAAGCAATAACTTCAAAAAAACATTTTTTTGGAACCGTGAAAAAAACAGAAAGAAACCTCTTGAAACAACGAAGTGTGTTATGTAAAAAAACTTTCTTAACAGGAGAATATAAATATATTAGTGAGAGAGTGTACACGGATTAACAATTAATAACAGGAAAAAATTGATTGTGTGCAGAGAAGATGAGAGATTTTTTGAGTGAAAAAAAAAAAATCAAAAAATCAAACCCTGAAACCTTTCATGCGCCTATGAATTGGTTTTAGGAGCGCCGCCAAACTTACGGCACCTGAGTTCATTAGCACAGCAATCGAATAATCCCGATCTCTGATTCGGAAAGAAAAAAAAAACCGTGGATAGTCAATTTTTTCCGACTCGAAAGGTGCACCTGTCGTGGTGCGGTAGTTTAGAAATGTTTTCTGGTAATAAAATGAAAATTCTTTCACTCATCGAGAAGTGACTTATCTTGTTGCCTTAAGAGAAAATTCTTAACATATTGCAAGCGGAGAAAACATTTTAAGAAATCCCCTACGCCTTTCAAGCTGAGAAAAATCGACTTCCCATTCTCTCTGAATCTAGTTTCATTATACCGTATTCAAAGTTATTTTACAAAACTCTAAACAAAACTCTAATCGTCAAAGAGTGAAAAATAGAACTAAATTTTAAAAAATTGAAAAATAATTCTGAATATTTCGAAACTACTTTGAACACGGCATTAAAAGCGTACAGTTCGCTTTATTTTCTTATTTTCTATATCGCCTTGCTTGAAAAATGAATGGAGAAAACATATAATCGGTGATCAAATTCAACAAAAAAAAATTTAATGAAGGAACTTGCTAAAAAGAAAAAAACAATGAGCTATATCTCAGGCACTGACGGCGCGTGTTTATTGCCAAAAGTGCGCATGCGCGCCGCCTGCTGCGCGCACGCGCGGGGTGTCTCTTTTGTTTTTTAGCTTTTTAACTAATTGAAAAAGTTATAAATTTAATATTTTTTTCATGTCTGTTTATCTCTTAACATTGCTCTGCACCAGTTTATAACAATTAGATTGCACAAAAAAATTTGAAATATCAAAGTTTCACTTGGCAATTTTTTTTTCATAAATTTGTTTGAAAGTGCTCGCAACAACTTTAAAACGTGAGCAGGAGCACTGGGTAGTATCACAAAAATATAAAAAATATATTTCAAAACCGTATTTCAGTGGAAAAGGCGAAAAAAGAATCAGTACCCCCGCGCGTGCGCGCACCAGTGCCTGAGTATATATAAATATTTCGAGAAACTTTTTGCGCGTCGATTTTCATGTACTGCGCTCATTGCGTACAACACATTTTATTTTCCGACGCTGCGGTGGGCGTGCCGCCGTGCGATATCAGGAAGAAACTAGTATGAAAAGGGCGCCATTTTTAGCTATCAACTTCGTCAAGGTAGGAAAAGTTCAGAAGTATCAAGAATTTATATTTCCGACAGCTGAGAGAAAGGAACCGGAAAAAGACAGTTTTGACGGAACCGCCTCCAGCTACTACACAGTTTCCGGCGGGTTTTCAACTCTTGGACTGCTTCCCACCCTTACTCATTAGCGTGCGAGTGAAAACTGAGACCGTGGTGCAAAATATACGAGCAAAAGCCGAATTTGGCTGAAAATGACAAGCGAAATCGAGCGTGGCAGACCAACTCGAAACGTAAGATTCGCCGCCAAAAGAGAACAAAAAGGCCTAATCTTTAAGTTGGCCCAGAGTGTCTCGAGAACATTGTGTGGCATACTCCTTGAAAATAATGAGAAAAACATTGAGAGAGCTTTTAGACTTGAGCATTGCAGATTGTTTTGAATTGAAATGTTGGGTATACATGTGGAAAAAATCCTGTACTCGCAACATCCACAAAATTTTGAACGTGATAATTTTCCAAAAAAATGATCCCTCGATGAGCGAAAACAGAATAGCCTACAGTAAATAAAAAAAGTTTTCAGAGCCAAGTAAGAGCGGTTTTCACATGTCAGTATAATAGACAATAAGTAGCGAATAACTATGATTTGATTCGAAAATTCTGAGTATGGAACTGCAACGAAGAAAAAACTAGCCCAAGTAATTGCGAGAATCAAATTTTATGAAGGCAATACTTTTCTACGCTCGAAAATCGTAGTTTCTTCTCGCAAGATTTTCTAATCACCCCATATTCCAAAAAAATTGAAACGATAACGATTGAGCAGCTTTTTTGACCAGTCCTTGTTTGGCTAAAAAGTAAAAAAAAATAGAAATTGGAGTATTTTCAAAACATTGATGAGCCCTGTTAAACAAAGAAGACCGTCAGAAGAAGTTTGCCTCAGAGAAAAGCTGGAGAAAAGATCCGTTACAAACATATCAATTGGAACTATTCAGAAAATGCGAGCCAATCTGAGAGTCGGCGCCAAATTTCGACTCTTTTCAACAAGGCGAAAGTCCCGCTGGGAGGAGCCAGAGCCTCTAATTTGGCACCCACAACTCAACAATACAGGAAGCGCCTCACTTCCAACCACGACCTTCAAGCTTTTTTTTTTTTTTTGCCTTATTTCTTCTTGCGATATTTTTCACGAGGAAATTAAACATGTATGCCTTGAAAAAAATAATAAACTCTCTTGAATTTTTTTTGTTGAATACAATATTTTTATAATATTAGAAGTCAGCGTGAGATGTACTTTGGGAAGCATATTATTCAGCACGACGAAAAAATAAACCAAAAAATTCAGTTTCTAAAAACAAGTCACAATTTCTATCTTAAAACTTTGAACTGCAGCTTGAAATAAATTTATTTCACAAAAGGCAGACAAGGCTTCAGGGGTTGTACTCGATCATGATGTTCTTGCGGCGCTTAGTGTCCGAGTTCTGAAAAGAAGCTGTCTAGAACTAGCCAGAAAAGCCCAGCGACCTGGAAGAGCTTCATGTCGAAATTCTTGATGTCCTTCTGAGTGTCGGCACGCAACAGAACGTAGTCATAGGCGATCCTGTCCTTCTGGTAGTCGACATCGTTCCAAGAGAAATTCTTCAATCTCAGTTTTTGAATAGAAGACGCATGAAACAATCTACATGGACAGTCACGCCGATGAAACGTTTTTCTCCGACTTCGAGAATGCCACACGGAGGATACACCATCACACGCGGAACGGCGTTTCCTCAAATCTCATTGCTCCAATTCCAATATTTCAGATTAACCCAGAGTTCTTTGACACGATTCAATATGAGTATCCCACCCTTCAAATCTTTTTCTGACACTTCTCACTAAAACATTACGTCAAAAAATAAGGTGGTCATTATGAAACGCGAACACTTCTGGATCTGGCAAGTTAAACAGCTTCAAGGGTCCTTTTTCGGAGCCAAAGACGTTAGTCATATTCCGCACCTTCATTTTCTAGTTATTTTTATTTGGAGCTACGAACTTTGTAGCTCCAAATATATCATACGACGTGAAGACAAAAGTTGGTTAGGTGCATGAAGAAAAGGAGAACACAAATTGAATAGAATATTTTCCATGTTTTCAAATAGAAAATTTTCACTCTGAATAAAAGTTTTGATAATCCGGGTAAACCTTTAATGGCAAAAGCGATGCGGTGTTTTGAGTTATTGACGACCTTCATGTGGTAAGTGAGGTTCTCGTAGTCAAACGGGGCGTTGAAAACCTAAACCGGAACTTTTCGAGACAGGCGCGCCAAAAGTGTGATTACTAGTTTGTTAACAGGGAACGTGAGGAAGTCATTCAAATTATGAGCTGGTCCAGCTCCTGCAATATGTTAAATGCTGAAATTTTCTCTCGAGTAGTGTAAACTACCCTGAGTGTCAATTCCATCAGTAGATTTGGTCGAGGTGAGATTGTAAAAAGAGCTCACTTCCATTGGGTTTTGTCCTACGAAACGTCTCTCACCTGCCAAAAACGTTCTGAAAATTGACTAAAAAGGACAAACTTGGCATGTCCGTGCAACTTCTCGCAGGTTTTCCGCTCGCCTGTTCATTTTGCGGCTGTAAAATAATATAACTTTGCTTAATTATCAGGAATAAAGGAGAGGTCTCACTTTTTGTTGGCTATCGCCGGCGTTTTCTAAGAAACATTTGAAAACGGTGGAAATAATCTACAGTGTGTTATTAATATTTTTGGAAAAGTTATCCCAACTTCATTCAATTTGGCATGAAACCCTTTAAGATTATCAATAAGCTTTGAGATTTGTTCATAGATTTCACAAACTCCTATCTTGAACATCTCATTCCATTCAAAAGTGATCGGGTTAACGAGGCTTGACAAAACGAAAGATTATCCTTCTTACTGAAAACTTGACAAAAGTAATGAGAAAAACAGTTTTTTTAAAAACTAAACAGAACGGACTCTCTCAAATTCAAACTATTCAAAACCCCCAAGGTGTGTGAGAGCAATTCTAGATAAATCAAAAAGAATAAAATAACATTTATGAAGAAAAGGAGAACGAAAAAATATTCGTGGCTTGCGAGCAAAAAAAAAAACAGTAATTGTTATATTAGAGAAAGAGCTTAAATAACAATACTTAATTCGAAGTAGGCAGATGAAAAAAAGAAGAAACAACTCTCAAAGATGTTGAGCTATTGGAAAAACAGAAAAGGTTATTCGAAAACGCGCTGTCTATCAGGCTTTCCTCCTTCATGAAAGACGGTTTGACGCGTAAAAGGACCAGATCGGAACACAGAAACAGTACCGTTGGGCGAGGTCACCTCCTCCTCCTCAACAACTAGCATTCGGAAAGATCTTCAACATGAAGCAGCTTTGCTCTTTTCGACGCCCTCACACACCTTGTAGTAAGTCTCAGTTCGCGTGACGGTCACCTGAGCTGCAGGAGGCGTCGGCTCGGCAGGAGCTGGCTCTGGAGTTTTCTGTTCGAGCTGAGCTGGAACGACGGCGGCGACGGATCCAGGTGAGACAGGCTCCGGAACGGCTTGAACCACCTTCCGACGGCTGCTCACCTGCTCCATCTTGTCGGCGCTCGCGTTCTTGCTCACGGCTCCGCGACTACTGGCTCCGCGACGACTCGAGTCGCTGCGCAGAAGAGCGACTGCTGTGTTCACCTGAAAAGGACTCGCCAAAAGATGCGTTTCCTGGCTCTTGTCGGGCTCACCTCGTTCACCTCCGTCCTGAAAAAGACGTCTATGTCTTATTGAACAAACTTTGGGTTTTGCGTTTCAATAACTTTCAGAAAACTTGTTTAATTCTTTGAAAACTTGTTTATTTTCATTTTGCAAGAGACCTTTTCGAAACCGCTGTTGCGGTAGTGTTGGTGTCTTTGTTGGTCGCTGCAGTGTTTTCCCGTCGAAGCTGAAGTTTCACATAGACATTCCTTCTGCAAACCGAAGACTGGAGAAAAAAAAGAACAAACCGCCTTGAGGAGTTCCTTGGCTCGCTCCAGCAGATGGTATGGCGGCAGGACTAGGAGCAAGAACAGAGCCAGCTTGAAGACGTAGTAAAGAGGAATACGCTCCAGAAGCCGGTCGAATATGGTCGTCACGCCAAAAGCGGTCCAGTACACGACAAGACTCTCTTCCGTCGGCTTCTCGTCCACAAACACAAACGTCAGCAAAAAGGGCACCACGATCAGGATTCCATTGCCGAACACATGCGCCTGAACTCCTCAGTCCTTTTTTATTTATAAAACAGCCTCACCTCTTGGCTGATGGCCAAGACGGCCACGAGAAGTCCAATCAGACCTTTTACAACCTGAGCAGTTAAAGTAAGCCTCCCTAATCAAAAAAAAACCAAACCAAATCCGGCTGCACACCAACGTGCTCAGCCACGAAGGCAATAAAACGCGCAGTGAAGTGTTTCTGTGGAAAAAAGTCGTCGAAATGAAGGGAGATCCGTCCAACCTTGTCGTAGATCCACTCGTTGATCCATTCCACAGAATGAGGATCCATCGCGCTCGAGTATCTTCAAGGAAATGCCAAAGACTATGCCAGAAACTCACGCTGCAACGAAACCAACGGGAATTATCTCAATTCTTTTTTATTTTCAACACGTTTTTAAATTAATTCGTTCCTTCTCTTCAGTTCCCTAATTTCTTCAACTAATCTATAGTATCAAATACCCTCCAACTTATTCTTTTTTCTATAGAAAGTCTAGTCACCATCATTTAGTTCGCTCAAGCTGTGCAATAAAAACTATGTTTAACTGTTCGCAGAGCAAATTCTTCAGGAAGTGCCGTTTCCGGTCTGACAGCTTTTGAGGAAAGCCCTTTCATTTCCTAATCTCGTTCGTCTCAAGCAATCCTCATCAAACGTTTAGTTTCCTTACTCGTTCAGCTGCAAAAGTATGGAGGACCTTCATTTGACCTCCGAAGAAAAAGACATGATCAAGAGGAGCTGGAAAGTTCTCCAGAAAAACCTCAACCAGACTGCGATTTGCATCTTCGAAATGATCTTCACACAGAGTCCCGACGCCAAACAGGTTCGTGCCATTTATCCGACATCAGACACTCCGGCCGTTTCAGTTGTTTCCCTTCATGAGAATCTCCCAAAGCACCAAATCTCGTGAAATGGAGTTTCACGCACTCCGTTTCATGCAGGTTTATTGATGAAGGTGCACTAAGGAACCAGAGAATTCAGGTTTTGGAGTCCGTGGTCAAGTTCTTGAACGATCCGACGATGCTCAATCCCTTGTGCGATAACCTTGGCAGGTTGGCTGCTGAACAAACCCGATCATCCCGTAGAAATAAAACTATAACTGGAAAAGTTCATACGCATCAGCAGCAAAGTTTGAGAATCTTGCCGAAACTATCACAATTATGACTAACTAGTTAGAACAGCATAAAAGTAAAAATATATGAAATTGTAGGCTGAGAGGGAGAGAATCGATATTCATTACAGGATCCACGGAAGGCTGAGCGAGACTCGCGGCTTCAGAACTCACCACTGGTCTGTTTTTGTCGAATGCACTCTTTTCCATCTGAGACGGGTCCTCGCCAAGGTTTCTTCCGATTTCTGTGTCCGTCATGACGCTTTAAACCTCAGGAAAACGAGTTTTCTGAGTTGCAACTCCTCGACCAGACCATTTTGTGTTGGCGATCGATTCTTCTGGCCCTTATCGAGCGGATGAAGGTTAAACTTTTTGAAGAAAACACTAAAGTTGAAAGTTGAGAACAAGGAAACTATTCCTGTCGCTACCTTAGTTCTCATGTTCTTTTTTTTGTAATACACTTTTCGAAGATTCGGCTGTACTACTCAGGAAGTCTATATTCATTGAAAGCTCGCTAAAAAAACGCAAAAATTATTCATTGAATATGTTCCTGAGCCACTTCTTTCTGCATCCCTTTTCACGAGTCTTCTGTTTAAATCAATAGTAAGTAATTAATATCTCTGAAAGTGAATCATTTCAGTTAGGGTTCAAGACCGATATCAGAAACCGAAAAGTGAGTCGAATGGTGTCAGGTTCGCGGAGCCGCAGGGGTAGTATGTCTTTTCAAAGTCACGGTTTGTCTAAGTCTTGAAAAACTTGAAAAACTTTTGTTGCAGTGAGTAGAAGGTCACTTCCCGCACTGTCCGACGTGCAACCACTGGTTCTCAATGGTCGAGGTGCCTATTTTTTGATTTCTAAAATAAAAATTGAAGTTAGAAAAAAAAAATTTATTTCTTCAGGTCCAACGCTTTTGAAAAGATTCTGACTCACCAGCCTTTCTTTAAAATTTTTGTAAAAATAATTAACTTATAGCGAAACTTTCAGAAGTTCGACGAAGCTCCGATCGTTCTCCTTCGGGCCTTTTCAACTCATTGAAGCGCTTCACGCGACGTCGAATTTCCAGTGCTTTCCGCTAAAACCCAGTTTTTACTTATTTTTGTTTTGAACTTTCTTATATGACGTTTATTTAACGCTGATTGCAGATTTTAAAAATAACATACACTTTTTAAAAAAACCTTCCAACTAGCTGAAGGTTCAATTTTGAAATATTTTCAATTTCTGAAGTCTCTAACTACGTCTTCTAAGAACAAATTTCGATTCTAAAGTTTTTGGAGAAAATGATAAAGCTCATGTGACTGATGTCCAGCTCTTATCTTCGCTGGAGCCCCAAGATTTTTATTTCACAGTGCATGTAGTCTCAAATGTAACACGCAATAAACAGTCTTTCCAGCGGTAAACGGACTAATTCTGAGATCATCAAGTCTCATTGAGCAAATCTTTATCGCGAGAAACAACCACTGGACAGATCTTATGGAATATATTACATAAATACTCGTCAGAAAATAGTGGTTCTAGTTGGAGTCTGTGGCTCGTGACACGATGCACGTCTGCTGGGGAGTTCCGTCGGCGCAGAAGTCGCTGGACGACGAGGAGAACTCGTGGTCGCCTTGCAGACACGTCACCAGATATCGAACGTCGCCATACTTCTCCTTGAGACTGGCGACGATGTTGTCGCGCGATTCCTGCGTCGACGAACGGACACCCTGCGGAAAAGCCGAGTTTTTCTGGGAGAAGAGGTCTAAACTGACGTTGAGGATGATTTTTCGCAGTTCGGGGTCCGTGCACTTCTCGTCTCCCGCGGAACGCTTTTTCCTGCCACCGCAAGAACAAGGGCAAGGAGCTGGAGGAGGTGGCAGCTTGAGAGTCGGAATCGAGAAGCTGATCGTTTGGCATCCGAGTTTTGGCAGACAAGCCGATGTGTCCTGTTCAAAATTTTCACGAGTTATCTCCTCTCATGTCTGGCACCCTAATCAAGGCATTTTTGCCAGCCTGTGCACTATTTTAAGAACTATCTACACCGAATCAACGAGTTCAAACATCCCTCTGGTGAAAACTTTTCTCAGAGTCTCTGTTAATCTATCCTTCTTGACCTAGGAAAGACACATTAAATACGAAAGACCTACGCCTCCACAGCCTCCTCCGCAGCCGCCGCCGCAGCCGCCACCGCCGCCCATTGGGAACAAGAAAGCGTCGGCGCAGACGATGAGCATCAGCAACGATATCGCCCACTGAATTCGTTGAGAGATCGACCGTTTGGATCAAAACAACCAACCATTTTTGGGACGCGCGAATGAATGGCAGTTTGTGGGAAAAGAACGAGTGGATCATGCTTTTATAAGGGGCCGTTCGACGACTGGTAGACGACGAGTAGCCAACCAGTTTCGGATACGAAGCTTCGCTCGTCATCACTGATTGCATCACTCCGTCATCCGTCGGATCTCCCAACGTCATCAAAACACTCAGCTCGTTTTTTCTCGCTTTCACTTTGGCACGTGCTCATCAAGAGCAGAACTGAATCTTATTTCACTCTCCCAAAAGCCGTTTTCTCTCGAAAAAGAAGTTTTCATTACAAAGAATGCTAATCAAGTTTTGAAACCCCCCCCCCTTTCTTTGAAGATCATTATTTGGTAAACAAACTAAATGTAAAAAGTTCAAGACAAATCGGATCACAGGCGAAACGAGAAGACCGCATAATGTGTCCATCGTGAGACCTCCGGCATACCTTTTAGCTATATCTGAGCCATCTCGGAGGTACTTGAGAGTCTATCTCATTTTGCTCAGTCCTCAGAGGTATACTCGAGGTACCATCGTGAGACTTCAGAGCCTGCGATATACCTCAGAGGGTCTCGCGATACCCTTTCTCGATTCGCCTATGGAGAAATAAAAGTATAACAAACTAAATAGTAAACTTTAGGACATTCCTGTGATACAATCAGAGGTGGAGGATGGCTGCCCACTGGCCGCCCTGCCTGCCAAGCCATAAACGCCCAAAAGGCAGAAATGACTTTTTCAAAAGTCAACGTGGCGCGACGGTCATTTGTAAGGCGAAATCGCCCTAACATCTAGAAGCGCTTGTTTCGAGCAATGTATGAAACTTGTGTACACAAAGGAATCAGAATTTTCGGTTGTAAAAAAAAATTCGAACATAATGATTTTTTATTTTTGGGAACTTTCCGACGGAGAAGTTTCCGACTAACCCTTTTCCGACTTTTTTTATCTAGATAAACTCTTTTTTTGTAATCTTTTCACATGAAGTAGGTAGTTGATTCATGATTGAAACACAAAAAAATATAGAAAAATGTTAATAGATGTTTTATAAACTGAAAAAAATATAAGGGAAAAAAAGTCGGAAGGGGATTCGTCGGAAAGGTGACCGTCGAAAAGTTACGTGGCAATATGAAAAAATCGAAAAATTCGCCGTTCGAAAATTCGCTGGCTTTTTTTTCATACCACCGAAAAATCCAGAAAGAGACCTGTTTCTCAAATTTTTTTGGTCCTAGTAGTTCTCTGGTGAGATTGAAAATGTAGCCAACTGGGTCAGTTTCAGTGAAAATTCTTGCTGAAATATCTGTTACAGTGGGTTAAAAACGTTAAAACGGAGTTGCGAAAAAAAAAAACAATTCAAAATTTACAAAATTGATAATGATTAGTTCAGGGGGTTATCGCCACGTACTTGACCTAGTTGCCAAAGACCACGTAAATTAATGGCTCATTCCTATCATTTGGCTAAATGGCTTGGCTTGGCCGCCAAGCCAAGGGCTGCCTTCCCAATCCTCCACCTCTGGTTATTTGTACCATTTCGTGGTCTTTTTTCCCTGCAGTACCTGCATACCAGTTCGATGTCGTTCATTATCAGAAACACAAACCTTCAACATAATTCATTCACTCAATATCACAAAAAAACTTCGCTTTAAACTTTTTCTTTGTTGCAAATTCTTCTGACGTTATCCAGGAAAAATCTCAAAATTTTTATAATAAAACAATAAAACTATGATAACAACGTATTATCAAATCATGAAAAATCAATATGTACCCCGAGAATGTAATGGACGTTCGAAAAAGAAATGATTCACAGAAAAAAATTATATATTAATAATAAATAGACCCCATACAGCTGGTGAAAAAAATACCTGTAAAAATAAAGTAAATTAAAGGAAATAGACAAAGTTGATGAAAAAAAATACATATTTGGCTGGAGAAGTTTGAAAAAAGGACTAGGAGCCGTGAATAAAACTCAGCTGAAATCAAGCGAATAAATCGAAGTTTTACTGAAGGATCTACTCGATCCACTGATTGAAAAAATCTTTTAGGGTGTCCGTGTCCCATTTCTCCACGTTCAGCGTTTGTCTCGTAGTTCCAGTGAGATCCTGCAAATTATGATTGACAACCATTCAAAGATTTGAAAAAGGAAAAACTTCGAGTGCGAAAAAACATTTCATTTTGGGGGACATTTAGCAAAACTGAGGCTCAATTTTAGTTTTTGCAAATTTCAACAAATAAATCGAGTTCATAATAATTTTCAACCTTATTTATTTTTTTATCTCCGTGGAAAATTGTACGTTACATTTTCTTTATCTACGCGTGTTTTTGAGCCAAAATGATAATTTTTTATCGACTATGACTGAATTATAAATACGTTGAAAAAAAGTCTTAAAACTTTGGCAAAAAAAGAAAAAGAAATGCCGCGTATTTAACAAACTTTTATATTCACCATAAAGATCTTTCCAACTCAAAGATTTTAGAGAAAAGACGTAATTAAAACAGAACATTCACGCATTGATGGAAAAAAAAAAAAATTAAACCTTCAAAAGAACTTGTGGCCGAACTCCTCGAACATGACGAACTTTAACACGGCCACCCCAAGCGGACGCCATGTCTTGGTGCACAAAAGCTAGAATTTTTATCAAGGAATGTAATTGCTCAAATAAAAGAGACAACGGGTGATTTAAAATCTTGTTTAAGTACAAAATCTTTCTTTATTTAAAAACAAAAAAAAAACCTTGAACTTGCGGGAACCGAGCCAAATTGCATTCACATACTTCCAGAAAAGCCACAGGATATTTCTAAAACACAATTTCGAAAATAAGGATAATAATGTTATATTTTGCTAGACAACGTAGTTGTTGAAGTGAAATATTTATTATATCCTAATACGTAGAAACGATCAAACCTCGTGTTCATATTCCTGTTCTCTTGTACAACAGGACAAGCAGTCGCTCATCAGCGTTTCCAGATTATATTCAGGCAGTTTTTCACAGTTTTCGCACTTAAAAATTGTCCAAATCATGAAAAACAGAAAAGAAAACAAACATTCAAAGACTCTGGCAAAAAACCAGCTTCACGGCATTCGCTATCTGTCAATTTGTACTCCTCAACCTGGCCAAAGGCGGTTCCGATCAAAATGGGCAACGCCAGAAGCCACATCTGAATATTCATATAATTAAAAAAAATGTATCATCGTCTAAAATGGAAATTTTGCTATTCTTGATGAATTTTTGTGAAAATAATTAGGAAAAAAAGGCAGGTTATAGTAATTATGAAAAACATTGGGAACGATTTTTATTGAGAAAAGTCCGATAAGAAATCCTGCTACTTCAGTGTGCCAGAAGAAGGTAAATTTAATAAAAAAAATGACTCAGAATAGAAATTTTTCGCCCAAAAAAAGCATCACATGTAGATTTCATATTTACAAAAAAATGAATAGGATCGACGGGAAGCTTGACAGAAAAGGGAAAAAGCAGTGAAAAACTTGAAAAGAGAGTTTTAAAAACGTCACGTCTCATTGGAGCGCTCTTTCAACTTTTTTTTTTAAAGTTTGCAAGTCTATTCTTGCAGTACTTGCACGCAAAATTAAAAAATGTTGGTTTTGAAAAAGTAATTTGTTATTGTTGTTTCGGCAAAACATAAATTATTGTGAGAGAGCGTGATTGTTATTGCTGTGGGAGCACATATTGGGAGTTACCGGTAATTTCGAATATCGCGAAATTACTTTGAAAAAAAAATTTATTTACAGTTGACTTTATCGAAAAACAAAGTTTTGTGAAACTTTGATGGTTTCATAATTAAAGGAACAAAAACCATCTGAAAATAAAGTTTGATGTAAAAAACCGGTTTTTGTTTGAAACACAGTGAAGAAATTCGAACTCTCGTGTTGATGAGAACTTTTGAAAAGTTTGTGTACAATTTGATGGATGGAATTGGAACCAAACTGTATTATTACTTTGTCGTCTAGGATCCAAATGCACTTTCATCTTTTTTTTTGATCGCGGGAGGTGAGAAAAAAAAGAGTGCAACTGATAGACAAATTGCCAGTCTGGCGAACGACTATAAAATACTTTTGCCATGGAGTTTTCAATTAATATACCATGCTGAAAGGTAAGGTCGTCCTGGTGACTGGAGCGTCTCGAGGCGTCGGTAGGGGGGTTGCCGTCGAGGTGGCTAAACGCGGTGCCACCGTTTTCATAACCGGAAGACGTCCTTCTAACGAATCATCCTGCCAGCTCCAGAATACAGCCGAAGGTAGGATACTGCTTAAACGTATATTATTTTTCGTTATAGAAATAACTGCATCATGCGGCACGGCTATTGTGAAATATGTCGACCACAGCAATATGGAACAGGTAGAAGGTCTTTTTGAAGACATAAAACTCGAAGCTGGAAGACTCGATGTTCTTGTTAACAACGCCTATTCTGGTGTTCCTGTGAGTTTCTAGGAACCTTTATTGAAGTCAGAAAGCTCTAGATAATCAGCGCCAATCTGGGGAGAAAATTTCACGAAAGTGATCCGGAAGACCTTTGGGACGGCATCAACAACGTAGGCCTTCGCAACGTCTACTTCTGCAGTGTCTACGCCGCCAGGATCATGGCTGCTCAAGGCTCAGGGCTCATCATAAACTTGAGCAGCGTTGGAGGGCTTTAGTTCGTTAAATGTTCACGACAAAACTCACAGAAAGGCTTTCAGTAAAGTTTTCAACGTACCTTATGGCGTCGGAAAAGCAGCAGTAGACCGTATGAGCAAGGACTGTGCCCTCGAGCTCAGGGTTACTTTTTCTCATATTCACAGCGTTTTTATCAAAGCTCCGACTGTGTTACAACGGCTAGTTCCAGGATTCGAATGTCGCCGTTATCAGTCTGTGGCCTGGAGCTGTTCAAACCGAAACGTTCATGACCTTGGCAAAAGGAGAAGAACAAAGATTGGGAGAGGTTGGTTGTATCAAAAAATGATAGGGATAAACTTTTGCAGTTGAACCACCTCTTCTTGAATGGAGAATCGACAACTTTCGTGGGAAGAGCCGTCGCTTCCCTAGCAGAAGACGACAACGTGATGCGGTTCTCTGGAAAGATTCTTCATACAGCTGACGTCGCCTTGCAATACAAAGTTCAGAGATGTTGGAGGTTAACCAAAAAGAGAATTAGTTTGATTTCCAACTTTTTTTCCAGATAGAAAGCCGCCGCACTTTCGAAGTATCAAGCAGCTTCTGTCGCTTTCCGGGTACAGAGGCCTTTCGAAGATCGTTCCAGAGTTTTTCCGACTCCCCGGCTGGATGCTCACTGCTCTCGAAAGCACAATGTGAATTAAAAATAAATGAATTGAAAAAAAAGAGTACGTGTACGAGTAAAATCGACTTTCTCTTCATTTTCACAAAGTTCGACATGGATCAAGTAGTTAAACCGACAGTTGTACCAGTAAATGAGATAAAGAGAGTAATGAAAAAGTTCGGGTTTTCAGGATCCATTTAACATAGAAGAAATAGCAAAATATCAGCCTCGAGAATTCATCGAACATTTTTTGTTGACAAAACCCATCGGTGTCCGCGTGCTCAAGCAAGACTGCAGAGTGAGCAATTACCTGGGACTTGAAACGGGAAAATGTTTCAGATAACGAACATTCAAGCCAATTCTGGGCTGACCGGAAAAGCTTTCGTGGGAGACACAATAGTCGCCGTGGATGGAGTACGCATCAGCAAGGGAGAAGATTTATATAAAAAACTCAAGGAGCCTTCTGAGGTTTTCGTACGTGGTTTTTTCTCAAAAGTTGTCGTTTTTTCTAGAAAGTGATGCTTGAAATTCGTCATTGCTCGTGGTCGTGGTGTTATCATATCAAGACAACCGTCGAGCGCATCCAAATGGACAGAGACACGGAGAAAATAAGTGGCAAACCTGTAGATCTTTATTATGTAATACAGAGAAAACACAACTTGGACTGATTGGTTGTTGAGGTGGTGATAAAAATAGCGAGTCCCCCAGAAGTCCCTCCGCCGCCTATCGGCCTCTACGTCAAGTACGACAACAGGGATCGCTTGCAGGTCCTTTCCTTTTGTCTTTCTCAGAAGCGGGCGCGTTTTCAGATAGCTTCGGTAGAGCCGAGAAGCATGTCCGCTATCCATCTCCGCGCAGGCGATATCATTAGGTTGGTTGGATCTCAAATTGTGTGTTCATCTGAAGATCAGGGAGTGCAATGGCAGGCAACTCAGCAGCAAAGCTATGCTCGAACAGCTCATAATTGAGTCTATCAGAGACAAAGGATCCGTGAGTTGAGGCATGTTATGTCAATAAGATTTAAGATTTTTGCAGTTTTCGTTTTCGGTCGAAGCTCCGACGGGTGGAGAATCTGTGCGTGACTCCGTTGAAATGGCGCCCGATGTCGTCGAAATCGCCAACAAACAGGTTCATTGTTTTTTTAATCTCAAATTCACCAGCAAACTTTTGACTATACAAGATTACTCCCTAGATTATACAGCTTTATTATGATCCAAAACTTTTTTTTTTGTACAGATTGAAGAGTTCAAAAAGGCAGCAGGACTGATCAAACTCAAGTCTTGTCTCGAAACCCAGAAAGAGCAACAAAAACGAAAGTTCAGTATTTCCTCTAAAGAACGGACGGAGGTTATTTTTTCCCCTCAACTTCGAAAAAAAGTTTTTTTTAGTTTTCGATTGTTAGCGACTGCGATCCATCGAAACTAAGACCTTGCAAAAATGCCAACTGATTACACTTTTGTTTCACGAATAAATTATGTTACAGTCATTTTCTTATGAAAACGGCCGCATTGACTTTTAAGAAAGTAGGAGATACTCACAGGGCTCGTTTTGTTATTATTTATAACCTCAAGGATCAACTTTTCCAAAGATGAAAGAAGAAATTGGCTCATTTTAATGAGGCATCTCGGAAGAGCGAGCCGTGATGAGAAAATTATTCTGCTTCTTCGTATTTAGCATATTTTGACGCTAAACGTTTAATCTCCTTCATTTCCATCTCCAGTACAACGAACCTCATGGATGACCAGGAAATTAAGAAAAAGATCATGTCACTCGTTGAGAAAATAAAGGTGAGAGTTCCTTACATTTGACAGTAGGTAGACAATATTTAGGAGCATTATATCGCCATCCAAGCGATAAGACAAGAAGACCGCGATATATGGAGAAGTCTCAACAAACGACTTCAGAAACTCGAAACTTAGTAGGTGGAGGTGATTTCCTTCCCCACTGTCCTTAGAGTTCAGAAGTCGGAGAGGTATAGAAAACGAAGGAAAGACAAGAAGTCGGCGAACGAAGGATCCAAGCCGAAATCGAATGAAGAAAGATCAGCAGAGCGAACCTCGGCTCGAAAAAACGCCGCCGTCTGTCAACGAAGAAGCCGTGTCTCCCTCATTGAAATAAAACTTCTTTCCTTAAAAAAAAAACTTTTTTCAAATCAAACCATTCGATTTTCTTAAAAAACTGTTCATTTCTTATTCCAATAACAGTTTTTGTATTCTGAAATGCTTCATCAATTTTAAAAATTCAATATACAAGAACAAAAACAGATAAAGAATGTTTGTTAACATGACAAAGTTTTCAATGGGAATTTCCTGAAAAGACAATTTGAAAGTTTTTTTGTGAAAACAACAATTGACAACCTGAGCAAAAATCGAAAGTTGAGACTTGCAACAATTTCTTAGAAATGTGTCAGTCTCTCACCAGGCTATGCAATTTAATAGGTGATCAAAAATCTTGAAAGAGAAAAAAAGAGAACTTAGTCGCAAGGTACCCGAATTTTTCTGGCTTTCGCCATTCGGGCCTGTATTAACAATTGGAATGAAACCATTTCAATAAAAAACAGCTTCAAAAAAGTCGTGGTAACTTATGGAACATCGAAAAAATCAAGGATGTCCAATTCGAACCCGTACAAACACCATATATTGAGGAGATACAAATATTTCAGGTAGAATGCGAAAAAACAGGGTTAGAAGCAAGAAGAGAGCCAAGAAGATGAGCAGTTGAAGCAGGGTTTTGGGGTAAAGAAGCCGAGATTGTCGGTTTCGGCAAGAGCGGCATCTGGGGGACTGGCGTCTGCGAAGACTGGATCGCCGCGGCAAGCTGAGCCGCCGTCTGCTGAAGCCTCAGCATCGAAAGGACGTCAACAGGAGGCGTCGGCGTCGTCTGCGGCAAGGCTACCGAAGGCTGTTGTCCAAGGTTGGAAAGAAGCTCCTGGAGCATCGCGTTCGCCTGTTGCTGCTGGAGGATCGTGTTGTGCAAAGCCAGCGACGAGATCATCTGTTGCGGGGACATCGCGTTTATTGACGGCGTTACTGGGAGTACGGTGACAGGATTATGTGACGGTGATGGCGTCACCACCGGCTTGAACATAGTCGTAGGCTGTACGGACACTCCGGGGAGAGTACTGACGGTTCGGTTGACAGGCGTCGGCCGAGGCAGCGGCGTGCCGTCTACGTTCTTCGGAGGCGGAACGGAGCCTTGGAAACGGGGAACAGTGCTCAACGGAGGTCCCATGCTCGTCTGCGAAGTCGAAGGAGTACACGAAGATCTTTCTTGTTTGACTGCCGATTCAGGTTCATCCTGAAATACACGACTTCATGAAAAACAGAAATCTTCCCAAAAGTCAACAACCATCGGAATCCAATCAATAAAAAGTTTGAATTTCAACATGAGAAGTCTAAATTTGAAAACAAATGATGAGTTTGGTTGGCAAAAAGCGTTGATTATTTCGATTTCCCCGTTTCCCGTGATAATGGCGTGTTCATCGGAAAAAAAAAAACGAAAACTGTTTCAAAACAAAAATTAGTACTGTATTGGAGCATCTTTGGCGCGCCATTGAACACGTTTTCGCATTTTGAAACATGTTCCGTTCCTCTGATGAACGCGCCATACATTTTCATGGATCTCTTGGAGAGCGCTCTGAACTGATCTTAGAATTCTTTCAAAACCTTGTATCCTCCTCCTCGAAAAGCTTCGATATTGGCTATATTTAACTTTAAAAAAATATATAACAAACGGTCTCACATGCAAGAAGAAATAAATAATTCAATGACTGATAATTGAAGAAGTGAAGGGAAAAAACAACGCCTACTTCAGGGACGAAAATTCGCATCGCTGGAATTGTTGGTAAAATGACGAGACGGCCGCTTTTCTCTTCTACTTTGTTTTTCGTTGCCACAATCGGAATGTCATCGATATGGTTCTGTATATTTTTTTTATTAGCCATATCAAGTTTCGCAGAACTGTTCAAAGAAACGATATCTTAAACTGGGTATCGCGAAATATTTTCACTTTTGTCAGGAAAGAAACTAGAGATAAACGAAAAGCTGGGTTAAAAAAACTTTGTCAAGCCTCTTCAAAGACCAAGATTTCCCATTCATGTGTATCCAAAAATGATCCGCTTAAACGAAGCAAAACAGTTTTTTTGAAACATCAAAATGTGTTCTTTCGCTTGAATCTCAAAAAATGGATTTAAAAGAATATTTACCCTGGCGACAAAGGTGTGAGCTCTCTTTCGGCCCATCGCAGGTGGCGGAGAGTAGGCCGGAAGGCCGCAAAGGCTTTTGGCACTGGGAGAGTTGCTGCCGGCGCGCGGATTCTCGGCGTTGCGTCGAGCTCTTTCTTCCTCCAGCCGCTTCTTCTCCGAAGCGCACTTGGCCTTCCAGATGTCGTACGACATGACCGTCATCGAGCCAAGGGACATGCTTCTCGTGTGCGGCTGTTCGTTGCCGTTTGGATTCTGAAAACTTCGTGAATATATATATATATATATATATATTTTTTTTACAAAAAAATTTTTGATAGTTTAGTATCGATTGAAGTAGATTTTTTTCTACAATAATAATGTTCACAATATTCAGATACATTCAAAAAAATTATGTAACTACATTTCTTATAGAAAAATAAAAATGAACGTTGTCAAAGCAAGCTGAAGCTTTGACTTCGTATTCGCAAATCATTGCTGGGTCTAAGATTCCTAGGGGAAAATCGAAGCGCGCAGTGGGAAACATCACGATCGGATCGGCGATGAAGTCTGTTCCCAATACAACCGCTTAGTGACGCCATAGTTCCGCATCGGTCTCTTCTTTTTTTTTCAATGTTAAATTGAGCTTAGAAGTCCACTGTCATAAAAACTTCTATGATCAGTTAGTTAAATTAAACAAGTACGGTTGAAAAAATTTAATTTTAATTTTGAAAAAAAGAAACCTTTTTTATAAGTTATAATAAGGAACTTTCAATGAAAATGATTTTGCGGTTCAAAGGGCAAAAGACCGTCAGAAAAAACGCATTGCTCTGGCCTGAAGAGCTAGAAAGAGTGGAGTTGAAAGAAGCCCGACTGCCCAATGTAGTCTGTGAAGGATAGACGACGCAAGACGTCGTCTGTCGGATGGCCACGCCTCCCAAATGGTTTTTGAACTCAATTTCATGCTAATTCTGACTGCTTTTCAGCGGTCCTTTTTTGATAATGCCACAATTTTGAAAATTTGATAGGAATAATTCAAATTTAAAAAAAAGTCAGAATCCCGTAACAAATCATTAGACGTAATGGGTGGAAAAACTTTTTCTGAGGTTTTTCTATTTTTCTTCTGCATTTCAACTCTAACTGGCCTAACAAAAATTTAAAAAAACATATATGCACAAAATATGACTCACAAAATCTGAATCCATGCCAGGCGACGAGGTTTTCGACGAGAACGACGATCGGCGCGAGTTGCCTGCAACAAAAACGTCCTTTTCCTCATCTCTCTTTTCTCTCTCTCGTATTATCTGGGTCTTTTGCCTCGCCTGGTTCGATAGAGTGAGAAAGACACAAGCGCGCCACGACAAATACGCCGCGACAAGACTCTAGGCGCAGCAGAAAAAAAGAGAGAGAGAGACAGATATTGTTTGGGCGAGAAAAACATGAAAGAACAAAATCCCCCGTTCCAGTTGCTAGTCGCTTGCTCATCACAATCGCTTCTCCTCATTTCGGAACAGATTTTTAATCGCTTGAAAAGCGTGAATAGCAACTAATCTTTGTTTTAAAATAACCTATCCTTTTTGGAGTTTGAATACCTAAAGAAACTCATCATAACAAAGTGGAAACTTCAAAATAATTGGAAAAGACTTTCATCAGCTATTGAAACATGTCTTGCCGCAGAACTTGACCTCGTTGGTCTCTAGTGGGTTCAACGGGTCCAAGTGAAGCCAAAATCCTTACTTTTTGTCTTTTTCTAGCCGAGGCAAACAGCAAACATTGGAAAGACGACTGCAAAACTTCAAACGCAATGTAGTTTACGTAGTTCTTCGACAAGACTAGAATTTTCTTCCAAAAATCGAAAAAACAACATAGTTGTACAATTAGTATTTTCCTCCGGAAGAGTATGGCTCAAAGATAAGTTTTCTATAACGTTGACCTCTTTGATCTCCAGACCAGAAGACCCAAAGTCAACTTCGACTTTTCATCTCTCGCACTTCTCTTCCTTCGGGAGAAATCGTTGCTGTGACCTGTTTGACATCTCACGAAAAATCGTCCTAACGCAGACGCTGGTTGAAGTTTGACAGATCAGAAAAAAAAATTTACAGTATACTAGATATGTCAACCGCTAGGCAAACATCAATTAAAACCTGCTTATTAAAAAATTGTTTTTTCTTCCTCGAAATAAAAAAAAGTCGATAAAAGTAAACAGGTTCAGATAGGAAATGTCTAACATTATCTTATCTATAAAGTGAAAAATCGCCTTTATTTTGGGCTTTCTTTTAGAGCTTTAACTCCGGATAACAGCATTCCCAGAACGAAAGTTTAAGCTGCTGTGAAAACTCTTCGAAGAGACAAGGCTTCAGACAGCCAAAGTATCCGAAAAAGAACAAAAGACAATAGTCTAAAAGATCAAACTTTTGCAAAAAAAAAGTTCATTAACTGAATATTTCGAATTCAGTTTTCAAAATAACGATTGTTTTTAGAAGCTATGTGGTAAAATGAAATGAAATGAATATTTTCGTATAAAAAAACTTGAAAAAACAAATAACGCATGAAAACTCAAAAAAATCGTTAATTTTTTTCGCAAATATATAAGGAATGTAAAATAGGCGATGACTAAGTAATGACGAATAGCCTTGGGAAATTCTCAGTATTCTAGATTTTGAGTTTTTTTAGCAGGTCTGAGATCGAAGGAAAGATTTATCGCCATATATTTGTAGTAATTCTTTGGAAAAAAAAAACGAACGAAAAGCGAGAAAATATGAGAATGCTGTCAATAGCGCAGACAATGGAATGAAAGCGGCGTGAGACATGAATCCAGAAGGTGCCCTCTTCCATTCGACCAAATATTTTTGGATTATCATTTCAGGAAAAATCCAAAAAAAGGCTGCTCTATAAACTATAAACATAAACTATATTTTCAAACTGAAAATATCAAGAGAAAAATCATATTTTAAACTTTGAAGGTAGGTATTAATTCTCAAACAAAAGAAAAAGGAGTGAAAAGACAATTGCGAAACTTTTCACAAATCGGGAAAAAAACACCAATCCGGAGGACCACTGCAAAATGAATGGTCCGTTTTTGTCTGGACTCCGCCCATTTCCAAGGAATTGTACTAAAAACAGCGCTCAAACGCCGTGCATTTCGCGGCTGAAAACAAGAGGACAACCGCGTGTCCTTTCCGGACTTGGCGCGAGTCCAGAGACCAGTTTCCTCTGCACAAAAGTTGGATGTTTACGTCCCTTGCCTAGACGACCTTTCTGACTATTGCAGCCGTCCAGGAAGAAACGTCGAAAATAACTGCACTTTTCTTGGAAAACAGTTCAGTGAGACTGAAATTTCTTCACTTAACTGGAAAAATGATGACAGAACGATGAAATGGCATATTGCATGAAAGTGATGGGTTATCTTAAAAAGGAAAAAAATTTTCGATCAGTAGAATACCTGATGATATGTTCAAAAGTCTGTGACCAAATTTAATATATGGACATACGTATATTCGAAATTGAAGCTCGCCTTGGAAGGATCTTTGGCTAAGTTCAGTTCTTCATATCTTGAATCATCAAAGCTTTCTTATCTCAATCACCCCACCTTTCAAAATTTTCTCTGGTTACGGTGTCAGACTCTTGCAAAAATAACAAGAGAATGGAAAGCAATCAAACACTGGCAGCTAAAATAAGAGAAATTTTGACCAAAAAAGTCATCATCCAGCAAACACAAACTACAGTTTTCCTCACACAGTAATCTTTTCCAAAAAATCTCTTTCTCTCTTCTTTCATATAACGTCACCTCGCACGGAAGTGCGGTTGTTCGTGCAAAACTGTACACAGAGCGAAAGAACAGAAAAGAAAGGCAAAAGTGAAAAAAAAAGAGAAGAACTGCGACTCACTGGGTTCGACGTCGTCGCTGATGCTGAGAGTTGCCACTCCAGTGGAATTTTCGGCGTTTCTCCGGGCATTCAGAGCTGCCGCCAATTCAATTTTCTCCTTGTTGCGCTTGTTGAACGACTTCAGTCTCTTGTAGTTTAGCCGTTCGCACTGAAATTATTCGTTATTACGGCTAAACGAGGCCAAAAATATGCAAAAACAACTCCTTTAGGGATGTTTTTTTTTTCAATCTCGGCTAGCGGTAGATCGACTTTGAAAATCTATCAAGATCGTTATTTTTTTATCGAATCAAAAAAATATTTTTAACAAAGGTGAAACAAGTGTTTAAAAAAAATAGGTCGTGAGCTCAAAAGACTTTTTAAATTTTTCATCTTGAACATAAGTGCCAACAAATAATGAAAACGTACATTCTTTATATACTTCTTATCATCTTGACACTAGAGCTCTTTTTACAAAACTTTATTTTCAACATATTCCGAAAAATACGCCACGCAGACTTAACGAACCTAACCTTTTGAAATTTATTAAGTTCGTCGAGAATTGTTTTTATCCTTTTCTGTCATACATTGGTTAGTGTTGTGTTACTGACCGATTTGCAGGAGCAAAGGATGTAGGGACAGTTGGGCGAATGATTCTTCAAGATCACCTTCTCTCCGTGTCCTTCGCACTTACGACAGTAGAGGACACGGCCCTGCAACAAATAAATATACGTGTTTTTTCAGTCAGATTTCCTCCTCAGTTGGACTAAACATCTTCGAGAAAAGTTAGATTTTTTTAAAGAAAATTTTTCATATCTTCAATAGATTCCTATAACCTATTCTGTGGTTAATTCGATATAATCCCCCGTCCAGGGCTTAGAAAAGCGTATACCAAATTTTTTTTAAATACGACAAGTGTTTTTTTTCGAATCCACATGCTTTGGTAATATCCCCGATTTCTGTGAATTTTTCATCTCTATCTGAAAATTTTTCAAACGACATACCTATTCAGAAATATCAATTTCAGCAAATCTCAATTTTTAAAGTGGATATTCAGTAGTATCCGAGTCTTAAAGTGTTGATATACTGAAAAGATTTTTTCAAGTGTTCGAAAACCCTTAGAGAGCGAATGGGGAACGGGAAATGGATATTATCCGCAATAAACTAGAAACGTGAAGATCACGATCATTATGGACTTTGTGGTCAAACTACACACGGGATGATCTTGAGTGATCGTTAATTAAATTGTTTTCCGTCGCCGGGCACAGACCGACAGGATCATTTTGCAGAGGCTCGTCCGACTCATTACGACTTGGCGTCTACTCGCCAGTGTTTTTAGTTTGCTCGGCAGCGAATCTCTTGGTGCTCTCAAGCCTCTGGGGGTTTCTCGACGCGCGACCCAAACAAAAGATCAAACTCCAGACGGGTACAAGGAACTTGGCGCGGAAGAGAATAGGATAAAATCAGAAAGACTTGGGCAAAAACGTCTCATACAGTATTCATTTCAGATGGTTACGTGAATTTTTAGTGTTCTTTGCGGAATTCAATGTCTCATCATCTCTTTTGTACATTTTCCTTGTGAGATGGCCTGAGTTTAGAGAAAGTTCCCAAAAGTTGGAACGAACATGAAATACAAACTTTTGGCTTTTCGTTGACGTCATCGACGGCGACGTCGAAATTCTCGCTGGAATTGTCGTCCAGGGCTTCCACGTTGATTTGGTGGGGGCTCATACAAAACTTCCAGATATCTGCAACAAAAAAAATTAATAAAAGTTAAGTTTTTCACCGAAAATTAGAAGATCGCGAAGCAATTGAGGTCCAAAAATTTTCAAAAAAAAATCGCATGTGAAACATTTAAAGATTGTTCAAGATAAGTTCAAATCATTATATTATACCTTGCTGTGTCACAAAAAAACCTAGGATAAATTTGTTAACCGGAAAAAAAGCTGAAGCACTCAGAAAAAAAGAGGGCAAGTGGCAAAAGGGCGGGTCCGATGCTGCTCTTTCAAACAGATGAAGCTTCTTTTTAGAATAAAAAAATAAATTATGTTTTGAATATCTCACAATTGAAAATGTTCCTTCAATGAAAAATGAACGTTAAAAAAACGTTTTCAAGGCGTTAGTTCATCAACCTGAACCTCTATCCAGCAGAATTGTGAGAGCTACACATTTGTTGAGTCAACCCGATCGAGAGTCGGCGGTTGGAGATTTTTCCCAGATTAGAAAACGATTGGAAACTTTCAAAATCCGAGAGCATTATCGGCAGCTCACTTATCGAAAGATTTGCTACATAAAAAGTATTCCCATGTTTAAAGTCTTCAGAATTGAAAAAATAAAACATACACCAAAAAATAAACTAAAAATCGATCTTTAATTTTTTTTTTTCTTTTTGGACTTCCAGAACCGTATTTGGGGTTTAAAAATAAAAAGTTTCGTATTTTGTCAGAAACAAAAAATATCATGGATTACGAAATGCGATGAGTCAGAACGATACATCGGCTGAAATAACTAAAAGTAGTTCGCATACACAACCACCTGGTTCATTTCGTCAGAGAAAACTCAATCGGGAAACTGAACATTTCCAAAACAAGGACACACTATCTGAGTGAGTGATATATGGAACTTTCTATAAAATACGTTTTGAAAAAAGACGGATGGTTTTTGTTGCACACGCGTGGCAATTTCAAAAGATCGAAGAATCGAGGTAGTGCAAACACGGTAGCGACGCTCGTTTCACAAGGCCTTTTCGCCGGATTTTTCACGGTCGTCCTCAAACAACTGAATCCTCAAAAGGAAACAAAAATGTCTGGACGGAAACGTTATGGACGGGGGGGGACTCAAAAACCAGTGGAGAAAAAGGAAAATCAGAGATAAAATCTTTTACAAAACTTGCGGCGTTGAAGTTGACGTGTTAAAAATGAATCGAAAGGTTTTCTATCTCTCAGCATGACTAAAAGAGCGAAAAATAAAAAAGTTTGATGACGCCTCCACCACGTGACTGTTCCAAAAAGAGAAAACAGAATAGAAGTGAGAATTCCTCGAACTTTTCATCATCTCAAAAAAAAAAACCCTGGTCCAAAAAAAGATTTTTCGAGGCAGAGTTCTATGATCAAGCACGAAAAAAGAGAAATTGGGTTTGGAAGTTGGTCCCCACTAACGACGGAGGACACCGTAGTGATGACGCCGCGACCGGTCGGAAACATCCCGACCAAAGCGTCCAAATAGCAACGAATAGCCGAGAAACGGTCCCTCTATATTTGGACAAGAGTAGCGCGTGCGTAACCGCTTTTTTGAAGTCTTCCTAGTTTCTCGATTCTTTTTTTCCATTCGAAATGACCGGGCGCGTCGCAGATCAAACCATCAAACCAACTAAAGAGTGGCCAGGGAGAGAGAAAAAAAATCTCCGCAAGTATTTCGAACATTTATACTTTAGAGGTACCGCGAAAGTCGGAAAACACACCATCCGCGTTTAGTTACCAAACCTTGTTGGCGATAAAGCGGGACTCGGAAATAGAGAGAGAGAGAAACAAACACAAACGTTACATCAGGCACGCGCCGAAGTTCAACTGGACCGAAATCATAAACCAATTGATCTGTCCTCAATTCTTTTTGAAAGGGAACAAAAGTTCATTTTTGATCTTTTAAACTTGCTGAAAGTGATGGATTCGGTTCTTGTAACACAGACTTTTCTCATGATAATAGCTCGATCAGAGCAGTACAAGTATAGTCCCTTTTCCAGTTTTTTAAAGATAGGAATACGTTCTTTTCTCAAAAGAGAAAAACAGGAGCCTAGTGCGAATGAATACCAGTAGCTTGTATGAATACCAGAACAGAGAAAATCACAGAATCTAAAGGCCTGAAAAAAAAAACCGAGATATATAGCGGAAGCAGAGTACAGAGTCTGCAAAGAAAGTGAATGAGAAAAAAGAGATGAATGGAAGCCGATAAAGAGGGTCCAAAAGAGCAAAATGGGAGGCGTTTGGTTTGGTAGCGTATTGTCAAGGAGAGAGAGAGAGATGAGTCGCGAAGCAACGTCGTACGATGAGACCCCCAGAGGCGAAAGGCGAAGAATGGAAAGGACAAGAGATGTTTGGAAACAGGCGCAGGTGTTGGGACGGTGTTGGCGGCGGAGCGCACGTGGTCTCGTCGGAATTCGTCGCCAGAGGAGTTCCCCGAAGCAACTCTGCGCGGCCGAAAGATCATATTTTGCCTTTGAACCACGCAACAACTCTAAAACCGTTACATGGTCAATTTCAGAACAGGAAAGCTTCTGGTAGGGAGTTGTCAGGCAGAAAAAAAATCTGACAACGACAGCTTCATACTAGATAAAGTTTGAGATCTACCAGTGACGATTATCTTCGACGCTCTCATTCTGATTAATTAGAGAACTTTGATGTTCTCAGAATAACGACTTGAAAGACCGAGAAACGAGGTGGCAATCAAAAGGAATTATGCTGGCAGTGTATAGTCTGCTTAGAAACACTTTATGTGCTCTTTAATAGCGCAATATGTTTATCCCCTACACTTTCATCAGAAACATGGCATCATATACAAAACCTCGGTTGTTAAAAAAAAGATTCGAAATTTTTAAACCTAAAAACTTGGCTCGAAATTGCAGCGTCTCTGAAGGTCTTACAAGCCTTTGCTGAACTGACTATGTAGAGACAACTACCTTCGGGGATCCACTGAAAACCTGAACCAGTCTATCCCTAAGTTTCAAGCCTCATTTTCTCAGAGATGAAAAATGATCAACTGAAACCTCACTGGCAAAAAGTTTTTTTTTATTATCGAGCCAAAGACAGTGATAGCGCTCCCAGAGTCAATGTTCGACGCGTTATCGGGGTACTGTCTCTAGAAAACGCGGAAGTTCAAAAGATCACAATTTTCTTGGCATTCTAAAAAATGTTAAAAACTAAAAACTTGCCTAGAAAATTTGAAACCCTTACATGGGAGGTCATTTTAGCGTAGGGTTCAGAATTTTTTATAAATTTGCTCAAACAATCTTTGATGGACTGGGAATCGATCCCCCATAGTCGCTATCTGCACAAACTTTTCGTTTTGGAGATATGATTTTTCAAAGTATTTATCCTTAACCATGTGACGCCGTTTGGAAGGAATGTGGCCGCGCCACCAACCACTGCATGGCAGCTGGGAGCGTGGTGCAGTGGCAAGCGTGTCAGCCTGCGGAGCCTATGATGAAGGTTCAAATCCTTTTGCCGCTAACTTTTTTTGCCATTATTTTTTTGAAGAATTTTGAGTAGAATATTAAAATTTCATGAGTAAAACCTTTCCAAATAAGTTCGATAGCTATTTTCTTTCTAAAATCGCTTTTTTTTTATGGAAAAAAATTATGAAAAAATTCTAAAGTTGTGGCAGACTCCACATCATCAGAGACTATTTTTTTGAAAATCAGCGAAAAATGTTTCAGAAAAGCGCTGAACCTTCATCGAAGATCTTCGCATGTCTTGGTTGTGATAAATAACAGTGGCTTTTCAATATTTCAATAGCCAATTTCTGCCTTACTTCTAAAGAAACATCTTTACAGAATATGAAAACTTACCTGTCATCCGAGTTTTATTGAAAAAAAAACTTCCAAACCCCATTTCCATCCTAATCCAGATTTTTTTTTTCAAATTTTCAGGAATCTAAAAATCTTTTGAGCAAAATGTTTTTGGGAAAATTCTCTGATATCATCATGATGATGTGAAGTCCGCCACAACTTTAGAGAGTTTCCATAACTATTGTCCATAAAAAAAGCGATTTTTAGAAAGAAAAATATCTATCGAACTTATTTGGAAAGGTTTTACTCATGAAATTTTAATATTCTCATCAGAACTCTTTTAAAAAAATAATGGCAAAAAAGCTAGCGGCAAAAGGATTCGAACCTTCATAATAGGCTCCGCAGGCTAACACGCTAGCCACTGCACCACGCTCCTAGCTGCCATGCAGTGGTTGGTGGCGCGGCCACATTCCTTCCAAACGGCGTCACATGGTTAAGGATAAAATCTTTGAAAAATCATATCTCCAAAACAAAAAGTTTGTGCAGATAGCGACTATAGGGGATCAATTCCCAGTCGATCAAAGATTGTTTGAGCAAATTTAGAAAAAATTCTGAACCCTACGCTAAAATGACCTCCCATGTTAGGGAAAAAATTTTTTCATACAGTCTCTTGATTCTACATAAGGAAATGAAAAAAAAGAGCCAATTCGAAGCTTAATTGGAACTTTATGAATCGAAAAGCCAGCTTCAGTGAAAATACGTTTTCACGAATTTTCGTGATTTTTTATTAATCAATTACTTCAATTCACTTATTCACTCTACCCTCTTCCAATGAACATTTTCCTCTTTCTTGAAATTTAGGGACGAAAAAACCAAATAGAAAAGTGAAATTCTGTTTCACACCTACGAAACTTTGTTATTAAGTGCAATACAGCTGCTGATCTAACGGTTGACTCTTTTTTCGTTGATTGTAAACTCCAAAGGGCCAAGTTCGACCGGAGGTTGACAAGTCCAAACATTTCTCTTTTTTCGTGAGATAAGCCACATGACGTGGGAACGTTTTGAAACTCACTCTGAATCGTAAAAGATGATAAAACAGTCCGATAAAAGAGGCGTTTCTGTGAAATCGAAGGACGATGGTCCTCAACCAACCATGTGACTTTTTTGAAAAAAATTTTTTTTTTGTTGCTGGTATGTTTAAAACATCGAAAAAAAAAGTTTATTATCTGTTAAAATAACTTTAAACAGATCATAATTTCGAGATCTTTTCTAAATTGCACTTTTCTTGGGCAAAAAGTCCAGCAAGAATTTTCGAAACAGCTACTCAAAACTGAAACATTCTCTCAAAAAAGGATCAAACGGACGCATAATGAAAAAAATTATCAATAAGGAAGATAGGAATAATTTTATTACTCCTACTATACAGTCAATAAAACCAGTCCCAAATCTTTCTGTCATTGGAAAAAGCTCAAAAAAAAACATCAGACATATCCTCAATTTTTGGGGATGTTTCGCGCTCTTTCTGTTATTTAGGATAAACAAAATTACTGTGAAAACAGTTAAACTTACCTATTACAGTACATCATCTGTAATAACAGTGGAAAAATATGAAATGATGCTTAAAAAAATAGATTTAAAAAAATATTTGAGAAAAAACCTCTTTTTCTAAGCCCAACTTATCCAAAAACAACAAATTTCCTGTTTTTTTCAAATAATCCAATCCCGATGTATTATAAAAAAATAGTTGAAAAACTCATGATTTCATTTTTAATGAGCGCAAGATATCTTCTCAGATGATCCTCGCTTCAAGACCCACGATCTTTTGACCTTTCCGCGTTGAGAAAGGCCGACATAATCTTTTTGAAAAGCTAGAGTTCTCCTAATCTGATTTTGAAAGTTCAGAGAAAATTTTCGAGAAGAGTTTGACTCGTGATAAGCTCAAAACTAATTTCGTTAATTTTTTCACATTCTCTCTTTTCCAATTAAAACTTGTTAAAACTTTGAATAATTGAGAGTGATTCTAGAAAAGTTGCGTCTGGTTCAAAGTACCTAAAAAGGATAATTGATTACGTGGAGATCGGAAGCAATCGATGGAAAAATGATTGGAAAAGGAAGAGAAAAATGTGAAGTTTGATGCCAAACCGTTTGGAAGGGAGACGGAGAGGACGCTTCTACATGGCGCAGAAACCGGCGAGAAAAGAGAACGAGAAAACCCAAATGTTCGAACAACACACAAACCGCGAGAGAAACTTTGGCCCAGCATCTTTATGCGCCTCAAAATAAACCGTCCACTAGGTGGAGATATTTCTCTTCGCGCTCCTCCTACTTCCTTCTCTTTTCCCTTCGTCGCCACCTAGTGTCCTCTTGCAAACGGCGCACTCTTTTCAAGGACCAAAAGATCAAAATTTTGCCCTCAGCTGCGCAAATTTTTGCACTGGCCTTCACTGAACTTCAGTATTCATCGTTCTTTTTCAGAGACTTTTGAATATTATATTTCGATATGAGAAAGTACCGAGATAACAAAACGCCAAAAAAGAAAATTAAGCATTTTTCAAATTCAGATTTAAATGTCATATTAGGTGCCCAATAAGTGTTTCAGTAGCAATGAAAAAGGATCAGAGTTCAAATTGAAGCAATTATTGGGAAAAATACATCTCTGGGATTACGTATGTTGGAAACATATAGTTAAAACTGAAAAACTGGATTCGCTTGAAAAAAACCTTACTATTGGATTTCCTGACGAACGAATTTCAATGGGTGTAGTTTTCTTGATCATCTTCTCCAGGACTCGACCACTAGCGCTGTAGAGCTTAATATTTCGTTTTTAAAACTTGATTTCATTCTTTCAATTTTTCATATAGTTTTACAACGTACATGAAAGAATGTTAACGAAAAGAAAATAGTCGAGATAAAACGAAACGCGAAGTAAAAGTTCGAAAAGGAGAGACACTCAGCTAGAAAAAATATTAAAAACTTAAGAAGGCCAAATACCTCGATTTAAATAAAAATTAAAAGACAGAGATAAAACTTATGAAATTTTTTTTTCTGAAAATTTTTTCCACGCATCTTTTTCTTTTTTCTCTCCTATCCAATTATCTAATTCGAACAGTGCGTAATATGATATAACGTTCTCGAAAATCAATTCGTGATTTTTGATGTTCGATGACACACTGTACGCTGCTTAAGAGACGCACTCTGTCTGAAGCTGTTTGTCGGAGAAGAACCTGCTTGAGTAAATAAGAATAGTGAGATTTTCAGAAAAAAAGTGTTCAACGTGCCACATGTGGATGCTAAGTCTTGAAAAAAAAAAACGCAAAAACGAAGTCGAAAGAAATTATGTGAAACGTATTCTTTTTGTGAGTCTTCCTGTTGAGATATCTTTCATAGGCAAAGTCGGAAGAGCCCCCTGAGGGTCCATAAAGGCTGCTGGAAGGCTCCACAGAAATATTCCTTTTAAAAAATAATAGGGGGACGAAGGCTCATTTTTTCCTGCATTTTTGCGCCATTTTACCGGGACTTATGCACCATTTTTGCTGGCTCTCCCTTTTTTCACCATTTCTTGGCCTTTAAGCACCAGAAAAAATGGAAGGCTCAATGAAGGGACTCTCTAAGTGCTACCTTTTTGCTGTCTTGATGCCGCCTTTTTTGAGCCTTTCCCTTCACAGGAAAAGTCCAAAAGGGCTAAAAAGGGAATTTGGAAAAA